GCTTTATCCTAATTATTACCTTATAACGAAGGAGGTTAGAACCTGTATTAATAATACTAAGGCGGAATTCGTACGTTTTGATAGCGGTATTAATTCTTAAATTATTATTTATTAAGATGGGATTAATTATAAAGAACTTATTAAATATTACGACCGAAACGAAATTATAATTAATACTTTTATTACCGAGGACGGCCTTATTAATAAATAATTCTATAAATTAGAAGTTAGCTTTTATCTTAATAATAAAAAGGTTTGGAAGGAATTCGTAGTTAATAATAAGGCCTTACGTACCTAAATAAAATTGTTAATTAATTACGGACTATGGGATGGAATTGTAAGGGAGGAACATAATATTAACGAATAGTATTGAAACTTTAAATAAATAACAAATTATAAAGCGGTCGACGATTAAATCAAAATAAGAAAAATATATTATAAGGCCGTCGCTATTTTTACGAAAGAATTTAAAAATTAGATTAATTAATTACAAACTTAATTTACCGCTATAAATAACGGTTAGAATAAAGGAATCAGGGAAATTCTCGTTGCTAATTTATAATATTTCAATTTTATTAATGCGGTTATAATCATTCGCCTAGGGTAATATAATAGCACTTAGAAATTCAATCAGGAAATAGCCGTTAATACCCTTAAGTATATAGAGGTCTATAAGGATTTTAAATAGTATAGTATCAATAGCGCTCGTTATGGGGTTACCGCTGGAAGAAGAAGAATTTATTATAATACTTTTAATACTAGCGAAATTAGTATTGAATATGATAGCTAGAAATATAATAACGAAAATTATAATATTAGAAATAAGAATATTCGTTATAATAGTAAAAATAAGAAATTAAAGGACTTTGGTATTAAAAAGAAAAAACTCCCATCGAATAAATTTAAAATTTAATTATATAAGAAGGGTAACGGTATAGTATATAAAATATATAAAAGAAATTATTATTCTTTTAAAGATTATTAATACGTTAATCCAAACGCGAGGCCTTAATACTTTAGGTTATACCCCTCTATTAAATGTATTATTAAAACCAACCTCGCGAGAGATTTAAAGCTCGTTAAAGAAATAGTTAAATTTTCTAAGAAGGAAGAGAAAATCGAAAAGGAAGAATTAGTGTAGTTATTAAATCGGGCTTATAAAGTAACTTTTTAAATAGCGGAGTATTTAAAATTAGAAATAAAATTTACCCTCTTAAGAGTTTAGTAATATTCAATTCAAATAGTTCGCTTTACGTATTTAATAAAATTATTCGTTTCTTTTACTTTCGTTATATTAATCCGGATAATTCTTTATAAGCTAATAATGTTTAAATAGAAATTAAAGAGTTTAGAGAGGTTAATACTGTTATTAAGAGTAAGAATAGTCCTTTAAAACTACGGTTAAAGGAAGTCACCTTCTACTTTAATTTTATTATTAATTTTATTTGTTATTTTTAATTGCGAAGGTAAGGTTTTTATTAGGATTATCGACTATTAAATAATTATCTAAGGAAGGCTAACGGCTTATTCTTTTATTATTTAAATATTATTTATAATTAAATAATTATTGAAACTATCCCCTTTTCATTTATTAGAGCCTCGTTCGTAGCGCGCTATTATTAAATTAATTTATATATATAACGACTTTCGAAATAACTAGCGGAAACATAGTATTAATAGTTTAGCTATTTAGGTCCTTAAATATTCGACTATTTATAAAACGTTAATGGAGTACGGTTATATAGTATACCTTTAATTAAATACGATACGTATAATATAGTAAAAATAAAATAATAAGTTAGCTGCGTTTCGAGAAACCGAAGCTACGGCCTAAGGGAAAGATTCGCCGTCGATTTCTTCGATTTTAAATTAAAATTTAAAGGATTATACTACCTCCTTCTAATTATTTATCGATAGTAAAGAATAATTTAGCACTACTATTTATCGAATTGAGAAATTATTATAATAATTAATACTATAATTAGCTATATTTAAATATTTAAATACTAATATAATATTAATATTGAAACTATCGAATATAATAATAAATTTATAAGCAATAAGATTAAGGATAGATTCGTCCAGTATAATACAATTCTTAAATTTTTTATTCCTAATATTTAAATATAAAATAGAAGGGCAGAATATTTAAAGGGTATAATTAAAGAGAAATACTGTATGATATTATTAAATTCGAAAATATTAGAAAATTTATAATTAAAAATTATTTATACGGCTATTTATTTTATTAATCGTTCCCCTCGTTATTAATATAATTAGAAATCCCCCTTCGAACGATTCTATACCTATATTACGAACTAATATAGTTAATAAAAATTACGTAAACTAGATTTAAATTACTTTCGAATTTATAGGTATAAAGTATTGATTATAATAAACGCCGTTTAGAAGAAGGAGTAAAGATTTTAAAAATATGATTTAAAGGCCTAGATTAGGTATTTTATTGGCTATTTAACAACTGTTATTTATTATATATAGAATCTCTATATAAATTGGATCGTTTAGATTAGGGAGATAATATTTAATAAAAATATTATTTATTATTTAAATATTAAAAAGTTTAAAAACGACTTTAAAATTACTAGTGAAGAGCTTACCGATTTACTTAATAGGATACACGAGCCCACTAACCAACCTTTAGGGGTATCTGAACTATCTTATATCGAAGGCTATACGCTACTAAATAACGTTAATAATAGTAATATTAAACCTCTCCCGTTAAGTCTCCTTGATCAAAATTAAGAGGATTATTAAAAGAATTAAGAAGTTTTCTAAAATAAGAATAATTGATTATAGGAAGTACTAATTTAATAATCTACTAATAATAAAATATTTATTGAATATATTTTAAATTTATACCCGTCGTTTCTATTTACCCCGCTAGCTGTACTTTATACCAACTATTCTATTGATCGAATCATTAACTAGTACGTTCGTTATCAAGAATTATAGGAAGCCGCTTTTAACGTTAGTAAATTAGCTTAACTAGTAATTAAAATAAATAAAAAAATAACTATTAAGGTAGAAGTCAAACAGTTAATTATGAAATACGATCGTTTTAATAGGGTATACTGACGTAATTTCCCCTTAATAATTAAAAAATATTACGATTTAAATAACTATATACTTGGCTAATAATTTAAGGAAATAGAAGAAATTTACTTTAAGAATTATAAAAATATAAAGACGTAAATCGAGGTGAACGAGGATATCCCCTATTCTAAACGCAAATAAATATTCGATTATATATAGGTTTATACTTATAACTTTAATAAGAATAGGATATTCAATAAGGTAAAAGCGAGGTTCGTTATAAAAGGTAATTAATAGAAAAAGATAAGAATTAATACGTACGCGTCTACCCTTACGGGTCGATTATTTCATACTATTATCGCTTTCGTTATTCGCTTTAACGTTAAATTTATTTAATATAATATAATTAACGCTATCGTAAATACTTACTTTAATAAGGAGATTTATATATATCTACTATTAGGGTATTAAATACCCAGGAAAGTTCTCAAACTCATTAAGGCCTTATATAATTTCCGACGAACTTCCTTACTATAGTAATAAAAAATTAAACGGGGTATTTAAATCGATAGGATTTAAAACAATTCTTAAAGACCTATATATTATAAAAAAAATTAATATTCTTATACTATATTATATCGATAATATTATTTTTACGTTCGGTAAAAGTAAAATAGAAGAGGTTAAGAAATATACGATAGAATTATAGTTATAATATTATTTGATAGGAGGAAATAAATTCTAATAGTGTTTAGGTATTAAAATTATATATAATCGAAATTTTAATTTTTTTTTGGTTGTTTTAAAAAGTATGTATTAATAAAATTATTAAACTATTCAAATTTAATTACCGCCTAACCTTAGTACTTATAAGGTATAAAGAATTAGGTCTTTATAAGGGTACTACTAATTATATAGAGATATGAATATACTAAATTAATATAAGTCCTTTATTATACGTAATAATTAATATTCAATTAAATTTTACGTTTTCGTCAAATAAATTAGCTAAATATAATTATAATCCTAATTTTACTTATTTAGCGGCGAATAAAAAAGTTATATAGTATTTAAAAATAATAAAGATATATGCATTCTATTTTAGCGGGAATAATAAATTCGAAATTACTTCTAACGCCTCGTTTATTAATAATAAAAGTAATTATAAGAGCTCCTAAGGATTTATAATTAAACTATATAGTAGTTTAATTTATTAGAGAGTAATTAAATAAATTGTAATTATTATATTAACGATAGAAATAGAGCTATATATAATCGAAAAGGTAATTAAGGAAACCTTCTTTATAAACTGATTAATATTGGTATTAGGGGTGAACTTATTAGAAAATCCTATTCCTACTCTAGGTTATAATAATTAATAAACTATTAAAGTATTTATAAAGGAGATGCCTACCTTCAGTATAAAGATGGGGTATATAAATATTTATAAATATTGGTTAAGGGGAGAGATTTTCGAGAAAAAGACTCTTAATATCGAATATTTAGAAATAAAGTTAATACTAATAGATAGATTAATAAAGGCACTAGGTATTTTGGAGTATAGGAGATTTAGGGAATTATTAGGGATAGTTAAGGTATTACCGCGGGAAGATAGCGGAGGAGGAGATAATCCGCTACTGGGAGAGGTAGATTTCGATGATCTAGATAAAATACTGGGATTGGAGATATGAAACGACGAGAGCAATATATAAATAATTTTACTTTTGACCTCAAAGAGGTAAAAGAGGTCTATAAGTAAGGGGGTATATCAAATTTTAAGGTAGTATTCTGGCTAGATATAGGCTAGATGCTAGAGTCCTAGCCACCTGATTTAATAGGTCTTGGCAAATATAGGATACCCCCAGACCCCCAGACCTTCTGTAGAGAGAGCGCTCGAGTTAGTTATACAGATTCAATCAATCACACCAGTAAATCTGACAGTATCTGGCCAGTAAGGTGAATGGTGTCACGGGCACCGAAAGCTCATTCAGGTACCAAGCGCCATTATTATCTACCCTTTACCTTCCTCCAGGCAATCAGACAAAGATGACGCTCGCCGAAGGGACGATGCTCCTATGGATCACTTTCGGGTTTCTTCCTGTTGTTACTCCCTCTTCCCACTTCCACTCCCTCATATGCGCTCTTCCCACTATGACAGTGCCCCCTGAGACTTCCACTTGCGCCCGGTTACTATCGAATTTTTATTTCAATCCAATGACAGTTACCTTCTTCATCAACCACAATCGCAGATGGCCCGACCGTAACGGGTTTGTACACAGCTTACTTTCACGTGCACAGACGCCCATGCTTGTTGCCTGGTGAACCAGGCACTACTCGATGTGAGTTAGGTATACAAGTACTTAGCATCAAGAACCTCAGTGCAGTCAGTTGGTCACGAGCGGATACGGAATGCACATGAGCTGAACGCTACAAACATATTATACATTTTAACAGGCAGGCAAAGTTGCTGTCTTTATTCCTCTATCCAATGCTTTTTTTATTCCTTCCTTGCCAATTCGCAAGCATCTACAATATAACGGCCCTTTTATGCTACCTCGCTAGCTACATACTAGTCGGAAGTACCTTCTTTCCCTGGAGCAAGATCCAAAGCATAAAAGGTACCTCTACATTCGTAACAGAGATCATAGCCAGATCAGAAAGCCCATGTTCACATCAACATTGGAAGCATATAAACACCGAGTTGTGCTTCCAATTGGTTGGCGACCTTGAACTAATATCACGACGTCACACTTGCCTAGTTGCACCTTCCTTACTCCGATACTTTTACTTACTGTCTACTTCCATTTGTACTTGACACTATGGAAGGTACCAGCGAGAAATAGTGGGTCCCTATAAACCCCACCCTCACCACGTCTAGTCGAGTCTTTGTTCATCGCGTCCAAATTCCTTCGTCCTTTTTTTTTCCCTTCACAACTTTCAATCCCATGAAAACCCCGTCTCTCAAACATCCATCTGCAGTCGGCTTAAAACATCATCGACAAAGGAGGTTCAGGTCAGAAATACCTGTCCAAACACTGCCTGTTCCTAACTCCGCCGGAGAAAAGGTACATGGCAAATATCGTCACCAATCATCATCCGTCATTTCTCGAGTTTACGCATTAAACGATTCTCAGTTTACCGATCAAGCAACCTGACAAATTTCAGTCACTCAACGAGTATCGGATATCTTGTTGATATCATACCACACAAAAAACTATATCGAGTCATCAAAGCTTTATCAAGTAGCGCGTCTACCTGACAGTCATTCAGGCAACGCGAAAAGCTACGTGGCTACCACAGCGAGGACGCCGAGTGACGGGCATGGGAGGTATGAGCCCTCTGCCACTCTGAGCCTCGGCCTCGAAAGTTGTAAAGATTACAACTTGGCCGCCTGCTTTCAAGCTTGCTACGTTTTACAGCCCTCAAAACCCTCAACATGTTCAAGAATGTGGGCCGGAGAGTGTCAAAAGACTCGACTCACTCGATCCCTGCCGACGAAGACGAGGACGATAACATCTCTCTAGCTTCAACAGCGTCCGCGCAACACGATCCAGATGAGGAATTCGAGGTCGAGGATGTCCTCCTCGAGGAACGGGACGAGGATGGCAACAAAGTCTATCTAGTCAAGTGGGAACGCTATCCGCTATATCAATGCACTTGGGAGCCCAAGGACAACCTGGGTGACGAACTCATGGAGATGTGGAGGGAGAAGAAACTGAGGCAAGAGGCCGGAGAGGAAGAGCCATTTGATGTGCGAGTGTTCCATGCAGCCGTTAATAGGGCTAAGAAGGAAAAGGCCGACCGTCATCGCCGTCGCAACGCGAAGCGGAGGAAACTGGGTCACCCGTTGACCGAGCCCTTCGATGGCTCAAGCTCGGAATCAGACCCAGACAATTTCAAGGTCGAGTCCTCTGATGAATCCAGTGACGAAGCTTTGGAGCAAGAGGAGCCCGTCTCCAAGGACGATCGGGAACCACGCTCGGCTAAAGAGAGTGGTACACGCCCGCAATCAGAGTCAAAGTCCAAGCAAAGGATATTCAAAGGCATCGCTCAGCCTGTACCAAAATCGGCCAAGACTACCGCCACTACACGAGAATCCACGTCTCTCGAGCCCAAACCTAAAGCCTCGTCAAGACCCAGTTCCGAAGCCCCGGACAGGCCTTCTCCGCCGCAACCGTCATCTTCCAAGCCTCGACCTGAGCGGAATATCGTGTCAACAACTGGCTACCAAGGAACTGCGAGGAAGCCTGTGGATAAACCACGACCTAGTACTCCAAACGGGTTGACTTGGCCACTGCCCCAATCAACCCGTACCGCTCCTCCAATTGCGTCTCGATCTACGGCTGCTGGCGTTCGGAAGCCTCTGACTGCCAAAAGAACGGCTGTTAAGAAGAACGTCAGTGTCAATATCTTTGCAGCAGGCAAAGTTAGAAAGCCCCGAAAGAATTTTAAGGAGGCTGTTTCAGACACAACCAAAGCTCCAAAGGAATTTACAAAGTTTCGTTATAAACGGCTGGCCGAGAAGAAGGGCAGGGATAAAGAGGATCGTCCTCCCGATCTATCGACAGCAAAGCTTCACCTCTTCAGCATCACGGAGGGCCCAACAGGAAGAAGGATCTCGCTAAACGCAACAGCGTCATCAAGCACGCCTATTCCGGCCCCAGGTGGTCAAATGACTGGGACACAGGTCGAAACAGAAGCCGAGACCACAGCTGGACTTGAGCTCAACTCAGACGAACCGGCACCCGTGAATAGCCAGGAACTGTCTTTTCGACCCAAGGATCCGCCCAGAAGGAAATCTGCTTTGGCAAAATCAAAATCCGATGGAGGACAACCCAAGGAGCGCAAATCTGTCCGCTTCGTGCCTGGCCATGATGAGACTACGATATTTCAGGCACCGGAACAGATGGATGTTGATGGGTTGTTCGTTGAGCCTGTTCATACAACGCCAACTACGCCCACAAATTCGACGGCTCACCAACGCATACCTAGCCCAGATCCACCGCCTGCCACTGCTTCTGCCGGCGAGTCCGATGACGGGGTGCCGAGGGGAAATCTGAACAAGAGACTGTTGATCGCCGAGATCCCCCCTTTTGAGGTAACATTTCACGATGTGCCGCGAGATAACCATCAGTTGTGGGCTGCACATTTCGGCAAACAAAAGTCGTTAGAGTTTCGGCTAAGCTGTTTCGCCAAAACAGCAGTGGCACAAATGAAGCCTCCTTTGTTCCAAAGGGGCCTGGCCAAAGGGCCTATAACGTCCGAGAACAAAGAAGCTATAGAGAAGCTTGCACAGCAGCTTAAAGCGCGACTGCTCGGTCTTTTCTATTCAAGCCGGCATTACAACCTTCTCATTTATCCCACGAAATGTGAGGAATGGCAAATCGAATCGTTCGGCCAGGAGGTAGCAACTGGCTTAACCGCAGCGCTCTGTTATGTCATATTCTCCTCAGATATGGACTGTGGAAGTATGCTCAGACCGCTTAGTCTTCCGCTGAGGTTGCCAGAGACGAATGGAAAGGCAGTGCCTACTATGACGTGGGTGATGAGCAGATTGTACAAATTCGATTACAATCAACTATTACCAAGGAAGCCTCAGATCCCAAAGGTACACAAGTTCTTTCTCGCTTTCCCTGAGTCAGGAACTGGGAAAGTGACTCGCTCAGTCGTTTTTCAATGGCTGCGCTCTTGCAACCCCGACTGTCACATATACATATCCAGCCAACCTGGCTCTTGGGATGCATTCAGAGCCAGTGTAGCCGAGTCATCTGGTGTTGTCATTATCCACGAGACGTTGATGTGGAGTCTTCGCCGGTTCCCAAAGCTTTCCGAGTACCTGATCAAGAAATACGACGAGTATTGGTGCTTTACGGAGCCAAGCGAAGCATACCCCTTATATCCGTCAATGTCCTTGCCGGAAAGCGTTCCCCCCGGGATCAGTCAACTCACGCGAATATTGCCATTCCGCACGGCAATCCTGCTTACCCCGAGCTTTCTCGTGTCCGAGCCTGAACACGCTCGTGAGTTTCTCGATTGGTTCTTTCGCCAATGGAATTACTCCTTTTACTATCGTCTGGTGACGGCCTCAAACATCCATGAGTACCTTCAAGATCTGGCATTAGAATGTATCGATTCGCGCGAGAGGTGGTGGACCGCGGGTCCGAGTCTTGGGATGACTCCCATAGATACCCAGTTCGAGATCAACCTGCGAGGACATAGTCTTGACGAATGTGAATCTAGGCTCCAAGCCGGCATCGCGGCTTCTGAACTTCACAGAATACGCGCCAGACAGCTCGACTCCTCCGGTGGAATGGAGGAGGACCACAGCCCGCTCATCTATGCGGATCCGTCTATCGACCCAAATGACGAGCAAAGCCTGGTCAACTGGTTCGGCTGGTGGTCAACCCTGCGGGCTGATCAGTTCCGCAAGTTCCATGTCGTTGGATCGTGTAACAGTATTGGTTATCCAAACACCAAGAAGGGGATTCGGACGGTCCGCATTCCAAAATATCTGAGAACAACAATCAATGACCCAGACGCGGTAGCAGAGGTTGTGCAGTCAGAAGCATCGCAAAATCTCCAGGTACCAGCACACGAACTGCCTCCTAGCAATCCACCAAGTGCGGCGGGCAGTTTGGAGTTGACCGGCCCCTTCAAAAGCGATATATTAATCAATGACCATGGGGCAACTCTTCAAGGATTCCTATTCAACAACTTTTGTAAGGAAATTCCGGGGTCCAAACTGCGGTTTTACGGATATCCTGTGACGTGGGCTGATCCGAAGATGGCGAGTTCCTACGGCGATTTGATTCTTAAGCACAATAAGACAATCGGCGAGTGGTTCCATTTTCCGTATTCATTCAACAACGCCTGGAACACTTACGTTGGTCTGTTTTACACCATTTCGGAGGAGTGGGATCCCCAGAAGCCTCCACAGAACCAGAATCCCAGGTGGCATCCTTGGCTTGCGATTTACAGGCTTGTCAACCCCCATTCCCATCCATTCAAGCGGTGCGAGCTTATCATATGGGATCCTCTCGCAAGGAAATGGTTTCCCGGCTCACAGGTACCGTTAGAAAGCGAGCTCACTGATATGCAACAGCGTGTCGTTCGACATGTCCGTGAGCATTGCGGAAAAAAGAATCGGGGGACGTACCTTGATCAGGTTTGGCTCGGCGGGTTCAATTGTCCGAGTGAATGTGAATCTCTTTATCCCCTCGACATGACGTTGAAGTTCACCAGAGCAATGGTGCAAGATATTGGAGAACATCTTCCACCGGAGAAGCAGTTGCCGAACAAGGGTTTCAGGAAAGTTCTGAAGGAGCACCCACCGGCGCCCAATCCGATGGATGGTGTCGGTCTAGACAGCGACGATGACGTTGTCATGGACGTCGATAGCAACGACGGCTGGAACGACGAAGACGAAGATGTGCGCATCATCTTCCATCCGCCTCGAGGCACCAAGCTCTCCCCTGGTTCCCGCTCAAAATGCACCAACAGGCTCTACGAGGAGGCGCGTCTCGCCAGGGCCAGGTCCTCTTCGGACCGTATGGAGTTCAAGTTCGTTCCAACGCTCAAATGGTACGAGGACCAAGTCGCAGAGGGGCGTGGCTTTGAACACATCAACATCCAGTCGTGGCAAGACATCTTCAACATCTTCCAAATAGGAAAGGCGAAGGGTAGCAAGGTGACGACAGCGGCGACAGCGGCAAGGGCTCAGGCGACTCGTGGAGACAGAGAAGGCGATGTTCAGATGACCGGCTAAGGAAGCGGCGAGTCAAAGACATCAACTACAAATACGTTCAACAAAAAGTCGCCGCTGGTAGTGCACAAAGGTGTGAGGTTTCTCCGCCCTAGGTGCCCGAATCGGGTTACGCCTTGGCATCTATCGAAAGAGAGCAAGAAACAACCAGCTTCCAAGGCCGAAGAGCGACAGAGGGAGGGCGGCTTGGGCTGTATGGCTGCTAGAGCAGGCGTTCGAAAAGCTAGGGCAGCTGGGACGAGAGTCACGTTACAATCGTTGACAATGTCCGATTTGAACACTTCCTCCGTGTAAGGAACATTACTACGATGAGCTTGGTTCTGGGCAATGGGTGGGGGATAAAAGGTGTAGCATTTCTCGTATGCTTGAGACGATGGAACTTGTTAAGGGTTACAGGAGAAGTATGTTTAGAACTCGTGTATTTAACATAGATATCATTGTATGGGGAGGCGTGCAAGACCAAAGTTATTATATATATCAACCGGCTGTTTTAGACACTCCAACACCAACTGTCACTCAATGTATATATAGTTGCCTTACAACTCATTACTTACTCAAGTTTACTCCCTACACCTTCCGTGACATTGGATTCATGACCAACTCTCCCCTTCATCCAAGACGTAGTATCGCTCAGTTCTTCCCCTTGCCGTCCACACCCAACATCACCGCACCCTAATTCTGCGGCGGGACCCCAAATCGTTCAGCAAACGGATCATACCTCCAATCCATCACCGGCTCATGCTCCATCGCTCCAGCAATCTCATATGCCATGTCCACTCCGTCCGGGTACATCTGCCTGACGAACTCAAACGTCAAATCCAACACCGCCGTGACTCCTGACGAAGTCCAGATGTTACCATCAACCACCCATCGAGCCGGCGAGACCCTGTTTCATCACACTGTCAGCAAGAAGTTTCTCTCCCCAATACGCCCGAATACGCCCCAATCGAACCTAAACAGAAAAAAGAAAAAGGGACAAGTAACAAAAAAAAAAAAAAAACAGGAAGAACATACCACTTAACCTTCTCTCCCAAAGGCGTCACCTCGCCCCAAGCCATCTTATTAGTAGTCGCCCTCCGCCCATCCAGCACGCCCGCCCTAGCCGCCACCGCAGCACCAATACACACCATCACCAGATATTTATCCTTGTCGTTCTTCTTCCCACCAATCCCAAACTCCCCAACCATCCTCCTCAAAAACTCCAACTCCCTCCCCTCCCCTTCCAAATCAGGACTATACACCCCCTCCCCGCCCGGCACAATCAGAACATCCACACTCTCCAACACCTCGCGCATCTCCTCCCACTGTTGGTCCGTGGTGGGGATCGGATGGGTGGGGTTGAAGGTTGGATAGAAACTGCTGTTCATGGGGTTCATGGACGAATTTGGGGGCGGGGGGGAAGTGAGGACTGGTGATAGACCGGAAGAGTAAGGGGGGTTAAGGGAAAAGATGAGGAGACGCAAGGGGTGGAAGTCGGCGACGAATTGAAGGATTTCGACGGCCCCGTAGGCGTCGAGGATCTCGAATTGGCGGAAGAGCAGGAGGGCGTAGGTTTTGGGGGTTGGGTAGGTGGTTGAGTTGCTGTTGGTGTTGTTGGCGGGGGGCGGGAAGGGGGTGGTTCTGGTGGTCTTTAGGTTGGTTTTGGGTAGGGTTTTGAGCAGCTTTATGTTGGACTCGCGGTGGGGGAGGATGGCGGCGGTGGTGAGGTGGAGGTGGAGGAGGGTGAGGATTGTGGTGAGGATTGAGAGGCGCATTTTGGCGGTCGTTGGGAAATTGTTGTTGATGTTGTCGTTGGTGTTGGTGTTTGGGGTAGTGGGATGGTTGATGATGGTTGCTGGCTTGTTGGAAAGTCCATGGGGGTGAGTGATGCTTATATGTCTTTTCTTGTTCTCGGCAATTTTCACTCGAACCTGAAGGGCAGCTCGTGTTCACCGGCTTCATGTTCATTACCAGACCATCTGGATAGGAGAGATCCTACGTACGGTAGACTTGATCTTCCCAACACAAACCACCGAGCTGCCACAATCTTCATGCATGTCAGTCCCTTCCAGCAAACGATTCGTCATGCAAAGGCCGGCACTCTGGGAAGGCATCAGCAGATTCAATCTACAACCGGCTCAAATCCTCTCATGAGGTCTCGCCTCCACACAGCACCATACCTACCACGGTGGCTACCAGACGACGAGACTTGATGTTCATCTCCAGAAAACACTGACATGTGACCTTTGAGCAAGTATGTGATCCGAAGCGAGTACTATCGACCAGAGGGCAGTTAGTTACACAGAAAATGCCCCGGTTTCCCATATGAAGTTGTCCTAAACTCCGATGCTCAACGGGATTAGAAGTTGTCCCAACCTCCGATGCTCAACGGAACTAGAGTTTCCAGGCTGCCGCAAACCGTGGGAGGTAATTTGTGCCTCCGGGGTACCGAGATAGCGGGAGAAGATAGATTAAGCTTGTGTAACCTTTGACGTTGACGTGCCACACTACAGGTAAGCTCAAGACCACACTTCCTAAGATTGGTAATCCAGAAGAAGCAGAATATAGAGACACAGCGACATGTAAAATAGCAGCTCGCTATTAGACACGGACCTTGATTCGCTTACAATGGGACGCAATTCCGAGACACAGGTAAATGCGTCTCATAAGAGCTCAGTTTCATGAAAGGGGCGTTAGATAATATCATACGGGAAGCCGTCAGACATACCTTGACTGGAATCGATGATCTGGCTTTTGGTGTTGTGGTTGACATTGACCCAAGCTTTCTGCTTCAGATCTGACAGTCTCCCATGATGCTGACGGCGTGGCCAATCATAGCGATGTGGTGTCAAGCCTGTCAGGAGGAAAGGTGTCGCCCGCAAAAACCGCCCGCAAAAACTGACGGGTTAGGGTTATACCCGTCATCAAGCTCCCATGAATGGCTTCATCACATCTCCCTTCCATCACATCTCGCACCCCCTTCAGGTTGGCACACCAGCCGTCACCAACTGAACATTCCTCCGCTCTGTGTCCGTCCATCCCATTCCAAGTTCACAACTGCAGGTATATGTATCACTTCCACCAGACCTTCTTTCACCAAGTTCGGACCAACGGGCTCATAATTATAAAAAGAGCCACAACCGGGAATCGAACACCCACCGACCGACCACCAATTCTAAAGCTCATAATTATAAAAAGATATTAACAACAGCAACGCCAGAACGACGAAATAACGTCCCAACAAATGGGTATCAAGGTGGTGGACGGTTTACCGCACCGGACCGGCTGAACTTGGCTTTTCTTTTTGCGTTTCTTTTTGTGTTCGTTCCGGATGTCGAGTTCATGAATCTCTGCGCGTCCATGATAAGGCATCAGCAAATCTTAAGTAGGTGTTGGTTGGGTTGTTGAAACATGATGGATGGTCGTCACAAGAAAGAACGACATCAGTGTGCTGCCGTACAAACCCCGGCGTTCCTGCCCAACAGTGCACGAGCCGCTACACGGCCCACCCAGCGGGAACTTTCAGCACCTTCTAGATCCACTATCGGCTGACCGCCTAAAAGTTGACAACACCGCCTACAGCTCGCTGTTCGGCGCATTGCTAGCCGTACGTCATTTTGACTTTTGTTTCCGTCCATCTCTCACCTCAACCTCCAAACATCAAAGCTCCTACGAACCTAAGAGACTCTGGTCGACATCTCGTTAATCGACAAGAGGGAGAATCAAGACGACCGGGATCCATACGTCTTCTCAACCCATCATATCCTACGACCAAGCAACCTGTTAATTCTCCTCAGAGTTCTCGGGTTAACGTTCACACACCAGTCGACCTAAACCCCCCCTATATCAAGTTCAAGCTATCCCGCGACATCCGACCCACCGCTTCCATACCTCCCACCACCACCACCACCACAAATTACCACCCTCACACCACAACACACACACAAAATGGCCCGCAACTCCTTCTCCCCCTACGCCCCCCGCCGGCGATCCAACCGCATGGTCCTGATCTGGGTCACCCTCTTCTTCTCCATCATCATCTTCATGTGGTGGGTGCAGACGCGGCACCGGGACGTGTTTGCCCGGGGCCCGAGGATGGAGGGCGATAACCGGAGGAGGTTTGGAGGGAACGGGAACGGTAACGCGGGGAGTGGGAGGATTTTGGAGGATGAGTAAATGAGTTGGGTTGGGACTAGAGGGGAGAATGGGGAGAGTGGGGGGTGGAGAGGACAGGAAAGAGGGGGAAGAAGAAGAGCAAAATCGAGATCTTTTCAGATTTGTTACCAACCAACCGGCGATCGCATCACCACCCAAGGACCCTTTTTGATTGATGGCGGAGTGGGATGGGATGGGATAGGTAGGGTTTGGCTGGCTGGCTGTGTGGTGGTGGGAGTTGAAAGAGGGAAGAAAGAAGGAACCACGACCAACCACGATATCGGTACATCGGAAAACAAGGGAAAATTTTGCCGGGCGACGAAGCGCAATTGGGTGATCGCAAGAACAATTGGAGGGGGGAGGGACTTGCGGGATTACACCAACGCGACGATGAGCACACAGAGCCTGAACTCCTCGGTCGGCTCTCTTCCCCCACCCTCGAGGATTTTCCTCACCCGGCTGTGACGTCCTATAATCCGGAGCTTCCGTATCGTTTTGGGGTGCTTCTTGGGGTTGACAAGACTATTCGGTTTGTCAGCTTGGGAACCGAGAGAATGGATCCCATAGAGCCTGGTCATGGGGGAGTCGGTGGACGAAGCACCAAGTTCTTGGATGGGGATCATGGCCACAAAAGAGCGCATGTGGCTCTGGCGACGAACGGACGGACGGAGGCATTGAGGACTACGAGATGCGTATACCTAGAGATACAACAGGAAAATAATGGTTTATTTTGGGCTTGACAGCTCAGCTACTCATTTGCTCTCTCCGTTCCGTGCTGGTTTAAGCAGTGACTTACGGTATTCTTTTGATCGGACACTCCAGTGACCTGCATCGGCCAGTGGCCATGCTTTTGCCATGGGCAGAATGTTCACAAGTGCAAGATTTCACGGCAACAGTAACTAAGCGGGATCACAACTCAACGGAACGATCTACGTCTTACCTGTGCACGACGCTAGAGCGCTCGTTCCGTGTCAGCGAGTCCGATGAACTTGAAGGTGAATGATGGAATAAAAAGGGTTGTATGCACCTTGTTTCGTTTAGTATAATCCAAACAGTAGTCTCTGGACGCTCCGAGATCCAATCGTAATCAAGCTTCCATGTCGTCCCTACGCCAACCGAACACCAGCTTCCTTGCGCTTCTTACCCTGATGCGACGCCGCCGTGCTCATACCAACGTTCTGACTAGCATCAAGGAAACTCTGGGCCATCTGTTTTTTCTTAGCCTCTTCCTTCTTGAGCTGCTTATCCGTCTTGCCCTTTCCACTGCCTTTCCCGTGGAACTGGTGCGATAGCTCTTTGAAGGCCTCCTTCTTGTCGAGCGACCGGCCGTCGGGGCCCACATACTTGAGCTCGACCGTGGGCTTGTACGCTTCCCTGAACAACTGCTCTATGACGCGTGCCTGATGCTGTTCGCGGATCGTGTTCTGCTGTCGCTGCCACTCCTCACGCTCGCGGATCGACATCCGGTCGAGACGGCCGCTGGCACGGTCGCGCTCGCGCTGGATGCGGGTCTCGTCGTCGAACTTCTTCATGAGGCGGGCGAGCTCGGCCTTGAAGTGAGCGCTTTCGCGGAAGTTCTTAACGAGCTCGGAGCCGCGAGACTCGGCGTCAATAAGGCGGCGGTCCTTGAGCAAGGCGAAGGTCGCGGCCATGCCTTGGGCCACGAGCTTCTCTTCTTCGACACCGGTTGTAGGAAGCTCGGCGGACGGCGATGTGGCCCGCTCGGACTGTCCGTCCTTGTCGGCGTCTTCCATCTCTTCGTCTGATGATTCCTCCTCCATCGCTGTAACTGCTGTCTCTGTCCGTTGTTGAGGCTTTGGCTTTGGTGCCTTCTTCTCTTCTTCGCGCTCTGCGTGGAGAGCATCAACGAACTCGCTGATCTCGTCGATAACGATACCGCCCGCCTCGGCGGCTTCCGGCTCTGGTTGGTTCGATTGTTCACGCAGCTGCTTAGCAAGCTCTTCGGGTCGTGTCTTCCGCTTCTTCAACGCCGCGGATCTCTGGCGGGCCAAGGATTGTTGCAGATCGTCATCGTCGACAAAGTCCTCGTCAAACGTCTTCCTCTTTTTCGTGTAGGTCGCAGCCCCCGAATCGATATCCATCTGCTGCTCCGTATCTGCTGGAGCTTCCGGCTCTCCTGGGTATAGCACATCGTCGTCGTCTCGGCGCCTTGTCGACTTGGTCTTCTTCTTTTTCGGCTTCTTAACTTTGATTTCGGACGCGTCCATATAATCTGATACTGGAGCAGGAGCATCGTCTGTTCGAACAATAATTAGCATGTAGTAAGGGTATTTGAGGATGGACATAACATACCGAGCATATCCAGATCAACAGTCTGCCCCTTCCTCTGAACAGGCGCACTGTCTAGGATATCGGCCAAAGAATCTGTCGTTGCCGTTGTCCTGATTGTCTGACCGAGTGTGAAAGCCTTCTTCTTTTTGCCATTAATCTCCTCGTCGTATTGCGACAAAATCGTTCGTTCGCCCGTTTCGTCGATGTCATTAGGGTCGTAAAGCGGCTTCTTCTTCTTGAGGTCGAGTCTCTCGCTCAGCTTTTCTCGTTCGCGCAATTCAATGTTTTCGAGCTCGTCCCCTTCCTCTTCGGCATCCAACACACCAGTATCCTTGAGCGTGAGAACCTGGTCGCCACTCTCAAGGAAAGTATCCATATCGTGCGCAACCTTGACACCGGCCAGATCCCTAGCTGTGTGCTCAGCCGCCGCCGCCGCAGCTTCAGCAGCGGCCTTCTCCTCCTCGGCCTTCTTCGTCGCCTCAATCTTCTTTTGCCGCTTCTTCTGGTTCTTGAGCCAGGCCTTGGCATCGAGCTCGTCGTCTTCCACGTCATCGGCGATGCCCTTACCGTCGAGAATGGCGTTGCGCTGGGCCATCTCGCGGGCCTTCTTGATAGCGGCGGCTCTCTCCTCACGCTTCTTCTTCGCGGCTTCTGCCTCTAGGGCCTTATTGTAGTTGTCGTAGGATGCGGCTTCGCGGGTCTCGAGCGTGCTGCCCTTGTCTTCGCCTTCGGGGGTGGGTGATCTAGCCTTGGGCGCTTCGCCGGGGACAGGCAAAGGCTTCATGCCCATTGCCCGTCGCACCTTGTTGAGCTCTTCGATTGACGCGGCGTCCATTGTGGGAATGGTTTCTGATGAGGATATGCGATGGTGATGAGGTGTCGCAAGCCGCTAGGTGCGGACGTGGGTGCCGAAAGGAAGTTAAAGTCCCGGTCGCGTGTGAATGGATGATGCACAGTGATCAGAAGTGGTGGACAGTGAAAGTTGCCAGTGGAACCGCTGGACGTCAGTTGAGGCTGACTCTGGCAGGCAAATAAGTCCTAGGCCAGGCCGTTACCACTGGCTGGACGGGAGCCATTTGATAAGATAAGGCAACGGGTATCCACCAAGACTTGCAGGGCTGGCTTGGCAACAGAAGCACAGACCCCACATCCAAAATTTTCGTATATCAAGCGGGACGTCGCACCCAACTCTTCCTCTTTCTCTTCTTTTTTCTCCTCACGGACCTGTGCCCAGTGCTCCCCTGCCGCCAGCTCGTGCTTGCACTTGTAGGTAGCTAGGGTTGAGTGCTGAGGCAGTTCGGCAACCAAGGAGCCATCCAGAACCTTTGCGTTCTTCCATGATGTCAATTTCCATCCGACAGGTCACCAGAAGAACCGAACTCCGGCGTGAACCTCGTTCGCCGCAAGGCTTGAGCTTGGGGAGCGCCGGATGATGTAGGGGAAGTCATATTCCAATCCGTTCGCCGAGGACGTCGTCCTATGAGGCTGGGGGAAACCATGACAATTGCCACATTTCTTGCCGTAAACTTGTGTTTTTGCTGTGATTGCCCTGCTGTCTTTTTTCATCAATGGCGTTTTAAAGCTTGCACTTGAAGAGCAGCAGTGAAGGTCCGCACATCCAGTCAGATAATTCCCATGTCACGTTGTGCATTTTGGCATCAGCCTGCCCGATTTCGACATGCTTTCACATGCTGTGCTTGCACTCAGATGTCCGTCTGCTGTTGTTGGTACCTGCGTGGAGAATCCATCGTCTATTTGTGCTGACTTTGGACTCTCATATGTTTGTGAAGTGGGATGTTCTGTCATCAAGAAGGACCGACCTGGTGTTGCGAAGTTTAGGTAACATGTTGAGATGTTGGAGTTGACCTCACTTCAGCTTCCACTGCTCTCATCCATGTATCGGAATCAGCCGTTTCATAACTGGAAAATTTCGAGGTTGCCCTTTACCGTAGTATTCAAACGAGTTGAAACGTCAAAGCTCTCATAGTGCGAATTTTTGGTCGGCCTTTTTCGGCGGAATCCCCATGTCAAATGTCCAGTTGCTACTACACGTCACGCAAATAGTCTGGTTGTTTTCAGGTTCTCGAGCTTCTTCTAGTGTTTCTTTGATGGGCACGTGGGTGGTATGATGGTGCTGTGTCATGGACTGATGCTATTCCCAACCTGTGTAACTGTTAACCCTAACCCGATTTGATCTATACGTCCTAGCTAAAACAAGATATTCCCATATTTCCCACCCTTTTTGACGACTTTGGAAGGGGCTCTGCTTCAGATCTATAACTGGAACAGAGTTTAGCGTAATAGGAGATGGCAAAGCCTCACTCCCTCATCTCCAACAAGTCCAGCGCAAAACCACCCCTGTCCTTAGCATAACCGGACTCCTTCCTGTTCCTGACACAACGGCCGCGAATGCAGATGCAAGTCGGCACTCCAATGCGGGGGAACAGGGGTCCTGTCATGACTGCAGCCAAGAAAGATGAAAAATCCGGGGGAGGTAGGGTTGCTCCGACCTGCCTGTCTGCCCAAGGTCCAGGTTCCCCAACTTCACTTTCTATCCTCGGCATGGTGCCCGTCCACGGTCCTTCCATCAGGCTTTTTTTTCTTCCACGGCCCCAAGCCCTTTCCCCAAGATCGAGACGGCCCGATTTCGAATGACCTCGGCGGCGGCAGACCACCATTTGTCACGTCTTGGTGGTATCGATTATCCAAAAGATAAAAACTCATAAGACGGTCGGCCGGATGAGCTGACATATGGTGGAGACGCGTGTCGTTGGATGTGGGCAGCAGCGATGGCGGAGAGAGAGAGAGAGAGCGAGAGATCCTATTCACAAGAGTAATGTGCTCGTGGTTCGTTTTTGGCCGTTACCCTCCGCCAAGCTTAGGACAAGAGATGGAGAGATGCTAGAACAAGTATTCTCCGAGACGTGAGCCTCCGACTAAAAGAGATCCGCAACGATGGAGCAACTAGCGGGCCGTGATATACAGCTCTCTCAATTCTAGACTTGAGGTATGACAAAGTTAGCTTCACATAGCACAAAGTGCATCACATTGCCATGTGTGCAGGTGTCAAAAAGGCGGGAAAGGTCACAAGAGATTTGACTGTGTTCCCGTGATGCTCAAAAGCAGGCATAGTTCCCCGCATTATCGAGGTTTCTCCGCCGTAGCGAGAGATCATGGGGAAACCAGACTTCAGCGCCAAAAGGGCCGGTGTAACCGCCCCACACCCGCCGATTTCAGATTCCAAGCTGCAGTGCGCCGTCTGCAGATTTCACATGATGAACACACCAACATCACGGCACCTCCAGTGACACTGACGCCTACCTATAGCAGCCACCCTTTTGCGATGCGACGGTAGAAAACGCCGCGGCAAGATATCGGCCTTTCTTTATTGCAGCTGGGCGTTGCTTGAAGCTTGGGCAGCTTTGAGTGGCCTTTGACATTTTGGGTCCAGTCCTGGCCAATCTCCGCCATCCACACTTTCCACTCCCCCAGGTCAGCAGCTCTCCTGGTTTGATACCGCTTAGAACATACCGCTCTCTCTATAGACCAACCATGGCACCGCACGTTCTCTTGAGCTTATCATGCTCCCCTCGATCTGCTCCAATGAGTCGAACTGTTCAAAGACCAAGCTCTCCAAGCAAGGGAGAGCTCAGGGGGAGCAAACGTTCCTGCAGATAGAGCAGTGGGACTGCCGCCACAAAGGATGAGGATCGTGACGTGACCAGTGACCAGGGCAAAACACAAAAGAGAGCAAAGATCCAAAAGGGTCAAAAGGACCGAGCCTCAATGCCCGGATGGCACTCAACACCGTCTTCTCGGCCCTTTCTCCAACTCTTCTCCTTCCTTAATCTACCCTAGCACCAATCCCCATCCCATCGACGACGCTGCAAGGCCCGATCTCTAACCACCGAGTGCACCCTCATCCACGAACTGACCCCGGTCCTCCTCCGAGGCCCTTGAGAGTAGAGTTGAGGTGCGGAACTTGGACGACCAGGGCAACTTCACTAGGAAAGTGGACGACAAGGTTCACTCCGGCTGGACCGCAACACTAACGTCACTTTACCGAGCCTTCCAAAGGGGGAAATGCCAAGGGTGAGCGAGACAAGATCGTCGCTCATCAGTCAAGATGGACACAATATATAACCTCAAGCAAGTCCTCCTCAGCAACCATGATTTCACCACCAGTCTGGTCTCCAACGCAACAGACTACTCGACAAGCCCTCTGACCTACTTCGCCATGCATCTCGTCTCTTCGCTCCTCGTCGTGGGCGCCGCCTTCCAGGCCGTGCTCGGTCTGCCGGATCCTCTGGAGCCTCTGCGTGAGAAGAGGAACAGCGACATCATCAAGCGGTCTGCCGACTCCTTTATCCAGACCGAGACTCCCATTGCGCTGAACAACCTTCTGTGCAACATCGGCTCTTCTGGATGCAGAGTCTCCGGTGCTGCCTCTGGTGCTGTGGTTGCCTCCCCTTCCAAGTCGAGCCCTGACTGTAAGTGGAAATTGCCCAGTGTGTCTCATCTCGTAAGGCAGCATAGCTCACAGTGTCGATAGACTGGTACACCTGGACTCGTGATGCCGCCCTTGTCTCCAAGCTTGTCGTCGACAGGTTCACCAACGAGTACAACACCACTCTCCAGAACACCATCCAGGCTTATGCTGCTGCTCAGGCCAAGCTTCAGGGTGTTAGCAACCCGTCCGGTTCACTCTCCAACGGTGCCGGTCTTGGTGAGCCCAAGTTCATGGTCGACCTCACGCAGTTCACCGGTGACTGGGGCCGCCCCCAGAGAGATGGTCCTCCCCTTCGCGCCACCGCCCTCATCGGCTACGGCAAGTGGCTCGTCAGCAACGGTTATGCTGATACCGCCAAGAACATCATCTGGCCCATCGTGAAGAACGACCTTGCCTACACTGCCCAGTACTGGAATAACACCGGCTTCGATCTTTGGGAGGAGGTCAACAGCTCTTCCTTCTGGACCATTGCCGCCTCCCACCGTGCCCTCGTTGCGGGTTCTGCCTTTGCCAAGTCCGTCGGCAGCTCTTGCAGCGCGTGCGATGCTGTTGCTCCCCAGGTCCTGTGCTTCCAGCAGAGCTTCTGGTCCAACAGCGGCTACATCATCTCCAACCTCGTCAACTACCGCAGCGGCAAGGACATCAACTCCGTCTTGACTTCTATCCACAGCTTCGACCCCGCTGCCGGTTGCGATGTCAACACCTTCCAGCCCTGCAGCGACCGTGCTCTTGCCAACCACAAGGTCGTCGTTGACTCCATGCGCTTCTGGGGTGTTAACTCTGGCCGCACTGCCGGTAAGGCCGCCGCTGTCGGTCGCTACCCCGAGGACGTCTACTACAACGGCAACCCCTGGTACCTCGCCACTCTCGCCGCCGCCGAGCAGCTGTACGACGCCCTCTACGTCTGGAAGAAGCAGGGTTCCATCACCGTCACCTCCACCTCCCTCGCCTTCTTCAAGGACCTCGTCTCCTCCGTCAGCACCGGCACCTACTCCAGCTCCTCCTCCACCTACACCTCCATCATCAACGCCGTCACCACCTACGCCGACGGCTTCATCGACGTCGTTGCCCAGTACACTCCCTCCGACGGCTCCCTGACCGAGCAGTTCGACAAGGACAACGGCACCGCCATCAGCGCCACCCACCTCACCTGGTCCTACGCCGCCTTCCTTTCCGCCGCCGCCCGCCGCGCCGGCATCGTCTCTTCCTCGTGGGGCGCCGCGTCCGCCAACTCTCTGCCCGGCTCCTGCGCCGCCTCTACCGTCGCCGGCACCTACGCCACCGCGACCGCCACCTCCTTCCCCGCCAACCTCACGCCCGCCAGCACCACCGTTACCCCTCCCGCACAGACCGGCTGCGCTTCTGATCATGAGGTTTTGGTTACCTTCAACGAGAAGGTCACCACCAGCCCCGGCCAGACCGTCAAGCTCGTCGGCAGCATCGCTGCCCTCGGCAACTGGGCCCCCGCTAGCGGCGTCGCCCTGTCGGCTAGCCAGTACACCTCCAGCAACCCGACTTGGTACACCACCATTGCGCTGCCCCAGGGTACCTCGTTCACGTACAAGTATGTGGTTGTTAACTCGGATGGGAGCGTGAAGTGGGAGAGCGATCCGAACCGCAGCTATGTGGTTGCGAGTAACTGCGTGGCGACGGCGACTATTAATGATACTTGGAGGTAAATTGTTTGCCTTGGCAAGGTCATGAATGTAAAGAAAATGAGGAAGGAAATGGGAATGGGAATGAGTGATGAGCGAAATGTAGAATGAAGAACCTGGTATCAGTAGTCAAGGAGAAACAGAGGGATTAGGAAAGGGAGACAGAGAGTGCAGTGGGATATCAACCACGGAGGAAGAAAGGAAAGAAGGTAAAACAGGACTTCTTTTCGCATCGGCATCGGCTTGGGCATTTCTTAGCATGCACGGCTACTTGCATCCTTTTCTTTCCCCCTCCTATCCTATCCGTATCTTCCTCTCACTCCACACACGGGCACACACACACAACCCTTTTTATATTCTCTGTATCAAAAATTTCAAGTTTCAACATAGCATAGAAAATGTATAAACATCAAACCACACACACCAACCATCCGATGACTTTCTCGTTTGCAAAAGAAGAAGGGCTTCACTCATTGGCTGCTTATAAGGTGAATGTTCAAAGAGTAATTACAACAAGCTTCAAAAGGTCCGCTGGCTCAATGGCAGAGCGTCTGACTACGAATCAGGAGGTTCCAGGTTCGACCCCTGGGTGGATCGAGATGAGATGGTGGCAGTGATGTGCCTCAAATTCTTTTTTTTTTTTTTTTTTTTTTTTTTTTTTTTTTTTTTTTTTTTTTTTTTTTTTTTTTTTTTTTTTTTTTTTGAACGAGTCATGTATGTGTAAGACCCCTCCCTGGCCGGGACTGGAGTGAATGACTGGCCATCCTTTTTGTTCAACACCTGCAAGTAGATATATGTCTTGAATGCTGAAGTAATGGAGGTCGAACATTCTTGTTTTGTTGTTGTTTTACGTAAGTCCTCTTGGGTTTACGTAAATTGTCCAAAGGTTGGATAACGTGAGACTTCAACGAGAGTTCTGTTTTGCCTTGTTTTGTAACTGTGTGGTTTGGCCTAGTACAGTGCATGTTCAACTTGCCCCTGTCCTGTTATCGTGAAGGCTCGCTCTTCTTCACTCAGCAGGATATGGGCAGAAAAGCCGAGACCTTTTCAGGCATGGGTGATATGCCCGAGGTTTCGGTTTTTTTTTTGTCATTGGCGTGTACAGTAAGAGATTGTAGAGACAGATGTCAGTGGTATGGTAAATAGGTAGTTCGGTAAGATTGTATCTCAAGTACGCCCAAAAATCGTTTTATATCCTTTTGTCCCGCTTGCCCATTCCCATCACAAGCAACGCTTTAGTTGTTGTGGTATATGCTTTGTCAAAAACCCAAAAACCAGAGAGGAGGCATTATATAATACATGAGATGTAGAAACCATTGAACGCCGTTTTGTTCCTGCGCGGGGGCATATGTTGCATACAATTCGTTTTGTTGATGTTGTACACGGGGCTATTATAGTCGAGCCCCTTTTCTCTTATTTTCCTTTTTGGTTTCCCTGGCTATATGTTGAGCCCCTTTCTTGAACTTTTCTTTTGCTTCATGAGCTTGTTGACATGTCATGTCATGCGATGTCATGACATCTCAGGGTATCCTGCCCTGCCCTGCCAAGCCCATGCCCAGAATCTCTGCCCATCCTTTTTTCGGTTGTTGGAAGAAACGGATAGAAACATTTATTTGTTCTTGACGACGCCGACCTGGGCGGGGCGGAGGACGCGGCCGTTGAGCTTGAAGCCCTTCTGCTGGACGTGGAAGACGACGTTGTGCTCCTTGTCGGGCATGGGGGCCATGAAGGTGGCCTCGTGCTCGTTGGGGTTGAAGACCTCACCCATGGGCTCGATGCGCTCGAGACCGTGCTTCTTGAGGGTCTGGAGGAGGATGTTCTCGGTCATCTTGAGGCCCTCGTAGAGGTTGACGAGGTCCTTGAAGTGCTCGGACTGCTCCTCCGACTTGAGCTTCTCCTCAGGAACCACGCTCAAGGCGCGGTCGAAGTTGTCGACGCTTTCAACGAGGTCCTTGGCGAACTTTTGAATGGCGAAGTCCTTGGCCTGCTTGACCTCGCGGGCGGTGCGCTCCTGGAGGTTGCGGAAGTCGGCGACGGTGCGAAGGCACTTGTCCTGTAGAGAGGGGCACCCCGTGTAAGCGACTTGTCCACCATAGCTGTATGCTTTTGTAGCTTTAAAGACCAACCTTCCACTCGCGGGCCTCAGCGTCCTTGGCCTCGAGCTGCTTCTTGAGGGCAGCAACGACATCATCGGCCTCACCCTCCTTCTTCTCGGCGCCCTCGTCGGCCTTCTTCTCACCCTCAGCCTCGGCACTGTACCACCGGGCGGCGGAGCGCAGCTGGGGAGCAGCTGTCCGGGCAGCCTGCATCTGGAAGATCTGGGAAGCAATAGGGCGCTGGGCGGCGACACGGGTGCCGGAGCAGAGGGCTCTGGAAGAGCGGGTGAGGGCTGTTCGTAGCATTTTGGCTGGGTATCTGGATGTGACGGGTGGTGAGATCTGGCGATGTCCGGGACAGGGAAGGGTCGCGTGTTGAAGAGGCACTTTCAAGAAATTTTGAGACAGCTGCGCTAGCACGGGACGCGGGGACGGCATGGACGGGCGGCGGGTGGGCGGCCAACAGGGGCCTCGCAGTCTCCCACAGTGGGAATGGGTGCTGCTGCATCAGTCCTCTCGGCCGGCTGGGCGGGAGCGAACCGAAAAGCGGGTCATGAACGGACCGCGGGCAAAGTCGACAAATTGCCTGCCGGGCCATCGAATCTGATGCTCAAAAGTTGGAGCTCCAACAGCGGGTCTGCCTTGGCGGGGCTCTTCTGTGCGGGGAGATGGACCTTTTTAAAGACACGCCGTGGAGTTGGTCAACGCCAGGTCATGTGAAGATAAGGCGTATTCCCTGTAACTTTGCCTGCCAGGCGAGGGTGAATTGGCGACTGGACGGAAACCTGGTGGCGCCTCGAACCTCGACCCGTCAACGCGCCGAAACTGAAATCAGTCCGCAACTTGCATTTCGCACCACCCGGCCCTTAACAAAGGCCACCTCAACCTCAACTCAACCTCTCCCTCGAACCACAACCTCCCGAACCGTTTCCTTCCGCATCCAAAACTTCATACATCACAAAACGTACGATCGAGAACTACGACGGTAGCGAACGCGACTGACCGACCGACGGTCAACACGCAACGATGGATTACGATCCGATGGTGATGGACGACGCCGAGTCCTTGGGACCGGTCGTCAAAATCTCACAAGTATGTTCTGTGTGCTTTTGCTCGCAGCAAAATGCGCTCGGCTGCTCGTTCCTCGTTCTAAACCATCGTTCTAGGCGGACAACACCCGAGTCAAGTTCGAGCTCTCTAACACCGAGATCTGCTTCGCCAACTCCCTCCGTCGCGTCATGCTTGCCGAAATTCCCACGATTGCCATCGATCTAGTCGAGATCGAGGCCAACAGCTCCGTTTTGGCTGACGAGTTCATCGCCCACCGCCTCGGTCTAATCCCACTTAACGCCGAGGGAATCGATGCACTTCTCTATTCTCGGGAGTGCGACTGCGACGAGTACTGCGAGCATTGCAGTGTGACCCTCAACCTTCACGCCAAGTGCACTGGCGACGACATCATGCAAGTTTGTGCTCGCGATCTTGTTCCAGTGGGCGATCGTGTCAACCAAGTTCTTGGATCGCCCATCATCAACGATCCGGAAGGGCAAGGTCCCCTGATCCTTAAGCTCCGCCACGGCCAGGAGATCAAGCTCCAGTGCATCGCCAAGAAGGGCATTGCAAAGGAGCACTCCAAGTGGGCTCCAAGTGCCGCCATCGGCTTCGAGTACGACCCACACAACAAGCTGCACCACCTCGATTTGTGGTACGAGCAGGATCCCAAGAAGGAGTGGTAAGTACATGACAAATCCCAGTTTACCCAATCCTCTTTGATTTTACTCGTAGCTCACCATGTTTTCACCAGGCCTCCTTCGGAGTATGCCGACTGGGAAGAGCCTCCCCAGGAGGGCGAGCCATTCGATTACGATGCCGTCCCACAACGCTTTTACTTCAACGTCGAGACCGCCGGTCCCATCCCTCCCGATGCCATTGTCCACGAAGGCATCAAGGTCATTCAGCAGAAGCTGGCTGGACTGATCCACGAACTTACCGAAAGCGACGGTGGTGAGAACGGATACAACGGACCGCGTAGCCCAGGCTACAACGAGGGTGGCGACAATTGGAACGATCAGGGATCCTTTACGCCATATGGAAATGGAGGAAATCAGAGCTCTTGGGGAGGCCAGGGCGGCGCCACGCCCTACGGAGCGACGCCTTACGGTGGCGGCCAAAATTCTTGGTCTTGAGCATCATCTGCTTACAGTCTGCCGTTTACGACGTCGATTACTCCTCCCGACGGCTTGCGAGGTCATTGCGCATGTATTTTTCGGGAGGTTTTGGGTATCTGCGGCATCTTTGCGGCGCGGTCTCTCAGCTGCGCACTTCGATCAACAACACAACACTTTCATCGATGCTGATTTACGCATCTCTACATACTCCCGGCATTATCACCGACTCAGCATCTGCCAAATAACCGCGGCGCCTCAAGTCCCTTGCTGCTGGGACCATTAACCAGTCACACTGCGTGGCCAATTTCCATGTCAGTCATCAGGGGCAAATGACAGACGTTTGGCATTAGCCACGAGCCGCCACGTTAGGTCAATCTTGGGGGAAACGCGGAAAAGGAATTATGAGGACTGGAACTTGAAATTAAGGAAGAGGGGAGAGGCGCATTCTGAGGGTTCAAGTCAGGGCGAGAGGAACCAGAGCATATCTTATTTGAGCATCCCTCGCCCAGACATCACAAATACTAAACAACGGAAAGAGGACGGCTTTTTCTATTGGCGTCCTGCAAATGATCTATCGCACAATTGCGAGGTATAGACAAAAGGTGAAATCTAGTCGCCATAGTCTGGTGGCTTCAAATAGGGACAAAAATACCCAAAAAAAACATTTATAAACGGTTATCAAGTGCAAAGTCCATGAATAACCGAGAGGCGATTCTCGCCGAATACTCGAGTCTGATAAGCACTTGCTGCTCTGGTCTATTTGCTTTAAACACGACTCCATGGGAAACACCAAACTCCTAAGGTAGAACTACATGAAGCCAGAACGCCATTGTAGACATGACAGTCCCACCGCCGCTCCAATGTTTGACGGATGAGGGGATATCTAACAGGAACAACATGAATGAAAAAAAAGGAAAAAAAAAACATGAGGTGTCGCCATCTAGCCTCTGACAGAAAGAAACCCCCACCCGGTCTCATAAAATGCAGATTTCTTCTATGCAAATCCGTCCATTATGGCCCTACCAACAACCAAAACCAACCAATCTTTTGATGAAATGCACCGAAAAACCGCTGTTGCTGCTGCTGCAAGTCCGTCTATGTGATAGACTCCCAAGACTGGACATGGGAGGGAACGTGAGGAAGAAAGAGGAAAACAAGGAAAAAAGGAGCCAGGAAGAGGAACGAATGGACACTCGGACACTCATTCCTCAATACCCTTGACCTTCTTGTACATCTTCCGATGGCCTTCCAAGAAGATAAAGGTGCAGATCGTTTGTCTGTCCGCGTCACACACCTCGTTAGCACAACCAATCCCTTAAACCCACAGACCACACCCACAACGAAAAGAAAAAGGGAAGTACTTACGGCCCCAACCTCAAAAAACTCGGCACCCACCCCTTAAACATCCACCTCACCCCCTCCTGCGCATACAAGCTCCCCAGCACCTGCCCAATACTGCTTTTCCCGCTCGCGCTCATCACCCGCGTCTTGATCACATCAATCGGGCTCGTCACCGTCGCCGCCGCCACGCCCGCCAGGAAACTCGCGCTGAAGTGCGTCGCCAGGTTATCCTCCAAGGGCGTGTGCCTAATCAGGATGCGCTTAAACACATCATAACTAGCCAGCTGGCTGGCCGTCATGGCCGCCGCCCGGGCACTATTGGGCCAGACACCTCTAAACCAGCTCCGAAACCCTTCCTCGCGCGTCATCCGCGCCAAGCCGTCGATGGCGTGGGCGTAGTTACGTCTTTGCGCGGGGGGCAGAGCGGCGTCGTGCTGCATCCGCACGTTCAGCACGTCTGCCACGTTGCCGACTAAGCCGCCGGCTACGCCGGAGACGGTGGCCATGGCGATCAGAAGGGGGAAGGAGGCGGGGGAGTCTTTGGTGGTGAAGCGGGTCTTGAGCTCTTCGTAGATGCCGAAGCGCGTGGTGCTGTAGGTGATTTGGCGGAGGAGAGAGGCGGAGAGGCCGTTGTAGAGGCCGGTGATGCCGTGGTGGCGGAGGATGTGGACGACGGTGCCGGACATGGATTTGGGGGCGTCGCCGGTGCGCATTTGGAGGCGGACTTTGACTGTTTTGAGGGGGGCATTGGGGTTAGTGGTGGTGTTCTTGTTCTTGGTGCTGGTCACGGGCAAAACTTACCGAGATCGAGAGGATGTGTGACGGTGGCAGCCATGCTGCTGGCGCTTCCTCCGAACCAGAAGGGATAGTGTATTGTTTGTTGCTTGGACTTGATCGTCGTGGTCGTCGTCGTGGTCGTCGCCGCGACTACGGGCTTATCTGATGTCGTCTGTTTCTCCATGATTGCTTGCGCTGCTGGCTTCGTGACAGACGCTGCGGTGTATTTGGAATCCGAAGGCGAAGGCGCTCCGAGGCCAGTGGTGACGGCCTGCATTGTTGCTTATATACGAAACCGCCCACGAGGGTTCTTGCCGGGGTCCGTTCTTCGTGATGGGGCTTGTTATGGAGCAAGTGTGGAAGTCGGGAGAGACGGGACGAGAGAATACCAAGAGGTCGATTTGTTACAGAGGCATTCCGGATCACCGGCAAACAGCAATCCCAGTTCGATTGATATCAATGGAAGAAAAGAATATGCAAAGGCGGATGCAGGTTCGAGGAACTCAATCTCGCATGCGTAAATGTATGATGCGTTCGTCTGATTTTGGAGAAAGCAGGTCCCAAGGTCCAAACCCAAAAAGTCGAGACGAGATGACGACAGGTAAGGTATTTTACTGAATATGAACATGAAAGAAACAAGAAGTGGGAAACGAACGGTGTACAAGACTCGAAGAAAACCTACGATAAGCGGGCTCCATCGTCTAGACCGCCATGCCGGGAACTGCAGGTTCCTGAACAGGGCGTTATCAGCCCCAGCGTAGCGCCGACTGAGGGCGTGTTCGGTAACCCAGTAAATGGTTCAGTAAATATTACTGGTCGGATTTACTAAATGCTGTACGAGTGCAAATCAGTAAATAATTTCAGTAAATGTTACTGACCGTATTTACCGAGTCCTGTTCGAACCATTAGTAAATCTCCTGTCCGTAATTCGCCCAAAAAACCGGTCCAGTAAATAGGTGGATACGCAACTCCCATTCGCCCAATCAAACAACACCATTTACTGAGAAACATTTCCGGACCTCTGACCCTCTGGAAATGCCAACCAGTATCGCGAATTTACGAGACTAGTTACGCTGGCCACCTCAGACCTTTTGGAAATCCAAACCAGTATCACGAATTTACGAGATCATTTACGTCTGGTCCGTGCCACCCGCCATAAATCCATTTACTGAAATCCCTTTACTGAGGCTCTTACTGGGTTACCGAACACGCCCTGAGGGCATGCGGTTCCGGTTGTGGTTTTTTTTCTTCTTCGGCCCCTAGAATACCGAGCATTGACCCGAAAAGACAGCTGAAAGTGAAAATTTGGGGACCGAGGACAGAGGGGGGAAACGATGTCATCGTGCAGGACTTTTTGGAACAAGGCCCCACACGTCACGCTTGGCACCTTCCATGTGTCAATTGTCAAGCCCCATTGGCCCCTGTAAGTTTAGCAGATCTCCGGGCCGGGCATCGTAGCCGTGGAGGGAATTTTGAGCATTGGGCAATTTTTGTGCTTGTCGGCTGGCCAGCAAGGTCCCTCCCCTCCACCCAATTGTTTACTTTCGATATCGCGATCGCGACTTGACTCGTCCTACACATTGCAATGGCTGGACCACGAGTTCTCGCGGCCAATGTCATGCGGGTCGTGCCTCGCATTGGGGCTCGCTCCCATGTGAGGGCCTCTGCCACGGCTTCGCTTTTGCGACTCAGCGCACAAGCTGGAGGCAGACTGAGCTTGACCAGAGCTCCCAGCCATTGTCTCCGAGTAGCATCTTATTCCTCCTCTGCAGGTCAGCATACTATGTCTACTTAGCTTCCAGAAGCTCTAACCAAACTCGGACTCTAAACAACGCAAAACAAAAAGGTGGTGCTGCTAGCTCCCCTCCCCCACCTTCGACCCCGAACAGCTCGCGACCGGCCACCATCGAGGTCAATGGCAAGACCTACACCACCGACGAATGGTACAACGTCCCCCAGACCGTCCTCGCTCTCACCGGCCGCAAGCTTCATCTCCAGAAAGACCACCCCGTTGCCATCACCCGCCAGATCATTGAGTCCAAGTTCCCGACAGCTACCTACAAGCGCTACAATGAGTTCGACCCCGTCGTCAGCACCATCCAGAACTTCGACTCGCTCGGCTTCCCGCCCGACCACGTCGGCCGCGCCCGCTCCGACACCTACTACATCAACGAGACCACGCTCCTGCGCACCCACACCTCTGCCCACCAGGCCGATACCTTCCGCGCCAGCGCCTCGGACGGCTACCTGATCAGCGCCGACGTCTACCGCCGCGACGAGGTCGACCGCAGCCACTACCCCGTCTTCCACCAGATGGAGGGCGCCCGCGTGTGGGACCGCACCAAGGTTCCCAACGGCGACGTCGTGGCCGCCATCTACGCCGACCTGGCCAAGCTGCCCACGCACGACGTCAAGGTCGAGGACCCCAACCCGCCGCACCACCCGGAGCGCAACCCGCTGCAGAGCGAGCACCATACCCCCGAGGAGGCCGAGGCCGTCGCCGCCCACCTCAAGCGCTCGCTCGAGCTCATGGTCGTCGAGATCTTCACCCGCGCCAAGCAGGCCGCCGCTCGCCAGGATCCCAACTACGTCGACGAGCCGCTGCGCGTTCGCTGGGTTGAAGCCTACTTCCCTTTTACGTCCCCCTCTTGGGAACTCGAGGTGTACTACCAGGGTGACTGGCTCGAGGTGCTGGGTTGTGGTGTCTGCAAGCAGGAGCTGTTCATCAATGCGGACCAGCCGCAGCAGCTCGGCTGGGCGTTCGGCATCGGTCTCGAGCGCATTGCCATGCTTCTGTTCCAGATCCCCGACATCCGTCTGTTCTGGTCCAAGGATGAGCGCTTCTTGAGCCAGTTCACTGGTGTGCAGGATGGCCTTGATAAGCTGAAGCGGTTCGTCCCCTTCTCCAAGTATCCGGCTTGCTGGAAGGATGTGTCTTTCTGGCTGCGGTCGACGTCCGCGGCGGGTGGAAACACTGCCGTGGCCAATGTGCATGACTTCCACGAGAATGACTTGATGGAGGTGGTGCGCGATGTTGCCGGTGATGTGGTGGAAGACGTCCAGCTGAAGGACCAGTTCACCCATCCCAAGACGGGAAGAAAGAGCATGTGCTATAGAATCAACTATAGGAGCTTGGAGAAGACCCTGACGAACGAGGAGGCGAACGACTTCCACGAGCGGGTAAGGCAGGGTTTGGTGGAGAAGCTTGGTGTTGAGCTTAGGTAGACAGGACGTAGCAGAGACGATCGAGTGTATGATACGGTAGGTGTAGTTGATGCGTTTATGTGGAAGATCATGGCCATGATATATGACTTCTTCTCCTCTGTCGGGAGAGCTCTTGTTATGTACGGTATCCAAAACGTACTGCCTCGAAGAGACGACCATTTCCCAACCTCTTGATAGTCTCCCACCCATATCATAGCATGAGCTTCTAGCCCACAAACAAAACGCTTCGCCTGCTCCCACAAACCAAACAACCAAACCAACCCAATCTTACAACCCAATCCTCAAGACATCTCCTTCTTCTTTTCAAGCGGAAGCCTACTTCTCCAACTCCTCCAACCCCTCCGTAGCCCTCGGCCCCCCCTTCCTCCTCCTGTTCTCCTCCGCCCCACTCGCCCTCCACGCACTCAGCATCAATCCAACAATATGCTCCACGCCCACCCCCTTCTTAACCTGCGCAAACACCGTCGGCCCGCCCTCCCTCATCTTCCTCGCATCCCTCTCCATCACCCCAAGGTCCGCCCCCACCGCCTCCGCCAAATCCGTCTTATTAACCACCAACAAATCGCTCTGCGTGATCCCCGGCCCGCCTTTCCTCGGCACCTTATCACCCCCCGAGACATCAATCACGTAAATAATAAAATCCGCCAACTCCCGGCTGTAGTTCGCCGCCAAGTTATCGCCGCCGGACTCGATGAGCAACAAGTCCGTGTCGAATTGGGCGTGCAGGTCCTCGAGGGCCGCCAGGTTGGCCGAGATGTCCTCGCGCACGGCGGCGTGGGGGCATCCGCCTGTTTCGATGGCGCGGATGCGTTGGGGGGGAAGCGCCTTGTGGCGGGTGAGAAACTCGGCGTCTTCGCGCGTGAAGATGTCGTTGGTTACGGCGGCGAGGGAGTGGGAGAGGCGGAGGGCGTGGCAGAGGGCGAGCATGAGGGCTGTTTTGCCGGAGCCTACGGGGCTGTTTGTTTTTTTATTCTGTGTCAGTATACATACGGGAAAGCGAAAGGGAAGGTGGAAGGGAAGGGAAGGAAGGTTGAAGGGGAGGGGGGGAGGGGGGAGGGGGGAGGCAAGAAGTTAGGAAGATAAAAAGACAACAAAACATACCCGCCAATACCAATAGTGAAAGCCCTCTCGTCCCAGTTCCTTCCCTCGACGATGGGCATCTCGCGGCCCAGATAGCTACCGGGGCCATCGAGGATCTCATGGCTGTGGCCATGCTCCTGGGCGTTGAAGCCGCTCTGGGAGTTGAAGTCGTGGGAGTGGCTGTGGGGGTGGCCGCCGTCGCCATGGTCGTGGGAGTGCGTGTGCGACATGCTGTTGTTTTCTTTACTCTGGGTATATTGGTTTTATGAAAGGAACTAGAAGGAGGAAAAGAAGATGGTTCAAAGAGAAACAGACGAAACTTCAATGGAAGAAGAAAAAAAGAGTCACAACACCAAGACCCGATCTGATGCGCCGAGATGTTCTCGACGGCAATAATATCGAGATAAGGTGGGGAGAGGGGCTCCAGTGATTGACGCCGGCGACAACGTCGAGTGACATCGATGAGGGGTAGCTTAGTCACTGTAAATGATTATAGGGGTCCACTATAGAGGTAACCTTTTATTTGGCAGCGGGTGGGAGCGGGCACCTAGCGGTACCGGCCGACTGCGGTGGGGATGAATTTCCTGCCTACACAGTAGAGGGCCGTTTGTTTACTTTCCCCTTTTTTTCTTCTCGGCATATCACCAACATACACGAAAGATCAACATCGTCTTGGATATAAAGAGGTATCAAATTAACAATCGTAACGTACAGGCTGCTCCGAAACTTTTCAACAACCCATCCCACTAAAAAGAAGCCTTCATCAAAACGCGAGAAACAAAAGAAGAAAGGAAAGGAAGAAAAGGAACTCATAACTCATCGCCAGCCAGCCAGTACCGGTCATCACCTGCTACCTATCGTACCATACTGCTGATCGTCACCCATCAACAGACTCAAAAAGCATTCAAAGACTCTCCCCTTCCTTCCAAATCCTATACCCTCCCATGTTTCTATCATCAAATCGTTGCGAAGAATGGTCAAAAAGTAACCTTCCACCACCGCCGACCTGTCAATGGTACAACAAAGGAATCCCAGGTTAGCTTCAAACCTCGGTCTCGACATCCGGCGTCCGTCCACTCAGGCTTCCAACCTTCTTGAGCCTGCGAGCGGCGAACAGGGCCTCATCCTTGGCGAATTGGACGTTGCGCATTGGTTTCCTTTTTTTCGACCTGTTAGTATACTCCTGATCAAGAAAGTCCTGGGGGGAAGGAAAAGAACGAGAATGACTCACCATTGCATCAACCCCCGATGCTGACGATGCAAATCCCGACTGCGGCTCCTATACTCCTTAAACTGCTTGATGGGATTCTTGCTGCTCGAGCCCGTAGCCGACTTGACCGACCGTCCAGCCGAGGTAGTAGCCTGGCTATCCATCGACTGTCTCCCCACCATGGACGACGACCCGTTGGCGTTGGGATGCTCACCAGCCGACGAGCCGTTACCGGCATTCAGCCCTGAGTTCATCCCGCCATGAGCAGCATCCTCTCCCCCCGCATTATCGTTCATCGGTCGCTCATTGTCCCCATCAGCAATACCCAAGTCGGGATTCGAATCGTCGTCATCAACCGCTGACCCTCCGTTGCCGATGATATCGGCATTCCCATTTGCATGCTGGCTGTCATGAGACTCGTCATCACTGCTCTCCTCATACTCCGTACTCCTCCCCTCGCTATTATTACTCCCTCCACTCGCCGCCCTGCTCCTCCTCCGCCTCCTGTTCTGCTCCGCCAACAGCTCCTCCGGATCCTGACCAAACGCCCCGGACCAATCCGTCCCGTCCTTGGCTAACCACTTCCTCTTATCCTCCTCCCTCGCCTTCTTGAGCACATCCCTCCCCTCCGTCAAGCTCTCCTCATGCAGTCTCTGCACGATGGGAGGCACCTCGCTCGCGACATGCTCAGCCCTGACGCCCTCGGCGAAGCACGCCTCCCAGCTCTCAATCGTCTCCCGCGAATCATTATCGCTGACGAACTTGAGATGGTCGCGATCCGTTCCGGGTTTGAACCGGCCCCTGAACCGGAGCCGTCCCAGCTCCTCCATCTGCATGTCGGGAACAGACCTATAATTCTCCTCGGTGATGTAATTCTGCGACAGCCGCATGCCGTTGTTACAGCGCCAGATGGGGATGTCGAAGTCCTTCTCCTCATTGTCCACCAGATCCTGCAGCCAGAAGGCGGCGAAGGTGTCCGTGTTGCGCTTGCCGGAGCGGTGGAACTCGAAGAAGACGGGCGAGCGGTACCGGTAGCGCACGGGCAGGCGGATCTTCTTGGAATGCTTGTTGCGGGCGACGTCGCCGGAAATGTCCCACGTGATACCGGATTGGCCATCGGGTGTGAACGAACACACGTCGCCAGGCACCTTGGCCGACGAGCCGCCGGTGCGCAACTTGATCTTCATCTTGTCCGTGGGCGCGAAGCCCGAGGTGGTGATGCTGTCCGAGGTGAACTCGAAGGTGCCGATCTCGCCGAAGCCGAGCTGCGGAGGGGGCAGCTTGAGCTCGACGGAGCGGAAGAGGAGGGAAATACGGATGCGGCCGAAGCCGATGCCGCCGTCCAGAGGGTACCAGCGCGTGCTCTGGCTGGCGGTCTGGAAGACGTCCGAGAGCTTGAGCGGGACGACGCCGATGATGGGGTCGTGCTGGCGGTTGCGCGAGTCGCGCACGGTGACGGTCACGATGGACGAGCGCCAGTCGCGGATGAACCGCTCGGTACCGGCTTCGAAAATGGGCTTAGAGGAGACGACCTTGGTGCGGGTCTTGTAGACGAGCTCGTCGTTGATGAGGATGGTGCAGTACGAGCTAGGCAGCTTACCGCCCGATTCTTCCTTGAGCTCGCCAGCGTCTGGTCTGGCGGGCTCGTATTCCTTGCCCTTCCTCTTACCGTTGGATCCCTTGACGTTCTCGAGCTCTAGGTTGACAATCTGGTGGACAATAACACTCAGAACACCGCTAGGCCACAACGGGTCAGGAGGAGTATGGACAACGGCATCTTCCTCCGTGTTCTCAAGAGTGCCCTTGTCATCCTGGAGTTCAGGCTTGTCGCGGAGTTCCTTGGGCAGCTTGTGATCCTTGCCATCCGTCCTGAGAGCCTTCCTGAACTGGGTCTTGCCAAAGAAGCCAACCTCCCAGTGAAGCTCGCCAGGCATGGAGCTGCCAGCCTTGACACCTCTGAGCTTGGAAGTCTGGGGGAACATCTTGCCGGGGTGCTGGATCAGCTTCTGGATGCTCAGCTCAACCTTGCCGACGACATCATCGGCGGAGCTGCGATCGCTGTCCCAGAGCTCGAGCGAGAGCTGCTCATCAGCCTTAATGATATCGGGGGTGACGAGCAAGGCGCAAGTCTCGGAGAAGACGGGGTTGAGGTCGTCCTGGATGACACGAGTGCAGTATTGCGGCTTGCCGAACTTGGAGAAGGAGACGCAAATGTAAGGGTCGGAACCGCCGCCCTGGCTTCCGCGGCGGTCTTGCTTGCTCAGACCAGTAGCTTTGTGAATGCGAATGAAGAGGACACCAAGGGCCTGGGTCTCCTTCTTGATGGTGTCTCCCTGAAGCATCTTTCCAATGTCCAATGTCATAGACTTGGGCGCAACGTACATGCCAGCGGCAGTTGCGATGGCCCAGTTGACAAAGTTGGAGATGACAGGTAGGTTAAGAATGTTTGCTCCCTTTTGCATGACGGGAACGCAGCTGGCCTCGACCTTAGGCAGGCCCATGAGGGTGAAGCTGAGCGTCTTGATGAATGGCGGATCAGGAGCCATGGCAATTCTGAGTCTGCAAGTAGCGACAAGGCCGTTGAGCTCGACCCAGACGGGGAAGGGGACTCCAAAGAAGCCCTTGAGACCGAGATAGAAGACCAACTGCATGCCCATGTTCTTGGCCTTGGAGGAGACATCTCCGGTAGAAGGCAGAGAATGATAAGCAACAGTAGCCTCGAGGTTGTAAAAGTCACCACCCTCTTCCTCAGCCGCCAGTTCCTGGGGGTCCTTGCTCTTCTCGTCCTCCTTGCGAATCTCAGCCTTCATATCCTGGACGTGACTATCGGGCAGGGCTCTCAAGCTGAGAATGCGGAGCGGGTTGCTGCCCTGGTTGATGTCGTTGACCTTGACGTTCTCAATGACTCCGGGAACACTGGCCTGCATGATATCCTCGAGGGTATCGGCAACGGCAGCAAACATCTCCGGGTTAATGAGGCCCCAGATCAGCCCAACGGCAGTGTTCAGCCACTCGACACTTTCGGGAATTAGGTTGACCACGGCGGTTTCGCCGCGCTTCTGCTCGCTCGACCATTCCATGTCCCGCCCCTGACGGATAAGGTCCTTGGCCCACAAGAAGACGCCGCTGGCGACGCACATGCCGAGGGGAAACAAGCCCCAGAGGCTGCCGCCCAGCACCTTTCCAATAAAGACGATAGCGATGAAGACGAATGCGCAGAGGACGTTGGCGCGGGCCTCGATGGACTCGAACATGGGCTCGAAGGTGATGGAAGGGGTGGGGTGGAAGAGCACGTTGGTCTTTTCGCCGTGGATGGGCACGTCGCTGGTAGAGCCATTGGCGATGGGATCAGGAGGCGCGGTGACATCTTGGGCTTCGCGGTATTCCTCGCCGGACTGGGAGGCTTTGGTTTGGACGGTGGTTTCCTTTCCGAGGTTTGCGTTGGGAACAGTCAACTGAAAAGGAAAAGGCCGGTTAGTTTGCGCTTCTTCTTTAGTACTGTAGGTGAATATAAACAGACATACCATTGGGTCCTTGGCCGTCTTCATCTGCTTGCTATCGATGTCCTCGATCTCGACATCCTTTCCCGTTATTGGGTCCTTGACGGTGCGGCGGTTCTTGCCGGGTTTTTCTGTCGGGACGTGGGCCTGAAGCTCGCCGTTTTGGCCATTCTGGCGCAAGTCGGCCTCGACTTTGGCATCGCGTTCCTTCTTGTCCCTATCAAGACTTTCGACGAACTGCTTGATGTTGGGGATGCGGTTGGTGCCCGAGTAGGGTTGGCCCCCAGGATAGTGCCGCGCTTCTGGGCCGTCCATGCTTTACTGTTGTCCTGTATCAATCTCCTTTGGATGGTGGTTTCACATATAACTGAAATGTTGCTATTTGTATTAAGTCGAGGCGAGTAGTTGATATACCCCCTCCAGATCTTGTTGATAGGCCACAATCACCGTTTGAGAATTAAGAAGGAATAAAGATAAGGTTGCGGTGATATAGAGTAGGGATGCAGCGGAGTATCAAGACCTGGATGGGACCGGTACTTGTGGTACTGGAAACGAGGGGACGTCAAACATGAAGATCAAGATGGATGGTCCAATTTATAGCTAGCTCCCTGCAAGTGGTAAGGGTGTTACGTAGTGGGCGCATCAGGTTTCCAGGGTAGCTGCAGTAGTATTCCTACACTACCTTATTAGGTTGTGGAAAATCAAGCAGGAATCAGAGACATGAGATGAACGGGCAAGATGGGTGGATGGGGAGCTTGACGGGGGGCCGGGGCCGGGCAGTATTGGAGAACAAGTATAAAGAGGGTTGTACAGTATCAACTTTGATAATTTTTCTCTGATAGCTCTCCTAGGAGACTGTGCTCTGCCTCAGCCAAGCCCCAATAGTGGCCAATGGGAAAAAGCAAGAAGCGAAACATATGAAGTCGATCCGATTGCGGTCATGAAAGAAATCTAGATCCCAGATGGCTTGACTTGTCATCATCTCTGTCGAGACTCCTCACCTTCCCAAGACTTGGAGAGTTTGGTATGGAACCCAATTACCACCCAACTGAGAGATCAATCAGAGATGCTGCCATGTGTATATGGACATTCCAATGGCAACTGAAACCCCTCAATTGGTGATACCCATGGTGGTTGTCGAAGAGGTTCAAGTTGTGATGTTGTGTGTCTTGGTCTTGGGAAGATGTAAAGCCATGACGTCATTGTCGCAGCTCATCCCATAACGTCAACTGCCAAGCTACAGCGGGCTAGCACTGCGGCTGTCTTGGCTATCATCTCCACTGAACGAATGCGAGCACATGAAGGAGGGACCCGTCCACTTCCAACGGTTCACTCCGTCTCGTCCCCGCCGTCAAGTTCCGTCTTTTACCTTTTCCGTTCTCGGTGTTGTCGTTTGTTGGTCTGGAACTTTGCGGGATGACGTTGGCAGCTTGTTATTGACAGGTTGACCACACGTAGGAAGTTATTTGCGGATACTACAATATGCTGTGCTTCGGAGCAAAGACTGAAAGAAGGAAAGAAGAAAGACAGGGAAAATGTCTAACAACACTCCCCCTCCCTCTCCGTCTCACGGCTTGTTGGTTGGGGTGTTGATGTTATGATTGGCCCGTCTGATATGCCTAGAGGTAGGCATACGTCTTTGTGTACTCCCAGTCTCCCCATGCTCCCCATGTTGGCATTCCACGTGTGAAGAAGCTATCTGCATGTCAACATCCAATGCAACGTGGAGATATCGATGGATTAGGAGACCAATGGCGCTAGTAGGTAGCATGTCGGCCAAGAGGGTACACACAGTGATGAGAAGATGAAAGCGAAGAAGGAATCACGGCATAATTGTTGAAGAGACGGAGGTTTTGTGTGTATGTATGTGAAAATGGTTTGTTTGATTTACGCCTTCATATCCCCAAAAGGGATCCATCTCTGATCCAGCCAGTTCATATCCATCATCACACGTTCATGTCCATGTCCATAACCATAACCATATCCATACCCTTTTACACTTAAACCCAAAACATAATAACAACCAAGTAAGCAGTAGCTAAACCTCCCATATGCATATCCATATCCAAACCCATATCGCATCCATGCTCCGTCTATCCAACTAACAAATCCCCAACCCCAACCTCTCCACCGCATACCCCGGCCTCCCCCCAACCGTAGGCGTATCCATATCCATATCCGTATCCATATCCGACGAGTGACATGGCTGATCACCACTTGCTCCTTTACTATTCCCAATACTCCCATTGAAGGAAAAGTTGTTTCCATTAACCTTCAAATAGTTCCTGTAGACGTTGTTACTGTCCCCATCTTCCCCATCCGCACCGCCAAACGAAGACTCGTTATCACCAGCAGAGTCATCATAAACGCTGCTAGCATCTGACATCTCCACGTCCCCGTTGTAGACGGACGAGCTGTCGAAGACGGAGTCCTCGGACAACAAAGACTCGGCTTGGGACATGATGCTGGTCATGCTGGTGACGGACTCCATGCTGGGGGTTTGGGGTTCTATGTGTGGGAGGGTGGGTTCGGGGGTGAGTGTGGCGCGGGACTGCTGCTGGAGGGGCTCAGGTTGCTGACTATGTTGCTGGGGTGGTGATTGTTGTTGTGTTTGTGTTTGCTGTTGCTGTTGCTGCTGTTGTTGTTGTTGCACCACGGGCAGTGCTGGAGCAGTAGCCACGGGCGCAGCAGGCAAAACAGGTAAAGACATGGAAGGCAAGCTCAAAGCAGGCCTTAGCCTCCTAGTACTAGTCGGCCCCGGTACCGGCACCGGCAACCTGGGTATTTGCAATGCCACAGCCGCAGCAGCTTTGTTCCCAGCAACAACCCCAGCAACAACAGTTTGTCCCTGCCCCTGCCCCTGACCCCAAGACTGCGCCTGCTGCGTCTGCGCCCTCGTCCTCGCCCTGCCCCCCTTCGGCGGCATCGGCACCGCCAACACCGGCACGCCCACCATGGCTTCCTTTTTTTCGGCTACTACCGCGTTCGAGAGTTCCGGCCTCACTGCCGTCCAGGGCACCACCGGGCTCCCGCACTCCTCCAGCTCCGCGTCCTCGGCGTCCTTCCCGATCGTCCACACCCACCTCCGCTTCTTCTCCCTCTTTTTCCCGGTACCACCGCCGCGCTGCTGCTTGCGTATCCCCCCACTCGTCGGCGAAAGCGAGATGGGCGTCGACGCGTGCATGCCCGCCATGCGCCTGCGCATCTCCTCATAGGGCCCCGGAGTCTGGCCCCCGTCGCGGGTTTCGTTGCCGGTGTAGGCCATGGTTTGGTCTAGCAGTTCTTCGCCGTCTGAAGATGAAGAGCATGATGATGATGAGGATGATGGGACGGATTTAGCCGTGGGCGTGGTAGGTGTCCCGGAGTCTTCGGCTAGCAGGTCCACGTGCGACTTGGTGTACTTGCTCGTGGTGATGGTCTCGCACAGCGGACTGTTGTAAGCCACCCGCCGAGCGGCCTTTTCCTGGAGCCGGAGCGATTGGCGCCTGGACGAGTTGGGGGATTGGCAGGTCAGGGGCGCGAGGGGGCTGTTGCGGAGGATGCTGCGGAGGGAACGCGGGTGGGTGTAGGGGAGCTTGACGTTGGATGGGAAGGTGGTTCGCCTCCTGGGCGTTTCTGAACAAGAAGGCATCTCTGATGCTTGTGAGGTGGTAGTATTGAGGCTAAGTGACGCCATGTTGTTGTTATTGTTGTTGTTGTTGTTGTTGTTGTTGTTGTTGTTGTTGTTGTTGTTGTTGTTGTTGTTGTTGTTGGACTCAAAGGTAAACACGCGAGGGCCGTTCTGGTCTTGCGGCTGGGCGGATAGTGGTGGTGTCGCCGTCATGGCACTAGGAAACATCATCTGGCTTTGTGCTGTTGCAATGGCAGGTGACATTGGTTGCGCCGTGAGGGGAGTGTCGAGATATGGGCCCAAATAAGGAGTTTGTAGTCGACGGTCCTTGGATACTGCTGCTGCTCCGCCATCTTGGCCAGCCTGGGTTTGGAGGCGCAGCATCGGCCTCCCCCCCGATAGCGCTGTTGCCGGGGCATGCTCCTGGATTGGCGTCGACCTATCCACAGCGGTGGCGTAAACATTGGACAGTGTGTTGAAGGCTGTAGGAGACTTGACGTCCACGGCGGCGGCCAGCGTCCTGGATGTCCTGACACTCGAACCATTGAAGGTCTTGATCTGAAGGGAAAGCCTTGGCCTCTTGGGCGGGCTGCTGGGCTGGGATTGATGAGTCGACATTTCCAGAATGTCGGGTTGGTTCTCACTCGGTTCGTTCCAGTTCCCGTGCTTGCTTCTCTTTCTCTTGTTGATTATAACAGTTTGCAATGAAGGTTTTTCAAGAGAGTCGTCAAAGCCCACCCACTGAGCAACTGGCAGGCTGGAGACCCTCTTTGAGGAATCTAGAACCAAAGAAGCGAGAAACAACAGAGAAAAATGAAAAAAAAAAAAAAAAAAAAAAAAAAAAAACCGTACGTAGGGGAGGGGGGATGCCGAGGGGGACACGGGCGGCTATATAGAACGGTAGTAGTATATTAAATGATGTGATATGATGGGCCCAACGAGCAGCAGATCCTTCAGGTGTGCCGGATAGTATCACTATGTAGCACGGATGCGTGCTGGCGGCGGCGGCGGCAAGTAGTGTGGGCGGGAGGGCTGGCGGATCAGGGAGGGCAACTATTGACGGACGGGAGACCAGTCGTTGCCAGTTGGTGATAGATGAGTATAGGTTTCTTGGAGTGTAGTACCGCTTTTACCCAGTCGTAAGAGATTTACTAAACCTGGCAGTTTTGGTGAGAGAAGCTGCATATGCAAGGCGGCTTTAGTGCATATGAGGCATCGATCCAATAGGGTTATCCCATTTTCCTAGCTAGCGCCTTTGGTAAATCTCTTACGACTGAGTAGAAGCGGTATGAAAGAGGAAGAGAGGGCTGGAAGCGCCATGAGCCATGCTCCTCCCATGCTCCTCACACACAACACCCGCCCAACAACACTCTGAACCGAGGCCATCCTATCCACATGCAGCCCCCGACGGGAAGTCTAGGAGGAGATGGTGAACCTCATCTGTATCGATCAGTCCTGTGCTGTGGTAGGGCAAGCTCACAAGTCACAAGAAAAGCCCCTCGCCCCCTCCTCAGTACTTCTCCCCTCTGTTTCCCCTCTGTTCCAACGTTCCTCGGTGACGACGACAAGGATAGGGAAAGAAAAAAAAACAGAAAAAGGGAACGCAAAGGATGGTGACACCACTGTGAACGCAGACGGACAAAACTCTGTGGTTGGTTGGTTGGTTGGTTTCCGTCAAAACCCTCTTCACCACCACGCCATCCACCACAGTCCAACACAGTCCATCACCTCCCCTGCTCCCCTGTCGATGCCTGTATGGTGCAGGCGCAAGCGCCCACACTGACCAATCATAGCCACAGATTCTGGGATGCAGACGCTATGCGGGCACACAAGTCACATCGCGTCTAATTCTTATTTTATACATAGAAACCGCACTTGGCCGAACTCGGTAGGTGGCTTGGATGATGGGCGGACCATCGAGAACATCGAGTCCCATCAGTTTCCTGTTTATCGATTGGATCTTCGAACTGATAGGCGCCGCAGCTGAGTCCGTCCTCTCTCACTCAGTTCCCGCCGCCGCCGCCAAACAGCTTCAGAGAAAGACAACTGCAGTGGAATGCCATGCCCTCCCACATGTTTCCCGCTGACGCTGCGTGTGGATGAGGATCGTCTTTTACCACGGGCATTCTCCTCACGCGAGTCGACGTTATAAACGCTCATCTTCTCCTTGAATCCGGCAAACGTGAAACTGTCGCATCGATTTTTCCTTTCCCCAGTACGTCCCCACATGGCCGGTCTAAAGTCGACCGAGGCTTTTCCTTTTTGCTGTTTTTCTTCCGAGGTAAATAGGATCGTATGGTCATGAGGGCATCATCAGTCATCGATACACCAGTTCTAGGTACCCCGTGCTTAAAAATACCTACCTATGTGAACAGGAACAGGGTATTCTTACGTTAGCCCGCCACCGCCAGGAGAAGAAGAAGAAGAAGTGGAAGTTTCCAAATTTGGCATCACAGAAGAACAAGAACAAGAAAAAAACGTGCTGTCTAGGCCTTGTGTTAGTTACCTCCAGTTCTCTGGGCACGGGCACGGCGGGGGGCGAGACCTTCGGAGAGACAAGCCGAGCCGAGAGACAACCACACCACCACCACCAACACCACCAACATACGTTGACTGACGATGAACCCTACCTACAGCTTCGGCTGGGGCTGAAATCCACACTCCCACATAAGCAGACAGAGAGATCCGTACACAAAAACAATCCACGGTGTCAAATGTCGAACGATTGAGCCATCAATTTCCCAGATCTTCATTCCACGTCCATGTCCTCCTTTCTGCATTCGCATTTGACTTGACTTGACTTGAGCCCTGCGTACGTACGTACGGGCCGATGCCAGAGAATGGAAAAGCCACCATGAAAACGCCGCCATGGGATGGGGGTTTGACATTGACACATCGGGTAGGGATTTGGCATGCACGTTTACGTGCGTTGGCTTTTAACGGACGATCCGAAAAATGATATGGGATTCATGGAAGTTAGGTAATGGCGAAAATAGTACCGGATCGCTTGTTTTCCGCGGCATCGTCGTCGTCGCATCGTTGGATCCAGCTATCCAGCTCTCGCACAGACGGTTATCGGTTGCCCAAGATAGTAGTTCCGAAGAAGCCATGACTAGAAGGTATGTATCTTCATCGTCGCAAGTCGGAATGTCCGACTTCCGTCTGACTGAGCATGTGGATGGACTATGTACCTACTCCATCCAGCCTGACCACTCCCGTCCCCTCCGCCGCGGCGCCGATGGGATCCGACCAGCTTCTATTTCCAGCACAAATGATTTGACCGCTAGTGTACACTAGAAAGGTTCGGTGTGTGTCTGTAAGTTGTTCCTCTCACGTCCTAACCACGTGGTTGGACGAGCCGCATTCGTCATCATCACTTCCATATGTAGCTATCTCCAGTGGGATTGGCAGGTTCCTCAAAGATGGATGGATAGTAGCTTAGCTTCCTTCTTGTGCAGTGGGTGATCAAGTGTTGTCCCGTGATTATGATCTGCCATAATATCAGATCATGATTGGAAACAGTTTTCTTTTGCTATTAATACAGTCGGCCGTGATTTAGGTGTTGAGCGGTGATATGATTGCTTGCTTGCCTGCTGAATGCCACGCCGCCAAAGCCATGCAAGTCTTTCATTCTTACTTGGACTGTAAAAATGAATGACTCTCCTTCTCACAACAAGCTCCGATGAAGCTTGACATTCGCAATCTGGCGATCCTTAAACGTCTTCTCCTCCCCTTCCTTCCAGTATTTATTCGGTCTGATCCCCTGCTCTCGCCACTTCTTGGGCGGCTTCACGCCCAGCTCAGCATACCTCTGCCAGATCTGCGTGCCGCGCTTGAACCACCTCTCCTGGCGCTCAATCTCCTCGTCCGGGTCCGGCCGCCACTTGCTCCTGAGGATCCTGCGGATCGCCTCGGGCGACACCTGGAACTTGTTGGACAGCACCTCGGTCGTGTACTCCTCCGGAAACTGCTTGTGCAGCGCCCGGATGCCCTCCAGCGCGTCTGGGGATAGCTTCTTGAGCGGCTTCCAACCCTCAGGGAACTTTTCCTTCAGAGCGTTCTTCTGGTGCTGCCAGTCCCCGCGCTTGGGGTTGGACGGGTTGTACTTTTTGGGCTCCTCGAGTGACTCCCTCAGCTTTTGTTGCTGCCGCTCTTGCTTCCGCGCTTGCCTCTCGGCCTCGTCGGGCATCTCTTTGCCGGCTTTGGCGTAGAGTTCTCTCCTTTCCTCTTCTGGTAGATCTCTCCACCTGATCTTCTTCTTTGTAGACTCCGCGTTGTCTCCTTCTTCTTGGGTTGTGGGCGCTTCATCGCTTCGCTTGACCTTTCTAAACTCTCGAGGGTTGAAGTCTCGGCGTCTTGGAGGCTGCTCTCCCATCCAGTTAGGGTTGGCAGGAGCATTGGTTTTTCTGAAGAGCAGTTTCGGGGCTTTCGGTTTCTCTGTGGTCGTTGGCGGCTCAGCCTGGTTTGCCTCCTCGGAGACAGCCTCTGTGGAGTCGGTTCGGGCAGCGCGTGTTGTGTGTAGAGATCGTGTATGGAAAGGTAGAGATGTAGTCCTTGACCTGTGAATGCCGGAAAGCGCTCTTGGGGTGACTTGTTGAGATGAGGGTACTTGGATGTTGGCGACGTTTCGGACGAAGATCCGCAGCGCGGCGGTGTTGCAAGAGCAACTCATTGTGATATGACGGGCAGGAATAGTGAAGAGATGAGAGAGATAACTGCTGGGGAATCAAGATGGAGGCGACTCGGTGGGAGAGGAGCCTGAGGTGAGCGCGATGGCTTCAATTGTTGCGGTTCTGGAATTCTCGATGGAAATCTTAATGATCGCGACCACGATAAGATATCGACGTTAGCGGTTTCGAAAAATTTCCCCAGGGTCCTTGGACGCCAGAGGCCTTGCCTGCCCACTGAAACTCAACCTTATGGGGCATTTTGTTAGCGTGCATCGGTCTCCCCAGCAGCCGCCCCGTCGCGCAGCCGCCCTCCACCGGGCCCACTTTGCTTATCTGGTATAAGTCTTATCGATAACGTCTCGCGCTTATCGGATGCCCTTTCGACTGCGTCAAATGTTGCATTTGAGCCCCTTGCATTGTTTATATTGTGTAACCTCAAACTTGAAGCTATCGTGATCATCTACGACCAGGATTGCTGACACTCTTCAATTTCATGTTGATAGTTTTAACTTGTCACCACGACACAAGAGGACCGTGGACAGCATTTGGCCTCGGGCCATGCCGGGATGTCTTCCCCTACGATGACCAAAATGTGGGGAAGATACCATCAATGATTCCCTCAACCATCATGGTGTCTTCAACTGGGACTTGTGGCGAATGCCACTGGTGTCCATGGCACATAAACATCTACATCTACATAGTACGAGTCACAGTTACCGGTTGACAGGCCAAGTAGTTACCAAAGACAACGTATTCTACTCCGGCTCTTCTACCCTACATCGACGGGGACATCGCAATCCCGGTCATTGACAGTGAAGACATCGCCGAGAACCATTTCTTGGTAATTGGTATCCTGTTATGCCCGTTCCAATAAGGCCAAAGCAACCAGATTTCGCCTAATTTCTCACGTTTCTTTCAATATTACAGAGACAGGCAAATTCGCCTAGTCAAGCTTTCAAGTGGAAAACGCCTCCTCTATAAGTCATGACGACTTGAGTCCATTGTTCAACGCTTCAAATATTCAAAAGCACCACAAAAGCCACTCAACCATGTCCCCCAGCAACCCCAACCCCAACCGCAAAGACGTTTGGGGCTACACCTTCGACTGGACCCCTTCCCACCTCACAGCCACCGACCTCCACCCTCTCACCCTCTCCTACGACAAACTAACCAACGACTGTCTCGACGAATTCGACAAACTCGGCCTAACATCCTCTTCCTCCCTTCCTTCTTCTTCTTCTTCTTCTTCTTCTTCTTCTTCTTCTTCTTCTTCTTCTTCTTCTTCTTCTTCTTCCTCCTCTTCTTCCTCCTCCTCCTCCTCCTCCTCCTGCTCCTCCTGCTCCTCCTCTTCCTCCCCCTCCTCTAGACCTTCTTCCCATCCCAACACCAACACCACTAGCAACACCAACGGCAGCAATAATGCCTGCTGCCCCCTCCACCAAACCGACTTCCTCCACCTCCTCCAGCACCACCACTACCACCACCCCTCCTCCTCCCCCTCTCTCTCCCGTCTCTGGACACAACTAACCACCGTCCCGCCCTGGGTCTCCTACCCGCAAATCGCGCGCGGCCAAGCCGTGTTCTACCGATACGCCGGGCCCGCCATCACCTCGTTAACCTTCCATTCCCTCTTAGGGGGGATGGCTTCAGCCCGTGTAGTCGAAACCCTAGCGAGAACGGGTGGGTTCGGGACGAGAGTCGCGAGAAGAAGACTGCTGGAGACGTTTCAGCATATTCTGGATGTCACGGAGGGAGTGGAGTCGATGAAGCCTCCTGGTGGGAGGGGGTGGAGGAGTACGGTGAGGGTGAGGTTTTTGCATGGCATGGTGAGGAGGCGGATTTTGGGGTTGAGTAAGAAGAAGAAGGAGGATGGACGGGGAGGAGGATACTATGATGCTGAGAAGCTCGGAGTGCCGATTAATGATTTAGACAGCATCGGCACCATCGCCTCTTTTTCCTCGGCCCTCATCTGGATGGGTTTACCGAGACAAGGCATCTTTTTGACTTCTCAAGAAATAAAAGATTATCTGGCGCTGTGGCGGTACGTGGCTTATCTTATTGGTGTACCGGACACCATCACCATCACCATCCCTTCTTCGTCCTCCGATGGTCATAGTACCCAAAGAAAAATCACGCCTTTCGGAAGCGCTCAGGAAGCTAAGATGGTGATCGAGTCAATCATGCTCTCGGAACTCAGCGACCCCAGCGAGACGTCAGCTGTTCTGGCCAACAACATCATCGCCGCGCTGGCGAACCAGCCACCGCTGCGCAGCTCCGCGTCCTTTCTCAGGGCGCAAGCGTACTGGTTAAATGGCTCCAGCCTATGTCAGACTTTAAAAATCCCCAAGCCGCCGGTTTTTTATAAAATGTTGGTAGGCAGTCAGTGTTCGTTCTTTATGGTATTTTGTTATCTGCGGCAGATGCATTATTTGTTGTTGCGTTGGGTTCCTCCGTGGGACAGCAACGAAAAGAATGATGAAGAGGGTGGGGTTACTGCTGGACAAACACAGGAACGATACAAGAGGGTGAGAAGGCTGATGAGGAATGTGGTCGTTGAGATGGCTGGGGGGAAGGAGGCGGAGTTTGGGTTTGAGTGGGTGCCGGAAAGGGGGAAGTATACGGGTTCTGAGAGGGGTGAGGAGGATGAAGAAGAAGGAGATGGGAAGGGGAAGGGGAGGTTGAGAAGGAAGGGTTGGTGGGAATGGATTGTTAGCAGGAATGGTGGCTCGGAGTTCAGGAGTCTGAAGACGTTTTTGGTTGCGAGTACAGTTGTCGGCTGTCTGGTCTGGATTGGAGTTAGGGGGTTGTTATTTGGGACGATGCCTTTGTTTCGTCGATGATGGTTTAGGCTGAAGACCTTTGGGTTGGCGTATTGCTGGGTTTTGGAATGCATTGGGAGTTAAAGGCGTTGTCAAAACTCGGGTCAATAATCATGATATCGGAGGGACTGTGATGAATTTACAGAAGTATACCAACGAAAGGTGGACGAGATGGCTCGAGCCATAGTCGGTTGTCTACCATTCACACCTGTCATGTCACTATCAAAACAACATAGATATTTGCATGCTAGAGTTGATATACACTACTTTATTTGTATACTATCATATGCTCTCTATCCATGAGCCTATGCTCCAGACTGACTGAATAAATATTGCAAACCCAGTTTTTGTTTACCCCGAACAAATATGCAAACATGCTTTGACGATGCCCATGACTTGCTTTCCTCTACCCATCCAGTTTGTGCTAATGCTGGTAATGGTGGAAAATATGTTGCTCGTCCAGTAATCCGGGAACACCAACACCTAAACGCCCATGCCCGCCAACCTTGACATCCGATTATGTGATTGATCCTTTCCTTGCGTGAGAACAATTGATAGAATATGATATTAGAGTCGTGGAAAAAGAGAGTTAAGAAAAGAAAAGAGTCGCTCGCTCGTTCGTCGCTCAAGCATCGTGCATCAACTCGACAGGCGGCCTCGCGGTATGGGCAAAGATGGGCTTCGTCCTGGGAGATTCCGACACGGGGCTCATATCGATATCGCCATCGGCATCCGCCTCGTCCGTCATGTCGTCAACAGTGACACAAGGCAAGTCGACCGCCGGGCCGGCCTTGCCATTGCTAGTCTTGACATTCTTGTCAGGCTGGAAGATGAGCGTCGAGCTGCGACTCCTGTTCTTCCTCGCGTTCTCCTTGAAGTCACCACCGGCACCGGCACCGGGCCTGCTGCTGCCGCCATCGGAAGCCGGGGAAACGGGGACCTTGACATCGGCGTCAATGCCGTTGGGGTTGTTGTGGTGCCTCAGCTTGGCGAGCGCCTCGGCGAGATCCTCGGCGTGCACCATGGTGTTGGGGGCATCCTCCATGCGCTGCTCCCAGTCGTGGGGAGGGCTCGGGGGCGGGCTGATGAAGAAGAGCTTGCCGGCGTCGGGCAGGGCCAAGTGCTTGTCGGCGGCGGATACGTCGATGGGGGTGGGCTGGCCAAAGTAGACGCGGCAGCGCTCGCCGAGGATGGCCTCACCGTCCCAGACGGAGCGGACGGCGATGGCGGCTTGCTCGTCGAAGAAGGTGACGATGATGCGGCGGAAAGACTTGAGTGGCGACCAGGCGAAGATGGGTGCCGTTTGGCTGATGAGATCGCGGATGGTCTGGAGGTTGTCGGCGGAGAAGACGTCGAGCGAGTTGATGTTTGTAAAGATTAGCGTGTTGGAAGGCGGCGTGGGCTGGCTGAGGGGAGGAAGGTTGGAGAGATCGAGGCTGAGAGACGAGCCATGCCTCGAGGAGCGGCCGGTAGAGGAGCGGGAGAGAGAAGCAGGGCGGAGATCTGGGGACTGCTGGAGCTGCTGCTCGCTGGTCACTTCTTGTTGTTGGGGCTCCATTGTGGTGGTTGTGATTGTGTGGTGGGTGTTTAGAAGTTGTTGATGTAATAGCGGCGGGGACTTGGCAAGTCAGTGCTCGAGTTGGGCGCACAGAGATGGTCTTATCTTCGAGATAGTATGGTAGGATGGGTTCCGAGTTGTTGGAGAGAAAAGGCAGGAGAGAGTTGGACGGGTATCCGAGATGTGTTTATATTGATTGCAGTGAAGCTTGTTGAACGAAAGCGGAAGGTTGTTGGAGGGACAGGATGGATGGTCGTTGGCGATAACAGCGGAGTCCTGACCAGGTTGCAGATGCAGGCACGCAAGGCTCGGCAGGGTCGTTTGAATGCGGTGAAACAGAAGAGGCGCGCGCAATGTGGTGGAGAATTGATCACCCGCTGGGGAATCGCCGTACAGGGGGAAGGTACCTTGAGAGCTTGACTACAGGGGGCTCGGACGGGGTAGGTACCTGGCAAGGCCAGCAAAGCCGCCCTGGAAGATGGAGTTGAATGGATGACGATGGATGCTGGTTGGATGGCTGAGCATGTCTCTCCAGAGTGGTGACATGTGTTCGCCAAAGAGTTGCCAATTGTGCCAAGCCCCTGGAGATGCTTTACCTACGAGTTCGTCTTTTCTTTGATCCGGGCCGTCTAGACGATGTCTGTCCGTTCTGGACATCCGTCCGCGACCTCCTCGCCACCTGCTGTACAATATACCCCTGGTATGTTTGTTAGTTTGGTACAAAAAACGCCTATCTCCACTCTCGAGCCATTGAAAGTAGAAAAGCATTCGGGCTTCGAGCGGACAGGTGCCGTAGGGGATTGCCCTCCTATATCTTCCAATCTTTGGGAGCTCGAAGGAGACGGATAGAGGCATAAAAAAGAGGCTTCTGTGGCGTATTAAGCCCTGGTCATTGTCCGACACTGCAAACGAAGACCAATTTGAGGCCAATGAGAACTCCAAATGCCCCCTGCTCAACCTATAGCCGAAGAACCAAACTAACAAACAAACCAGTATTGAATTGTATGCACCGCCCTGACCCTCACGTTTTGATATCAATCTCCATACAATACTTTGTACCCGGTTGCCGGATAAATGCAGAGACGGGAAGAGAAAGCTGGAAAACTGGGGAGGCAAAACGTGAGACAAAGCGTATAACTAAACAAACACCGCCAAAATCCGAATGGAACTGTACATTACTAACCAAGTAGTAAGAAAGAGATGACCCTCATGACGTTTTGATTGGCCATCATCCATCACAACCTCAAAGTCTCAACACTCAGCGAGACGCCTCAGCCCTGGATCTGGAAAGTGGAAAGTCTCCACTGTGACGCCCAGACCACTCAGACGCCCTACGAACGGCGATTCCAAACACTGTAAGCTGCTTGGAGAGCAGTGGTTGTCGGTGGCTCTCGCCGTCTCGTTGAGATTCATTTTTGCACAGCCTCAACGGCACCTGCTCTGGATCCGGCACCGAACCCCATCTTCGCGCTGTTGTGGGTGAGTGAGGGTCTGAGGGAGCACACACACGGTCACTGCACTTTTGTTCGGATCGTCCGGCGTGCCTATCAGTATTCGTCGCAACTAAAGAGAAATGTGCACTAACACGTTTGCGGCGCATTTGCTAGGGGATCTGATGGGATATCTAGGTAGCGTGCGGTGCACTGCATTTCCCCCGTTTGCAGGTAAGGTACGAGGCACAATTGAGGGCTCCCATTTAACAGGTGTTAGGGGATACTTGGAGTTGGCCGTCATTCACGGTGACAACGCTTGTATTTAACTAACATCTCATATCATCCAATCTCAATCTCAACCTCATCTTCCGCCCGCGCCGCCATGCTCAGCACGCTGACGAGGTTCCAGGTTTCGCTTGTCAACAACTCCCGTCCCCCATGGGATATGAGGCTCAGACTTGGCTTCGCAATGAAATTCGTCAAGATTCCCATCATTCAGCACACGTGAAATCTCCATTACCAGCCAGCCCCATGGACATTGTTCTCATATGAGCAAGATTGAAAACTAGTACAAAGCCACTCCCTCAGTTCATCAAAGCCTGTAAAACCCGATCCATATCCCAGCCTATTAACTGAACCCACCGCTATGATTGCCTCCTATTTTGCTCAGCCTTCACTGTTGGGCGTAGTCAGAGGACTCTTAACAAGTCCAACGACTACAGCCCAACCAAGACAAGGGAACCATAACCCCGGTTGCTGTCATGATCCAAGACAAGATGTAGTCATTTGAGCAACGCCAATAGGAACAGGTTAGTAGTGTAGATTCGTCTCCCGATCGATGAGGAGATTTCTCCAGACTGTTGGCGCAAACTTAAAAGTAAAAGTCTCTAATACAAGTGGAAAACCCAAGAAAGAAACCTCAAGAAAACTCCGCTTGCACAGCCCCCTTTTCCCCTCTTCGGCTCTTCCAACAACAACAACAACCTTGAACAGCTTAGCAGGTACCCGGCACTAACAGCGAAACCTCAGCGGACGTGCACTTTCAACTCCATTGGAGTCCTCAAACTCAAGCCTGTCAATAACACATTCTACGCCACAACAAGGCGCAGCAAAGAAGGCAGGCAAGCTGAGGCATAAGATGATTCTGTTAAAAATGTTGAATTATCGTCAGCTACATACATACAGTACCTGCCTCTCAACAAGACCACAGATATATGGTCTAGATAGTGGCTTGTTGGTACAAGTCGGTTGTTTTTTCCCCTCAAATCCGGGGTTTGTACTAGTATCCATCCTACTGGTACATACCGTTGGGACCCGTCAAGTGTGTGAACTAACACCCTCGAAATTTTAACCCATCATTGAAGGAATGTACGGTTCATGCGCCCTTTCGGTCTTGTCTTGCAGCTTACTGTTAACCGACATAACCTCTCTCGGGGCTCGGGTGATCATCCCGAAAACTTATCGCCGTTGGTTTCCTCCTTTCGGTGACTTCGTGTGCATTACATATCTCCGACTATGTAACATGACATACTTATCTTGTTGTGACTATATCGTGGCTGAGCGGGAGGGGAAAAGGGAGGAGGAGTGAGGAGATGGTTGTGCTTAGTTCGGCCGCCGCTCGGATGATAGGATATGGCAGGTGTCTGACGGACGGTGAGAGAAAAGGATGAAGGGAAATACACCGAAGCTTGAAGGACGGTTGTCGCTTTGGGTATCTACACACCGTAAGAACAAGTGTACATCTTAGGTGGGCGAATAGAATGGTAATATTTGCGGAAAATAAAAGTCGAGGTGAACTGGGAGGTGAAGAGAGATAATAGACGACATAGCAACATATCCAAACTGCGTGACTTTACCCAAGGCAGGATGTTGACAGGCATATACACACATTCAAGACACAGAAAGCATAGAGTTGTGTGAGAAAAGAACGGATGCAATTCCCTAAACAGTATATATATAACCCGACCAAAGATAAAACCAACGAGAGATATCATTCATCTTTTTGTTCCCATGCAAACGCCGTTCATTAAGCCCTGGTTTTTACCCTTAACGCGCACGTCTAGTCTATTAGCCAAACAGACAACGTAATCTACTCCGCATCCATAGCATCCTCATCAACCTCCTGCTGCTGCTGCGCCTGCTGGAGAAGCTCTGCGGCATCCAACAGCGGCGCATCCAGCTGCTTGGCACTCCGGGGCCACACCCTCTTGTACAAGCTGACACCAACAGAGTCCTGAGGGTTGATGCGCCCGTCAAAGGTCGCCTTGAAGTAACCGTGGGTACCGAGCGCCTCCTTGATGAAACCGCTCCTTCCGCGCTTGGTCCACAAAGGCAGAGCCTTGAACCACTCAACGTCCTCCCTGTTGAAGAACATGTAGCGGATGGTGACGATCTTCTTGTGGATGTGGTACGGGTGGCCGGTAAGGATGGCGCGCTTGGCAACGACGCGGGATGTCGAGGGGGGCAGGGCAGTGCCGGTGGCGACGAGGCTGAGCGGCAGGTTGGAGACGGGCTCGCCATCCTCGTCGAGGACGGAGCCGGGCACCTGCCTCTTGAAGAAGAGCGTGGGCACGGCACCCCATGTGATGGGGCCCATGAAGGTAGCGACGGCCGACTGACCGGGGTGCAGGTACCGGCAGTACTTGTGCACGTCGTTGGGGGTGTTGCCGCCCTGGGAGAAGAGCGGGTTGATGACGAAGCGGCGGGGGCCGCACTGCATAATCAACTCCTCCTTGGCCTTGATGGGTGCGGCAGCGTCCGCGCTCAGGTTGATGAGGAAGTTGACAACAGTCTTCTTGTACTCGTGTCTGAGCAGGGAGAACAGAGTAACGGGCTGGCTGGGGTTGTAGGATTGCTGGATGGTCGCGGGCACGTCCTTGAGGTAGACATGGACACGGGTGCCAGGAGCAACACCTCCGACAAGAGCTTCCCTAGACGCCCTGATCTTGGAGGCCTGGTAGTCTTGGATCTTCAACAAGCGCTCCCAATCCTCTGGTTGATATGCGCGGTCCTCATCCTCCTGCCAAGGGCTTGACCTCAAGCTCTTGAGACCTCTGTACTTGGCTAGACGTTCCCGGGCAAGAACGTGGGGGTGGAGCTCGATCTCATCAGGGAACTCGAGGTCATCCCGAGCCTCGTCCCGCTTCTGCTTGCGGAAAGCCTCCAGTTGCATGGCATCCTCATCAGCATCAGGCTGAATGAAGCCGCCCTCGGTTTGTGGGTACTCGGTCTGTCCTGCTTCTGTTGGTGCGTAACCAGCAAGACCCTCCTCACCATCCTCTGGCCTGGCCGCCTCCTCCTCTTCGTCGTCCTCCATCTCGTCATCCTCCTCCATATCTGAGCCGGAATCAGACACATCGTCGTCCAGGTACCACGCAGCCTGGTACTTTGATGTACCCTTGGGAAGCTTCTTTGGCGCAGTATAAGCCTCGAGCTCCTCCTCGTCGAAGTAGTGGTGGTCGTCCAACAAAACACCCTTCTTCGAAGTCGTCATTGTGGTCATTCCGTCGTTCATTTCGTCGTCGTCGTCCTCCATGCGAACCTCCTCGGGCGCAAGGTCGACAAGATCGTCGCGGTCCTCGGTAGGCTGGTCGAGAATCTCCTCAGCGCCCTCCTCCACGTTCATGCCCTCCTCTCCCCGTTTCCTCCTGGCCAAGGGAGCTGCTGTAATCTTCTCAACCTGGAATGTGCCCCAATCGCCAACCTGCACCAGGCGGTCGGCCTTCAAGCCCTTGCCCCTGACGACACCGGTAAGCACGGTAGACTCGCCGAACTTGACCTCCTCCACAAGCATCCAACTCCTCTCGTCTCTCCAGCGAATGCCCTTGGGTGTAGTGCTGCACAGCGAGCGCATAAGGTTGGAGCATTCTTGTCTGTTGTCGAGGCTGAAGACCTTATCCTGCTCGGGGTGGAAGTGGGTGATGTAGGATTTGAGAGACGAAAGAACGGAAAGTCTCTGCTTTTGAGGCTCGATCTTGTTGAGGCCCTGGACAACGGTAAAGAGAGTAGAGAGACCCTGGCTTTCGACGCTGCGCAGGATCAGCTCACCGATCTCATCAACCTCTTCCTCGGCGGACAAAACGAGAACGACATAGTCGGCGACTCTGGCGGCGTCCAGGCAGGCGGTAAGGTCGCGCTTGAGGGGGAAGTATTGGAGTTTCTGCTTGAATCTGTCGACGGGAACGCGGAATGCGCCCTCAGGCACCTCGGTCTCGATATCGATGCTGGCGTTCAGGGACTTGATGGCTTCGACAGCGTCGCCGTCGCTGCACAGGGGGATAACGGCAACGTTCCTGGGGGCGCCATCCTTGCCGGCGAAGATGGAAGTCTCCTGGAGATGTTCCTTGTGTTTCTGCAGCTGGAGCTGCTTGTTGCGGTTGCGACGGTCGAACTTGGACATGACTTGCTGATGGGGGGTCTTGCGCACACCTCTCTCCTCGGCTACCTTGCCTATAGAGCGTTAAAGAAGAAGTGTTAGCTGTGTGAACGTTGTTGGTCTCTTATGTATCGGCTGTATGTTTGTGTCTGACCGGGCTCGATGCGCCAAGTTGGTAGTAGGGTATAGTTCAAGGCAACGACCTCGGCATGAGTCACCGCCGTGGTATGCGATCCGTACCTTTGGCAGCATTCCGGAGGGAACCCTTGGTAGCATGGCGCGACTTGAAGGACTTATTCGACGTCTTGGTCGTTGGCCGATGCGAGTGGCCGCTCACGGCGCCGGGCATTTTGCTGGAATCGCCGCCTGCTTTGAATCGAAAGGGGAGCGAATTTGAAGCCAGGATGGGTGACCTGAAGAGGCGTTGAAGAGGCTGGGGGTTGGGACTGAAGAGAGAATTCGAGAACCTCTCTGGTCTAATCTGTATATCGAGTATCGAATCGGTGATGGACAATGTCAATGGCGGGGCACTCGTTGCATTTTTTTGAGTTGTGCGAATCTTATCAGAATCTTATCGCCCCTACAAAAGCATCCCCTGTACGCAGTGGAGCCAATGATCGTAGCGGAACAGCTGCCCCATCCAACTTTTTAGTGGGTCCGGCCCAGAAAAGTTGTCGAGCATTTGGAGGAAGGAAACATTCACAAACACGGGCACACCTCGAAACCGCCATACCAATCCATATCCAGTCTGACCAACATCCCGTCGCCGATCCAATTGCCCTAGTCCACCACACATATTATCCATCCCAATTGAGTCGCGTCGACCCATTGGCACCATGGAGACCACAGACAAGACCGCAGTCTCGCTCTCGAGGGCAGAGCAGCCCAGCGGCGCCGTCGCCATCAACAACGTCCGAAGCGAGTTCCGATCCAGGGCCGAGGCCAACAAGATTCGCAAAGTCAAGGCAGCAGAAAAGTCGTACGGCCGTGGCCGCAAGATCGATGTCAAGAACGTCAAGGATAAGAAGCTCAAGCGCAACCTTACAAACCTCGAAGACAAGTATCAGACGGCCACGCTAAAGGCCAAGGAGGCCGAGATCCTTCTCGAGAATGCCGGTGGTTTCCTCGAGGCTGATCATGAACTTGTGAGTAGCTATCCTTCTAAACCTCTTACGTGATACTAACTGCGCTGGTCACGATAGGAACGCACATACAAGGTCCGCCAGGAGGACATCGTCAGCGAAGTCAACATCGAAGTCGCCCAGAAAAAGTTCGACTTGAAGCTCGACCAACTAGGACCCTACATTTGCGATTTCTCGAGGAACGGTCGGGACCTGATCCTGGCAGGACGGAAGGGCCATGTCGCTACGATGGACTGGAGAGACGGCAAGCTGGGCTGCGAGTTGCAGCTGGGAGAGACGATCAGGGACGTCAAGTGGCTACACAACAACCAATACTTCGCTGTCGCTCAGAAGAAGTACACCTACATCTACGACTCTCAGGGTGTCGAGCTCCACTGTCTAAGGAAACACGTCGAAGTCTCCCACCTCGAATTCCTCCCCTATCACTTCCTGTTGGCCACCCTGGGCACAAACGGTCAGCTCAAGTACCAGGATACGTCGACCGGTCAGATCGTCACCGAAATCGCAACGAAGCTCGGCACACCCGTTTCCATGACACAGAACCCCTGGAACGCTATCCTCCATGTTGGTCACCAGAACGGCACAGTAACGCTATGGTCGCCCAACTCGTCAGAACCTCTGGTCAAGCTCCTTGCCCACCGCGGCCCCGTACGATCCATGGCTGTCGACCGCGAAGGCCGCTACATGGTGACCACAGGACAGGACTGCAAGATGGCCGTTTGGGATATCCGCATGTTCAAGGAGGTCAACAACTACTTTACCCGGGCGCCTGCCTCGTCCGTCGCCATCTCAGATACCGGCCTTACCGCTGTCGGCTGGGGCACTAGGACAACAGTCTGGAAGGGTCTCTTCTCCAAGGAGAAGCCTGTACAAGAAAAGGTCCAGTCTCCCTACATGACGTGGGGCGGCGAGGGCAAGCGCGTCGAGCGGGTGCGGTGGTGCCCCTTTGACGATGTTCTCGGTGTCGGCCACAGCGAAGGTTTCTCGTCCCTCATCATCCCCGGCGCCGGCGAGGCCAACTTCGACGCCCTGGAGGTCAACCCGTACGAGACGAAGAAGCAGAGACAGGAGGGCGAGGTCAAGCAGCTGCTCAACAAGCTCGCGCCCGAGATGATTGCGCTCGATCCCAACTTTATCGGCAACCTCGATCTGCGGTCGGCGAAGCAGCGGGAGGCGGACAAGGATCTGGACGCCGGGCCGCCGGATCTGGAGGAGGAGATGCGCAACCGGGCCAGGGGCAAGAACAGCGCGCTCAAGAAGTACCTGCGGAAGCAGAAGAAGAAGAACATCATCGACGAGAAGAGGCTCAAGGCCGAGGAGATGTACAAGCAGATGCAGGAGAAGAATGGGGAGAAGCACAAGGAGAAGGTGGCCGAGCTGGGGCCTACGCTGGCCAGGTTTGCGAGGAAAGAGTAGAAAATGGTAGTGGGAGTGGTGGAAGAACAGAGCACATGATGATACCCAGAATCAGTCACTTAATGAAACCAAAGACGGTCAGTCGACCGGATGCTGTGCTGATGATTTTCTTGACCACTTCAACTGTGTTGTGTGTATGTGGATGCTCGTCTTTTTTTTTTTTTTTTTTTTTGGTAATTTATTCAAGAATAAAGATCAAAAACCTGCGCCATAAATGCATCATAGTCTTCGCGTGACCATAAACGCTCTCGAAGCCCAATGATGCTGTGTACCGTCCCCCCTTACGCCATTTTTGTGCTTCTCGTCCTTCTCTTTCCATCAAAGCTTCGTGCCAACCTCAACATAACGCTCCTCTCCCCGCTTCTGCCTTCCCCTTTACAACAACTTCAAATGACCAGTAATCTGATCAACCAAGCTCTTAGGCGCGGGGCCAATGCCCAACACAGTCCTAGACCCAGAGGCAATCTGCGTACGGCCAGCATCCTGAATCACCTCAGCAGTGACGCCCAAGCTGCGCGCCTTGGCCATCAGCTCCAGCATCTCATCCTCGGACTTGGTCTGCACGGCGATCTTGGCCTGGCCGTTGCGCTCCCACTGGCGGAGCAGGCGGGCGGACAGCGACATTGGCTCGAGTTGGGCGGCGGAGAAGAGGCGCTTGTAGCAGGCGAGGGTGGCGTGGGAGCATTGGGCTGCGATTTTACCTGTTTGTTTGTCACGGAAGCAAGTCAGTAAACAAAGCAGAGTGTTTTCCTCGGAAAGGTTGAGGAGAAGGGGAGAAAAGAAGAAATGAAAAATGAAGCATACCCTTGGTCATACCCAAATCCGTCCTCACAACCAACACCAACTTGCATTCCTCAGTAGGATCCAGTCCCACCTTGGGCGCCTTCTCCTTCTTCTTCTTTTCACCTGAAAAAGAAGCGGCAGCAGCACCGCGCGCGCGCAAACCCTGGCGCTGATCGGCCTCGAGCCCGTTGGCCCAGTTGGGCGCGTGGTCTAGTATGAGATCGTCTTCGTCCACGTCGGACTCCTCGCTCTCGACGGGGTCCTCAAAGTACCGGCGCCGCTCCTCCTTCATCTCGGGGGGGATCAGGTAGCCGCGGATGGCGTAGACGCCGAGCACGAAGCCGGTTATGAGCGAGATCATGGAGGTCGAGAGGACGACCATGGAGGGCATGGCGGCTTGGACGTCGGACATTGTGACCAAAAGGGCGGTGGTGGTTGTTGTTTCGGTGGTAAAGGGTCGGCGATGATGGTTTATGGGGGAGGAAGAGCAATACGGCGGCGGTGCTTGATGTACTACTCGCGGTCGGGAGTTTGGTATGGTGGTAGTAGTTGTAGCGGTCGTTCTGACACTGACGGAATGTGGTCGGAGAGTGAGAGCTCCTTTTCTTGGACGAAAATCTAGACGGACTCGGAGTGCTGCTGTTCGAATTGGAAGAAGGGGGATGACGTGCATGGGTTCTGCCAGACCAGCAGAAAGAAGCGAGCGGAAAGTGCCCGAGTGGAAAATCAGACAGGGGCCAATGTGCTAGAAGGGGCAGGCAGGCAGGCCCCTAATCCCTGGCTTATACCAAACAGGGGAGGTACGTACCGTTTTCCTTCGAGGAAACCACCAACAGCACAACGTTGGGTAGGTTCAGTCGTGTGATGAGTCTTTGGACGATAAGCACCTCACCCAAGGATTCTAAACTACCTCTTAACTTTTTACACTTCAGATTACACTCCTACATAGTTCCTCTTTTTGTCGATACCCAAATCCAGAACCCATTGGCCAAAGACTCTCTTCTCTCTCCATGACATAACATCGCGGGGTCAAACTGGAGCTCAACTACACCCACCAACTCGAACTCTATCACGATGTTGGACCCAAACCAGAAAGCCGTCGTCATCGGAATCAGCGGATGTTCCTCGAGCGGCAAGACGACACTGGCTCGACTTCTCCGCGACATCTTCCCCAATACCTTCATCCTACACGAAGATGACTTTTACAAGCCCGAGTCCGAGTAAGAGCTCCTCCTCCTCCTCATCTGACATTATCTTGTTCTTGTTTATATCACTCTAGTGACTAGTCTCTAACCACCATTATGTGTCTCTTCACCTTCTCTTCCAAAAAAACAGAATTCCTATGAAAGATGGCCTCGCAAACTGGGACTGTCCCGAAGCCCTTTCTATCCCCGACATGACCGCAGCCTTAGAGCACATCCGCGCCACGGGCGAGTTACCTGTTAGTAATATCCTTACCAGACCCTTTCTTTCCCGGAGACATAACCGTGGTTGTTGTTACCCCCCTCCCCCATTATCATCAACCGAAACCAAAATTACAGCGCCAAAACAAGGGCCTGGTAAGATCGTCAAGTCAAAGCCACTAACTGGAACCACCCCCCTCTCTCCCAAAAAACAGGCCACCCTCGACTCCAAAGAAGACCTCAACTCCATCGGCCCTTGCCCCCTCACCACAGACTTCATCAACACCATCAAGTCGCGCGTGGCCGACTGGTTGCAGCCCTCGTCTCCCGGTCATCGCATCCTCCACTTATCCTCTCAACAACCCCTAAAAATCTGCATCCTAGACGGTTTCCTCCTCTACTCCCCCCCTCCCCTTCTGCCTGCCACCTTACTCTCCCAAATGGACATCAAACTCTTTCTCCTCGTATCCAAAGCCAGGGCCTTACAGCGCCGCGAAGCAAGAGACGGGTACGTAACGCTCGAAGGATTCTGGAAGGACCCGCCGGGGTATGTGGAGAAGATTGTTTGGCCTGAGTATGTCAGGGCGCATGAGTGGATGTTTGAGGAGGGGGGTGTGGAGGGGGGGAAGGTGAAGGCGGAGGAGGTGAGGGAGAGGTTGGGGGTTTTGGTTAATCAGAAGCAAGGTGAAAGTAAAATGGATAGGGATTTTGGGGAGACGTTGGAGTGGGCGGTGGAGACGATTATGAGGGAGTTGGAAGCGTTGGTTTTGGGTGGGGAGCAGAGGAAGGATGGAGACAAGGAGAACGGGGATGGGGAGAAGGAAAAGGAGAAAGAGGCGATTGCGTTGAATAGTTTTGCGATGAAGAAGAAGTGGGCGGCGGGGCAGAGGGAGAGGAATGCGAGGGAGTTGTTGATTAAGGAGTCGCAGGAGCAGCAGCAACAGCAGCAGAAGGAATGATTAGAGAATAAGTAGCAATACACTTATCGTCGGAATGAACTGTATTGATAGGGACAGCCAAGTCAATATTCACTTCATCATCCGTCAAACTTTTGTATCAATATGTACGATATGCACATTGTATACCATCCATTCATCAAATGTCCCGTGGTAGAACAGGAATAACCCAAGCTCTCCTCCTCCGCCAACAACCCCTTTGACCTCCATGCCATACCCAAAAGTAACGAGGCAACCATCCATCCACCATGGCCACTATGGCCAACCATCCCGACGACAACCTCTACCCAGCCTAATAAAACTCAGCATCAACCCTCCCATACCTAACCCCATCAACCTTGAGCTCAAACCCCAAGCCGGCGCTATCGACAATCATCTCGAGCGTAAAGTCCAAGTTATCAAACTCGACCCCTTTCGTCGTCGTGAGTCTAGTAAACAGACTCCTCGGGACAGCAGACAAGTCCGTCGTCAGCGTGCACACCTTGATCAGGTCGCGCGTGTACGACTTGGGCGGCTCGTCGGCCTCGCAGGCGATCAGGTCGTCCGTGACCACGAGCGACTGCCCCGGGCGGAAGTTGCGCGTGTAGTGGAAGGCTATGGGGTTTTGGGGGGATATGGTTTCGCCCTGTTTTTTGGTGAGTGAGTGAGTGAGTATTATTGTTGAGAAAAAATTGGCATGATGACATGGTTAGAGGGAAGAGGGGGAGGGGAAGGGGAGAAAGGGGACAAAACGCACCTTGGCAATATGCCACTGCATCCGATCACTAACCATCCACCTCTCCCACAACGGACTCCAATACCGCTCCGTAACGCTGTGCTTCTCCTCATCATACACCGTCGCGTACGACGTCCCGTAGTGCATCCGCGCCTTGCGCGAGATGACCATGTTGCCCTCCAGCCCGCGCAGGACCGCGCCGCGCACGACGGCCGTCCACGCGTACACGGGCTGCATCACCTCGATCGAGTTACTCCCAAGGGCGGCCGCAAGCGTGCTTTGCTGTGTTGGCGTTGGGGTGTAGGGCGGAGGCGCCATGGTGCTGGTGAAGTGGCTCTTGAGCTTGCGGTACAGGTAGTCGCTCTGGCCGAAGCCGCCAACCAAAATGATGCCCGAGACGGTCTGGCCCTTGGCGCGCAGGTTGTCGACTTGCCCCTGGACGAGGTCGCAGACCTCCTTGACGACGGGGTCGAAGATGTCTTTGACTTGGGCCGCGGTCATCATTAGGAAGCCACAGTCGAGACCGATTTCTTCGTCATCGGGGAGACCGGGGAATCTGTGGCCAGTCTATCAATATCGGCGGCTTCTCACTCCGGGGCTCTGTCGGGAAACTTACGGGACGTTAATCTCCTGATGCTCTTCCTCGTTGAAGTTGCGCTTAACGAACTCTTCAAAGTACTTGAGCGCCATCTGCCACGACTTGCCCTTCTTGGTCTTTACCTCCTCGAACCGGCTGGCCCCCAACCGGTTCTTGACGTGCTCCTCAAACCGATAGTTGAGGAAAGCACTTCCGCAAAGCCCACCTGTCCCGACAGCAGACTCTTCGACCCGGATTGGCCCTAGCGAAACAATCTTGTATGCGATCAAACTGGAGGCTGGTCAGTATACCATTTCTGCAACCGAATTTCCGAGCTCAAAGGTAAACCTACTCAACAGTACCACCGCCACCATCACAAACAATAAAGTTGTCTCCAATCTTCAGATGATTAGGCTGGATAGCTTTCAGCGTATACACCGCCGCGGCCTCCGGCTCACTGATCATCTGAATCTGCGACTGGGCACCCATCCCGGCCCTCTCCGCCGCTTGGAGCGTCGCGTTCTTGGCCGCATCCGACCAGACAGCCGGGCACGTCAGGACAAAGTCGACCTTTGTCGACGCCATGAACGACTCGCCGTACCGCCGCGTTAGCGTGTCCATGGTGTGCTTGTAGATCTGCGTGAGGTAGTCGCTCACGGCGTCGACGACGGTTTTCTTGTTGTTCTTCAGCTGCGTGGCCGTCTCCTTGGGGTTGACGTAGAAGGGCAGCTTCTGGGACCGGTCGAGGAAGAGCTTGACACATCGTATCCGCGACTCTTCCGGTCTGAACTGGAAGCCCCATTTCACGACTGGCGCGGTGCCTGGCGGCGCATTGGGCGGGACCTCTGCATACGAGAGCTCGGTAGGGACCTTGTCGGATGTGATGCCGTTCCCGCCCGGCCAGGTCTTGATAATCTCTACATCATCTGGAGTTCCTGTGTATACGGCAGCAACACTAATGGGCTATATGTTAGTTTGGTTTGGTGTCTTGGAGCTAGGCATAGAGAAGAGAAAGTGAGAAGCAAGCAAAAAAGCTTGATCCCCGGCCAGCATTGATGGGACAGCCCCCAAGTCACACAGATGTTTGCTGCGTAACGGTTTCGGCAGCTGCCCGTTGGCAGAGTCCAGTTAGGTTGACGAGTAAGAGACGAAAAAGAAAAATCAGTTGGACGTACCCAGAGAAAGTAGTGCCGAAGTCAACGCCAACAATCAGCCGATCACTGATGGGGGCCGGCTCCTTTGTCCGCTGCCTCACCGGGCCATTGATCGCCTCGGTTGAAGCTGGGGGACTATAGCTGTTTGTGAAGTAATTCCTACTATCTCTGTTTCTCTGACTTGTTGGAGAAGTTGGCGGCAGTATGGGCATATTGAAGCTCATGGTGACAACGTCTGCCTCTGCCCCTATCCCTCTCTCACGTTCTTCGTATTATATAGTCGTACCTTGTTCAACCCCTTTGTTTTCGGTGTGCGACGTTGCTGGGTCCTAGCCTCCAGTCCGCTATCAACCTGCAAACCCACAGAGTCTTTCAGACACGGACCACGGCAAAGAGAGACTCTGAGCCAGTAGTAGTAGCAGTAGACAAATCCGAGCAAAGGAGGAAGAGAATTCGTCCACTCCAGCGTACAAGAAGCGTGGGGCTATGTCGACTTGTTGGATTTTGAGTTGCAAGCGCAAAAGAGCTCCGGAGGTCTCTCCGCACACAACCCTTCACAAAGGGTGTAGTATACGGTATGGTGACACAAACTGCAACGGTAACAGCCGTTCGACTTTCGAAGCGCAAACCCAGAGGGGGAAGATCCAAAAGAACGAAGTCAAAGATGATGGAAGGAAACAAAGGCGCAGCAGCCCTGATCTCAATTCCAACGATTCAACAGTTCCCTGAATGATTCCACACCTTTCCCCAGACGTATCGCACTGCTGCAAGGTTCTCGAGGCACTGCTCTCGGCGGCAGATTGTAGGCCGTAGCCGAACCAACTGAACAGGCCGTAACGGGGATTGCTTGGCGGGGCTGAGCCTCTTGTACAGGGCGGACGGGGATGCTTTTCGAGAAGACTGAGGTCCCCGAATTCGAAAACGTGATTTGATTGCCGCACCTTTCTGCGTGCTCCAAACAGTCTCTCTTCCTCCCTTGCTTCTTCACCGTTGTCAGACCCGTCTACGGGGAGGAGATGTGTTCCTGAAAGAACGACGGTATAGGAGGAGCCGCGCAGCAGGATGACGTACGGTACAGCGCTTCTCTTCAATTGAGCAATACCGTCCATTCAGTCGTCGATCAGAAGTGCTGTGTTGCAGTGCCCAAAAATGCGGACGTGTTATGGGTCAAGAATGTCGAATGATAGGAGCCTAGAGCACCACCGTATGCTTTGTGTGGTTGCGGGGTCGAACTTGTTCCTTGGCCCGTGAAAGCTGCTGCCTGCCTAGGTATTCTTCGTGTCGTCCTTCGCTAAGTAGATAGTTTGGTGATGAACTCCAGATCGATGGCTGATGATGTCTGACTGCTGCTGCTGACTTCTTGTGGCTGCAATGTAGTACGGACGTATCAGAGGTGGTGGTGGTGGTCGTAGGAAACCGCCGTCTGTAGAGGTAGGCGTCCGTCCTGACGGCTCGCTGGCGTCGCTGGCGTCTCTACTGACAGCCCACAGTGGCTTGAGTCCTTGACAGTGGATGTGAGGCCCCGTAGAGGTAACCGTTCGGCGACATGGGCGGGAGATGCAGCCTCACAGTGGGGATCATGACAGGGGTTTGAAGCCTGGACCTCACCTTGCTTCACCTTGCAAGTTGCAACTGGCTCTGCTGCAAATCAACCAACAAGACATGGCTGATGAGCTGCTCGATTAAAAAAGTAACCGGCTAAACGCCACGATACTGCGAGGACATTGCGGTGGTGAGGCTGATTGAGGTGTTCATGATGGCGTCGCCGAGAACAGGACCGCGTCAGCTGTGTGCGCGTCCATCCATCTTGTCCAGAGGCAGAGTAGAATAGACGGGATGCATTAAAAACGGCAGAGAAGAGTTGTCGATGGTGAAAGAGGAGCAAATCTGAAGTTAAAGATTATATCCAATGGACTGACTGTCTCATGCGAGTATCTCCCTCCAGTGGACAAAACTCAAAAGAGAAAGGACGAAGCACCTAGGTACGTAGTCCTGACGCACTTGCCCTCTAACCCTCAGCTTGACTCATCTACAACATACGTATGTATCTCCATCCGGTAAATGTCCCAAGCTGTTCCAACCGGACTACTTCACCTGCATCGATGTCTCGGAACTCCCGAGAACTGAAGTCTCTCACTGTCTCAGTCAAAAATCTTTAGGTAGGCTCCGTAGGTAGGCTCCGTAGGTAGGTAGGCAAGCAGCGAGCAGCAGCTGCCTTTGTCTTTGACATGTCTTTGATCTGTCTCACATACATACGTCCATGGGCTATAGACTATGGCAAAGGCGGGCGGGTTGTCAAGGGAGGAAAGGAAAGCTTGGTACCTACTCCCGTCCCGTCTCGGTTATCGGCAACGAAGCGGACTACGTCCCAACAGCGGTACGGACACGATGCCCGCCGATACGGCACGGAGCGGGGCGGGATAATGGAAAAAAAAAATACGGATGGCGGCGGGACGGGGCGTGCATACAGACAATGCGATGCAGATACAGATACGGATGCCAAGTATATCGTGCAGATGAAATCTAAAAATGATGTCGATGAGAGTTATCCCATCACGTTGGAAAAGAGAATCTGAAAAAAAGGAACATATGAGAGAACCGAATAAATCCCCCCAAAAAAGTCACAAAAAAGAAGTTGTTAATGGTCATCGTGCGACGTGGGCCTGATTCGAACAGACGCTCCCGAAGGAACAAGATTTCTAGTCTTGCGCATTAGACCACTCTGCCACCACGCCGAATGGTTATTATTTGATGGATATTCAACGCAGAGCTCGGGCTTATTTAGGCACGTGTGGTATCCACTTCACCTTCGAAAAAGATGTAACACTTGGAGGACGGTATTGATGTTGTGAAAACGTGTTATATCGAGCGTAGGTGCATATTTATAGGGACAAGGTAATGGTTATAATAATAAACTGACATAGAAAACTTTCTTCTCTTCTCCTCTCCTTCTTTATCTTCCCAACGACTAGAAACCCGGGCCCGCGCAGTACTACAACCAAGCAGGCCCTCCTGTGCATCTTCATGTCCATCCTCCTCCCATTATCGCTCCGTCCCATTCTCTTTCTGGCAGATGTGTTTAGTAGAGGGACCAGCCGCCTTGGAATCCCTTTCTTCATCTTCTCATCTCACGGACGACCGATTATTTGTCCAACGAGAAATGCGCTCCTGAGTTCCGCCTGTAGTCCCAAAACGCACACACGACAGCTATCGGTCTCTATAAACGGTTGTTAGGGGGGTATTTCCAATGACACAGACAAGGAAGACAAAAACCAATGGGCGCACACAAAAAGAACCAGAGTATAGATGCGCATAAAGGTGGTATTAAAAGGCCCAATATAGGTTTTGAGATTTGTAAGGCCGACGACACACACACGCCAGACTTTTTTCCTCCAGGAGGGGTATTCGACACAAAAAAATTAGAAACAGATAGATACCATTCAACAACCACCAAATAGTTTTTGTTGTGTAGAAAGATCCAGCTTCTGCTACAAGATCCCCATATATGTGTGCATGTGCGTGCGAGAGATATGTAAGATGCATGCAGAAGCAGCGAAAAATAAAAATAAACGTGGGGGGGTATGAAGATGAAGTTGAAACAAAAAAAAGCAAGCAAAAGCGAGACCAGCAACTGCCATATCAAAGCAGTAGCCCGTCTCTTACTGAGCGGGAGCAGAGAGAAAACCCAAAACACAGCCCAGATACCGATAAGAACGTGGTAATGATGCCTTGCCGAAAGAACACCCAGAACACCATTCCACGTAAACACCACCCAAAGAGGAAACCCACTCATTTTCTTTTCCCTAGATCCGCAAAAGACCGCCCCCACCCACCGTCAATACAAAACATGTCGAAAAAAGAAACTGTATCTAGATACGGCTCCCTGCCGCCCAGATACTGGCTGATGCCGATGCTGCCCAGTCACCCTCATCATTGTAGGGAGGCGTGGGCCACTTGTATTCTGACGACCTTTTGTTTTGTTCCAGGGATTGGGGAGTCAGAGCTTTTTTCCCGTGATCGGCAAAGAAGATGTTTTGGCCACTGGCTGACGGTGATGGAGTTAAGTAAGGGTTAGTGAGCCCCAGATTGCTGGCCGATTGTCTGAGATGTTTTGTATCCTTCTCCAGACGCTGGATAGCCTTCCGGGTTGATGTGAGGGCTTCGTCAATCAGTTCGTCCTCTTCATCGGGCGCATCATACTGGTTTACACCCTGAGCAGCTTGTTGCCTCCGCGTCCTGCTTGAAACTGGTCCGGATCCCCGAGCACTCATCATCAGGTTATCTACCGACCTTGGTTGATGATGCGGCAGCGAATGGTGTCTCTTGAGAGTACTTTGTGGGGGCGCTCGGTGCGCTGCTGGCATGGGCGGAACTTCGGCAACGGGTTGGGGATCTCTCAGCGTCTTTTCGAGAGATTCGAGCGTGTCTTTGGGGACGGGGGCCGGTGGCGGGTTGTCGATGACCATGGAAGATCTGTTACTTCCCCAAGGTCCGCAGCCTACGCCGTGAGGTTGGGCTTCGATGTCGTCATAAGCGGGAGACATTGGTGTCTGGTGCCTTCCGGAGAACCTTCTCGCTCGCTTCCTGAGGTGCGAAAAGAAGCTCTCCTTCGTCCCGCTCGTGGGCGAGGCAAGACCAGTTTGTCCATTTAGCGCTCGTTCGGCCTGCTGGCGGTGGATCTCGGCATAGTGATTTGTGGCAGATGCGACGGATAGCTGACGGCCAATCTTCTTCGAGGCTTTGTTTTCGTCGGCGGCACTCCTTTGCGTTCCATTTACGTAAGCATCGTTGTATGAAGGTGTTCTGCTGCTTGCCTGTGCGGTCACTGCGTCAGACAAGGGTGTGATTGGGCGGATGGTGGGAAGAATCGGCATGGGAGCGACATTCGATGGACCGTTATTCCACGTTGTCCTCTTGCTAACAGCTGGAGCTGGCCTGGGCTTTGGGGAGGGAACTTCCGGTGCAACCTGCACGGGTGATGGACGGGGAGCAATGTTCACCTTTGCATTTTCTTGCGTCGTCGACACAGTAGAGACCTCGGTGCTGCTCTCAGAACGGCCGATCAGGGATTTCCTGAACCACGATGGTTTCGAAGACGTAGGCGTGGACGTGGCCGAGTCCTTTCCGCGGCTGATATCCGATTGTTTGCGGCCGAGGATCCGGGAAGCGGAGGACTTGGGCCTCAATGGGTCAACGGCGTCGGTGAAGTAGTCGTGGGCAAGGGCCTGGGTCGACGTCGGTCGGTTCTTGGGGTCCCACATTAAACACCATGTCACAAATTGGGCGAGCGAGGTCGGCCACTGGGGGGTTTGGAGAATGGTGTCCATGGAATGCGGCGCCATCTTGGGGAAAGAAAAGCCGAGCTTTCCAGCAAGACGGGTACCTTCTCTCCATTCTCCGCCGCCGACACGGGCTCCGGCCTTGTTGTACCAGTTACCCGGGCTTCCCATAATTTCGCAAACTCTCCACACTTGATCGACCTCATTTCCGCCCGGGAACAACGGCTTCAGCGTAGCAATTTCGACGGCCATGGCTCCGATGGCCCAGATATCAACCGGCGCCGAGTACTCACCAGCCCTGAGGAGGACTTCTGGGGCGCGATACCATCGGGTTGAGACGTATGTGGTGTACGGGAGTTTCGAATGCGTCTCGCGGGCCAGGCCGAAGTCGGCAATCTTTACCGTATACGTGGGCGGCGTTGATGGAGGGTTCATCAGCGCGGAATAACGGCGGAACGAGTTCTGGGTGTCCATATGCGAGGATGTCGATACTAGAATGTTTTCGGGCTTGATATCTCTGTGGAAAAAGTGATGCGCGTGAATGTGTTCGAGACCCTTCATGATCTGGAACAAGATGCTCTTCACGCTCGAGTTGTCCAGACACTTGTGGTCCCTCGCCTTCATCAGTTGATAGAGGTTGCCTTCCATATACTCCATGGCAATATGAAGCTTCTTGGTGAAGGGATCCAGGAAGATGTCGAGCGCTGGCACCAAATGGGGATGGGCAGGAAGCGTCCGCAGGAAGACTACTTCCCTCAGTTCCATGCACGGTCCTACCGACTCGAATGTTTTCTTCATTGTCTTGATGGCAATCTGTTGAAAACACAAGTGTTAGACTGAACCTGTGTTCATGGCAGAAATATCGATGAAACGGGAACCGGACTACTTACGACAGTACCGCGGCGGGCAACGGTGGCACCTGAACTCCGGACTCTAGCCAACACGACACTTCCAAAACTTCCATCGCCAATCTCTTTGAGCACCTCAAACCTATCCTCAAGAGCCTGTCCTGAACCGATTCCATGGGAAGACCCCTGAGGGGTCAGAGTGTGTACGACGGTCATGGTGCCGAGTTACACAAAGATCGCAAGCGGGCTTGATCGGAAAGACTCGCCAGTGTATCGATATCTGCAAGAACTTGCTGTTGTATAATTCTGATTTCCGTAGCAGCGACGGACGGCAGAACTGAGTTGATGCCGAGAAACGAGGGGCTCTCCTGAAGAGCTGCGCACAATTACCGGGGCATTCAAGAGACCCAAATTGTTCTGCTGTCGCAAAATCGAAATCGCTTTCGTGTCTTTAAGGTGTATTTCTGCGCTGTACCGACGTTTTAATCGGGCGAATGTGTATGTCGCAGGGTCGCGTCGAGCGATTGATGCTAATGCGGATGTTGCTGCTGCTGCTGATGGATGCAAGTCGACAGTGCTGACTTCTTTTTTTCTCGCCGGAGTTTAGTATAGTGGTATGGAACCGTGAAGGAGCGGATCGGTTATGGTAAACCAAATTGAGTAGAAGGAAAAGTGTAAATGAACGGACGAGTATTTTTCCTCGAGAAATGAGCGACGTGAAAATGATGCTATGTATGATGAAGAAAAATGAATGGGGAAACTGGTGGAAAAGCAACCCAACGAGACGGGAGTGCGCCTGGAGAGTCGAGGAGGTAGGGGCCCGGCGATGATGGGGGACCCAGTTTGGCACCAAGCCAAGAGCCTATGCTGCCCTGGGACTGTGCTGCCGTGGGCTGGTGCTGGGCTGGTACTGGCCGGTGCTGGTGGGAATGGAATTGCACGAGGCGAGGGCCCAGGATCTTGTTCGGGGTGTGCGGGTCGTCGCGGGTCGAGGGGATAGAGCCTTCGTCTAAAAACGATCGGATCCCAGGAAAGGAGCTCCGCAAACCGTATTTGCAATACGTACGCCCACTCTAGCGCGATCCGACGCAATGGATGCTATCGATCAGCTCGAGGTTGCGTGGTTCTGGGTGGAAAGCGCCTATTTTCGTGAGGTTGTTGCGACGATGGGAGAGAGTTCGAAGCGAAGTGGAAGCTGGGGGGGTTTCCAGTTCCAAACTGAAGTCCAGCCGGCACAGGAGCGGAGAGGGAGCGAGCGAGATTCGAAGAGATGAGACGGTCCTGTACAGGTGAAGCTGTAAGCTCTGACAGGTGTCGACACAGCATGTGTAGGTATGGTACCTCTACTGTAACTGTAATAACGGTCACTAGGCGGTGCAGACGTCGAAAATGTTGTAACAGAGATACCCGAAGTAACGCGGCTATACAGGAGGGATACGAGGTAGACTCTGATAAGCTACCTGTACCTGCGAGCGTACTGCCAAGTAATATAGTGAGTAGGCTCGATCTCCCACTTCAGTCCAGGGCCAGGCACGGCGCGATGTCTAGCTCGAAGCACAGGCGTCCTATGATGTAGTGTAGGTGTACTCCAAAGGTCGGCCTCTCTTGTTCGCTGGTGCGTTGCCTGGTTGCGTCTGTCTCAAGTTCTGCTTGTCCCCAATGCCCAATGCCCGTAGGGATATGGTGTTTCGGTACGGTGATTGATGGACGGTGGCGGCGACGGCCCTTCCGCGGCACCGGGTACCCTTGACTGTGCTGTGGTACAGGTACACTGTAGAACTGGATTGGGGTGCTCGACGTCCTGGAGACCTGGACTGCCCACTGGCTTGTCCCTCGGTGGAAATGCCCCAGACGTGGATCGCGTCTCCGATATTCTCGTCGCAGAACCGTCTCCGTCTCACACGGTCGACAGGGGAATTGCGAGGGGTGGGACGAGTGCGACGAGGGCCTGGAGGGGTGCGAACTGGTTGGAGAGACAATGCCGTGGTAATCAGTGGTAGTGTATACTACGTATAGAAACCGACAGGGAGCGGACGACGATGGGTGGACCAGGCAAATCCCACCTTGGTAATGCTCATGTGCAATGCGCGCTAGGACGGCGATAATTTTGCATTCAGAGATTGTTCGGTGGTCGAGATTGAGTGCAATTGAGATTGGAGGTGAAAATGGTTCCAAAAGTGGTTCCAAAATTGCGGGCAATGGAGCCTTCCTTACCTCTAGCATGAAGCGATGGGGCCAGGGCGGGCTTCGAGAAGACGATAGGGGACCCCCAATCTCGCTAGTGATTCGGAGGAGCGGTGCTCTTCTTGACGGCAATTTGAGAGTCCATAGCCTGGGACCCAACACACCACCATCACCGAGGACCCAGCAAGAGTGGAATCTGCAAAGGAGCAGGGAGGGAGTCAAGAGTGTAGAGTTAAAAAGGAAGCAGAGGGGAAAAAAGAAACAAGGCTGTACAATTAGAGTCATGATGCGTCTCTTTTCCCACTCGGTGGCGGATGTGATGAGAGAGTCAAAATAGACAAATGCTACAAAACAATGTGAGCTCATAGCAGAGAGCGAGCGAGCTGAGTTCGGCAGGGGCAACTGCTCGGGCTCAATCATTTTCGCGGCTATTCTCAACAACTTCAATCACGGTTGCCCAGCTCCGCCTTGACTTTGGCGACGACACGAGAAAAGCTCTTTATAGGCAGGATTCAACGTACATGATTGCAGTATCAAAGTCTCTGCTGTGCTGTGTGGAGCTGTGCGCAGTGATAAAGAAGTGGACTTCCAAGACTTTCTCGCTGTTAGAGAAATGCATGTGTACACACCCAGTCCACTATCTACTTCAACGTACTTCACACGCCCGGTAGCACTTTACCTGCATGTGCTGGCTCTCAATGAGGAACAACCAAACCTAACCTCACTCTGCACTTGGACGAATCCACGAATCCAGAAGCGGCCACTGTGACGATATTGGAGAACTTCCACTTGAGAGATATCGCCGGACCTCTTCAGTGGCTGAGACTGCCGGGCTCGCCAGGAATCGCAGACCACAAGACCACATTCGCGGATTCATTCGTCCATTTTGTCCACCAAAACTGGTCCGTCAGGAATGACAAACCCCCACCCGACCGCCCCCCATGCGATCTGACGGATTGTCGCAGGGCAGCTCTTTCTGATCAGAAACTGAACGACATGCACTTTTTACGCCAGTCCTTGTGGTCTTTTGACCTCGTGGCTCTGAACTAAGGGGCCCATCTTGTCGAGAGGGGACAGATTTGATAGCGCTTGGTTGATCACATGCACGGGAAGATACTGGATGCGTCAACACTCGCTGGAACCTCTTCAGAGAAACGGCAATCTCCATATTACATACTGCCAAGGTATAATATAGAGGTAGTTGTCTTGGGTTCTGAAGCCCAGTCTGTGTCAGGTCGCGCTGTCCGTGATCTCGAAACTCTAGCGGTAATCAAGTCAGAATGCAGAACCGCGTCCCGTCACATCGCGGGGAGATATACCTACGCCTGTCCCATAGAGGGGTGCTGTTGCAAAAAGTCTTCCCCATCTTTCGGGAAGGGCGCGCATCAATCATGCGGCATCGCATGAACAAGCAAACCTCCTTCGCTCCGGGATTTCCAACGGCCGCCCGTTTTCCGTTTCCAATCTTTTGCGGGTGAATTGGGTCCAGGAATTCCCCTGCCTGTTCGCAAGGCCAACTGAAAATCGACCTTTACTCCCGGTCCGAACCCATGCCGTGGTTCGGCGACCGTACTTGCCTCCTTCACGATGTTACCTTCCAATTTGCCAATCCACATTCACTGGCATGGAAGCTGAAGCTCTCCAAGAAGGAACCGAAGAAGACCAACTTCTGACATGTTTCTAGAATACCGTCACGTTGCCATCATGATCTCTCGAACCCACTGCTTTGGAATTGCGTTGGAACCTCTCAACGTACGACTGAGAGGTCAACAGAACCGGAACCTTGAAGACCACCTGAAGGGGAATTCTACTGTATCATGGTATCGGAATACAAAACTTCCCCGCTCGATATATCGCTCTCCGGCGCCGCAGCCGCAGCCTTTTTCTCCAAGCTCCCGTCCTTCGACCAGTTGGGATTTTGCCTCTCATGTTTCAGCCCAGCTCATTCCCTCTTTTGTCGACGGCCAGCTTGCCATGGCCAAAGTTGGTGCATGCCCACCCCGACCTGCAGAGAGATGCGCAGGCACGTTTTCCTCTTTGAAATGTTTCACTGCACAATCCCGTTTATCTTCCCACCTTTGTCGACAACATCCCACTGCCGTTTGGTTCGTCTGGTTTTGGCACCAAAAGCATCGCATGCTGTGTTCATGAAAAGAGTGAGTGACTCGCTAAAAAAAGGGCATGGTCGTGCGTCGTGGTGACAGTCGTCACTCGTGCACATCCGCGATCAACTCCTATTGGTCCAGGAAATTAATATTGCCCCACTGCGTGTACAGAGTACTTTGAGCGTTATCACTAGCAGGTTGCTAATGCACCCAATTACACACATGATCGGCCATGAGTGAGATTGCACCCAAAGTATCGGGAACCCAATTGGGTTCTGAGTGCCAATTTCTTAGCTCCATCAGCGGGGCCTCCCCATCTCTCCATTTCCCATTTCCAATTCTCTCCAGGAACCTCCCGTCCTGCTCCAACTTCCCACTTTGCTTGGCCCTGACAATCCCTCTCGCTCGTCGTGTTCCAGTTGCGAAGATCGGATGATCCGAGTCATTCAAGAACTGGTCGAGCAAAGACGTGCCTTTTCTTCGCTGTCAAATTCGCATCAAGCAATGGCGTTCAGCAGCTGCCTGAGCCTTCTCACACGGCCCGCTAATAGGTCAGTGTTTCAGTGAAACCTCACGGAATTGCTGACAGCCTCGAGGTAATGACAGAGGGGCGTCATGGGCCTTTTCCACCACAAAGAACGGATGTTCATCCCACTTCAATCCGATTGCCCTTCCACTCAACATCTTCGTGGACTATCAAACCCAGCCTTGCCCAACCGGCTACCCAACTGATAGCCTTTCCAGTTCTGGATCACATCGCCAAGCAAAACCATTTCGCGAGGTCACCGGCTCTCATTCTCCCCCAGGTAACGAACAGCGGCTCGGAAATTCTGGGGAACTGCCCCGGGCCAAAATAGAACGAACTGTTGATGAACCATTCGTCCCCGATTTCAAGGGCCTGGCGTCTTGCAGATCTCGTCACCTTGGGTCCGTTCGTGTTTGCCTCTTGTGCCTGGGAGCCTGGCATCCACGGCGGCCTCGCAATCAGCCCAAATTCCCAAAGATTCCAGCGACCATGCCTCGTCCACTGTACTACACCTACGATATCGACGATACACTGTTCCATCCCTCCAGCTCCAGGAACGGATCACTACCCGGCCAGTCTGGGCAAGATATATCTATCATATTCACTCGGTTCCTGGCTGTAGCTTGTACCAACGCCACTTGGACTTTCGGTGTCTCGTTTCCATCATGAGCATCAAACCATATTGCTTGATCACCAGAACAAGTGCTTCATATCACTTCGTTTCTGATTTTCTCAACCAAGCCGAGGTTTTTGCTTCGCTACCACATCTGAGAAGAGGAAGTATGTACATCTCTTGCCACAGATTCGACTAGCGTAGAGGTATGATGGGCTTGAAGGTGAAATTACAGCCCAGTACCGTAGGGACATTTCAACGGACGACCTATCGAGCAAACAGGGGGTTCACAGCACGATCACCATTGAGCACACAGATCATATACCCAATTGCGATGATGGTCCGTGTAAACCTGGACATCACCACATGGTTATCTCTGCATTTCCAGCATTGGCAAAGATGAGGGGCGTAGGAGCTGAATGAACGGCCAGTGCCGCGGTCCTACCCCTAACCCCGGCCGGTATGTTTCGGTATCGCAGATTCGCAGTCACACATACCGAAAACATCCCCGTTCATCGGTTTTAAGACAAGGGAAAAGGAAAAACTACCTACGATCATCTATAAAGGTTTCCGCCCCAGCCGGGTCTTCCGCGGTTGCGCAGTTTCTCCCGCACTGCGTAAGATTGCCCCAAGGCGCAAAGTGACTGAGGATTGTTGCGCCCCCCTACGCGGATCCCTCGGCGGAGCAACAACCGAGACTACCACGGTTAAAACCCAAGACGAAGCTCAAAATAGACAAGAAGCGAGTAATTCAAGAATTTTCCCGTCGACACCCGATACAGTAAAGATCCCTGAAAGTGCAACTAATCCGGGCTGGCGAAATCTTTTGCACTTTCTGGGTATTTGCACTTGGAGGAGCTAGTGCACAGACTAGGAAGCCCCCTCTGGCCATTGAGAGGCGACCAAAAGTGGGTCGCCAGAGCCCCGGTAACTAGGTATAAGTATTCTCTCCCACCAAAACTAGACCCCTATAAGTGCAAATTCGGGCTAACGTCTTTGCACTTTGCAGTTTGCAGGTTTTGTATGGGACACTTTGGGGGGTTTTTGCACTTGGGGGTGGTTGCACTTTCAGGGATCTTTACTGTAACCGGTTTGATAGTCACTCTGGAGATGGATCTTTTAGTCAACACCAACCCACCGAAGAAATACTCTCACGGCCGACGGTTACCAGATGTGGAAAGCTTCCCTGGTGTCGCAGACGGAAGACGCTTCTTTCTGGATTCTGTTCCATCCGATGTATCCCTTGAAACCGCAAATCGAAGCGCCATCAGATTGCGGCATGTGGTAAGCAAGGAAGATGAAGGACCCATGTCAACAGGTAGTGAACGATTATCGAATCTTGCGTCTCCTGGTCATCTTTCCCATTTCTTCATGAAACAAGAAATGCGGAGGGAAGTTCATGCGAACCGGGATGGGAAGAGGAAGTTTGAGACCCTCCCTACACTTATAAAAGCTTTGGTTTGATATAACCATCTGGCATTGGCTGCCCCCTGCCCAGCAGTCATACAAGCAAGCAAGCAACCACCACACCCTCAAAGAATTAGATAGCATGCGTGAATAAAGTTGGCGTGTTTGGTTGTTTCGATATCGGAGTATGTATCGAGGTAAGGTTTGGATGACTGGCCGCCATCATGGGTTGGCGCCGGCTCCTGAACGAGTGTGTATGCACTTCACACATTTGCACACACACCCAACCCGCCAGTGCGGCCCCAAAGCGCTTCTCTGCTCTCGTTCGTGAATCACAAGTCAGGACTCCGACCAGTGAGGTATGTATGTCTCTTTTTTTTACCTGTACAGTTTTCGACAATTTGAGTGGTACGTGTAACATCGATCAACTGTGAAAGCTGTGACCGGTCGACTGTCACATCTTGTCACGCACACACACATTCACACAAAAGCTCTCCCATCACTCCATTGGGGATCTGACTGACTGTGCGCGACAAAACACCTTTCCCTGCGCGAAACTTCCAGACAGACCGGCTTACAAGCCGGAGTATCATCGTGAACTTGTTATTCTTTTCGGCGTTCTTTTCCTTTTCGATGCATCATCTTTTAAAAGAAGTTCCCGAGCCAAGGGAAGCTCTCCCGGCAGAGTTGCACTAGCTGCATCTGCAGCACCGAGCACTTGCAGAAGTTAGTTGCGTGCAGCGAGCCAATGTGGTTCCACCCCGCGCCCGCACGCCATTTGGACGGATCCACTGGCCCTATGCGAGCTGACAGCTGGCACTCGGTTTGGGTCCGTGCTTCCTCTTTGCTTGCCGACAGCCAAGTGGCAGAGGACGTGACATGGATCCGGGGCCGCGGCGCCCGGCAACTTTCCATGGGGAAAGAGAACTGCTGCACGCAACAGAACACCAACCGACTGACCACGTTCACTTTGACAGGGCTCTCTGTCAGTCATTCAAAAACTGCAAAACATCCATCATTTGGTGACTGGCATAGCATGGGCCTGTGGATGGTCGACGATGATCACGTGAACCACTTTCAACGACAAGGTCAACGACAAGGGGGGGCTGATTAACTGATGGAGTTTGTGATGACCAGGGCTTCTTCCTTCGGGGTTGTACTGTGATTGCCAAGCCTATTTTGTACGCCGATGGACCGATAACACACCCTGAACACCTTAAAAAGAAGTGTAGTGTATACTACAAAAGTGCCGTGGCTCCGTTCGGGGCCGTGGATCATATTTGGGTACGAAAGCGATTGACGAGCGAGGTGGATTGGTAAATGGCGTTCGTCACTCGTCACTCGCGTCACGGGGTAACGGGGTTAGTAACACGGGAAAGTTCCGCCTATTTTATCCTACACTACACTACACTAGCTTCGCCTCCCTCTTGTCTTGTTGATTCCGAGTTGATTCAAGGGTCCAGGTTCCAGGTTCCAGTTTGTACGAGAGTCGCTACGGTGATCAGGGTCTTGAAAGAATGACCGTCAGTTCGTCCGTCATTGTGGTAGGTTTGTGATGAAGGAAGACAGGATTTCGCTTCTTTGACTGGTCAGTTGAGTGGCAAATAGAGTTGAAAATCAGTTTCAGCTATTTGATGTTGGGAGGATTGAGCGAAGGTTGGGCCTTGGATTATGACATTTTCCTTTTACAGAATAGGTAGAGCTATTCAGGAGGAGTGAGACATTGATATGCGGATCATTGGTGGGAGAGGTCTGGATTCTTCGCCTGGTTGCCAGCTCGGCTGGGCGGGCGGGTGATGCGGGATACTAACCTTGTCGACTTTATCCCCGGCTTGAGAAACAGATCCGATGCGGTCTGTTTGGCTTCGACGATAGATACCCGGCTGTAGGGGGGAATTGTGTCGACCTGATCAACCTCCCGCCTCTCTCCCGGGCCAGCCGTTCGCTTCCGATGCGCCACTCGGGGGTTTACCGAACCGATCAACATCCCAGCTCCCGGGCTTTTGGCCGGAAGGGGTGAACTTGGATTTCTGGAGTCGTGGTGAAGATGGAATCTGAGAGAGAGAGAGAGGTTGATATCTCTCAATGGTATGTCCCCCATCTATTACGGCCAGTTCGTAACCTGCTCTTTCTTCTACGTGTGATAGTCCTTTTCGGAGTATTGACTCTCCAACATGCCTCACTTCTCTTATTTCTAGCGGGTAGTTGAACGAACTGCCACTCAAACTTAGTCGTCTTTCTTCTCTGATACCATCCTTTGCCCCTGGAAATAACGAGTGCCTTTGACAGACCACCATCATTCTCAATCATGACTGGCTAAGCTCAGAGTGTCACTCATTGGTACATAGCTTGAAGCCGTCATGACACTCCTGAATATTTATTATCGTGAATGACAGGTTGGATGCGTATTTCAGGTTCTTTTTTGACAGTGCCGGCAAGTGGTTATTGTGGGTGTCTTAGGGGCACCTCTATTATTCGAAAGGCTTATTCGAAAGGCTCGGTTTCCATATTTGGGGTTCTGTCATCATCTGTACACTGCTGATCCGTTTGCCTTGGTCTAGAGCTGCAGGTATCATTTCGGAGCTACTTGCACTCCCTCGAGGAAGGACGGGCGAGAAATGTTCAGCGAGGAAGAATATCCTGCTCGGCCATCCAGTGCTCCTATTCTGCAAGAAGTCAACTTTCTCCGGTAAGCAGACACTCTGCGCATACTCTCCAGTTTGATTCTGCTGTTTTAAGACGATTTGGTAGAACTATAACTTGCGTAGGTCTTCCCATTATTTCCACATTGTTTTTATCCAGAAATGACATATTCTGGGAAGAATGTGTTGGCGCGCAGCTGGAGTGATCTCAACACCGCGGATGACTTTACTTTCAGTCCTCAAAAGAACTGAATGTTGTGAATAAAACCCACTTGTGCCGAGAGAAAGGTCGAGATACTAATAAATGCTATTGAGAGGTTGATCGAAGTCAGTCATGGGATTTGCATCTGATCAGGTACATATGTCATCTCCTCGATTCCATCTAGAGTTGCGGTCCTTTCAACTCCAGACCACGTCTTTTCCAGAGCGTCAAGCCGCTTGGAGTTGATCCAACCGAGACTCCGGCCAAGTCACCTCTAACTGTGAGGGAACAACCCAGCAGAAACCTTGAAACTGAATAGGCAGGTACGATGGTCCATGGTTCCTTCCTCCCCATCGCCAGTCGTTTTTTCCCACGTGAATCCCCACAGCAACCCTCAGCTCGTTCAAGTGCTGTGCCTTTAGGCAGTCACCGTTCGCGCCGTTTTCCATCCCATAACAACCTGAACAACACTCTATTGTCTCCCTCACGCCTCCCGCGCCTCTACAGCCAACAATTTCTCTTGAACTTCCTTTTTAACCCTGTTCCCTCCAGCCTCCTCGTCTTCTCTCACTATTTTCTTAACCACGAGTCGTCTACGGCCACTGTCGCTGCCGCCGCCGACGCCGCTGCCGTCCACACCGCATTGCCATTACCACAAACCTCCATCTGCGGAGTAAAACAGAAGTCACACTGCTCACAAGGCGTTTAGGCTTTACCTCTCTGACTCGGCAAGCTCACCATGTCGGCGCCTCCTGCGCAGAGCCCAGCTCTCCAGGCCAGACCTGGAGCGGCTTCAGCGTAAGCTTTCAGCCCCCTCTGGCAATCGTCTAAGTCAGAAGTGGAAGTGCTTTTGCTGACCATACCTTTCCCACCAGTGCGAGCAGTCGCGGCAAGACTGGACAGTATGTTCCCACGGCACACCTCCCCAGTACGTCCTGAATACGATACTAAGCTCCCCAACAGGATCCGATGCATGAACGGCAAGGAGTGGCAGGACCGTTCTGCCTTCAACCCCAAGAGACTCAGAGAGTACGAGGAATCGCGCCGTTCCAACAGAGCCATCACACCGTACAACTCCTTTATCTCGTGCAAAGCCCATTCTGGACATAATCCTTTTGACAAACAATGCCAGGGCGGCTGCCTGCGTATCTTGCCCTTGGAGAAGTTCAGCAAGAATTCCAGAAGGTTGGGCAAGTACAAGTGCATGGATTGCACCCAGCATCAGCTGTACCTCCAGCCTCACGCTACTGTTCCTGCTCCGAATACTCTTTTGGACACTACAGAGAAGGATGAGCTTGCTCAGGCTCGCCTCCGCCGCAAGGCCAAGTTGGCTGCTGCTCTGGCTGCTGAAGACGAGGACGATGAGGATGACGATTCCCTCTACCGCGACGACCAGGTAAGATGACCTTCGTGTTTGTACGGTTGATTATATACGTCATACTAACAGTTCCAGTCTGTTCTCTCTGGTGCCTATAGTGCCGGAAGCACTGTCTCGGGCGCTATCACCGGCAGCCGGTCTGTTTACTCTTCGAGATATTCGGAGGCCGGAACAGGTTACAGCAGCCAGAATCAACCGCCCCATATGCGCAGCGAGAATGGCTCTGCCGCCACCAGCGCTTTGGCGGCCCGGTTGAACCAAGATAGCTCCTCTCTCAGTGGCAATGCCTGGCGCACTCAGGGTTTCTTTTCTGACAGCTACGCTGCGGTTTCGACCTCGAGCAACGCAGGTTATGCCCCGAGTGACGCTCTCTTGACTGACGGACAATCCACTCTCGGCCCTGAAGATTCGGGTTCTGTTGCTGCTGCCCCGGATGACGACGAAGAGAGCAACAACCCTCCAACCGCTCAGCGCAAGATCATTGCTGATCACACGACCGTTACTGAATTTTTTCAGACTGAGGAGTCGTGGAGGGCTGATCAGGTCAAGGAGTCTCTGTCCTCGGGTAATTGGGTCAAGCTGGTAAGTCATGCTTGGAAAGTGTTGCTATGTGTTTTCTAATCATCTCTTTTTTGTCATTAGCCCGGTCGCAAAACGTTGCCCGAAGTCCCTCGCTATCTCAGAGAGGGCGAGGATAATTTCGACGATGATGCGTACTCCTACGATGGCGAGTCTGAGGACGAGCTGTAAGATCGCGTCCTATCCGTACTCAGAATGGGAAATGCCAGATGATACACGCTGGTTCAGGCTTAGTTGACTGGCGTGGCAAGTTTTCGAAGGATATGGGAGTGTCGGAAGAAGGGTCGTCGAGGAAAGGATTTTCTTGATTGACAACGGAAATATGGTCAAAAGCTCAGCTGGTTCTTACAATCTCGCGGTTCTGTTGCTATCAGGCATTTTATATTCAGCGATATTGTCGCAGAGTTAGACGCAGATTATCTTGGTAGAGGAGGAAGACGACCAAGGTTGCGATAGAGTTTATGCGAGAAATGCCAGCGTTGATATTCATGAATGACAACTTTGTCAGAATCCTTCCTGACAATATCCTACCGTCTTCGATTAACATTTGTTCATGGTAAAGTCATATCATCACAACAGTTGCGGTACTTGCTTGAAGATGAAAACAGCGTGGTGGAACTGAGATGACGAGACACCTGAGATCATTCCATTCCTTGAACGGCAAGGCGGTCGTTGAGATAAGCCCGCCAATCAGTCCCATGGATATGTTACTATGGTCCCTCAAGAGTGACCATGGACGAACAGTGACACAACGGTGCACAGAAAAGAACAAACAAAGGGGCCAGATTGACAGGCAGAGCTCTCTCGGAATTCGGGAAAATGTCTCATGGGTAAGGCGTGGTAGGCGGCATGATGGATAGCACAAAGTTTCTGCCATACTAACGACGTGTACATATGTGGCTCAGCACATTCGCAATAGTAGGCAATGTGGTCTTTCCATGATACTGACAGAATTCTTTGAATCGTGTTGCTCTTAGTCTTTTGAAGCCATGGCAAACAAATGTGTCACCGGCCAGACGATAAGCCATACATTAGCCAGTTGCTGCCGTGTAAGTGCATCCTGCTCACCAGCCCACCATGAATGTTGTAGTGGACTGTAAATGTCTTTTGTCAGTTCGTGATTCTCTTAAGGTGACTGAATGAAAGTGATGCATCTGTATGTCAACGGCGGTTTTGTCATGAACGTTGTGGGTTTGTCCGTGATCAACACTTGTTATGAAAAAGATGCGGACAAGGAGATTTAAACTTCAAACCATCTCTTCTATTCCCATCTCTTCGTCTTCAAAGAGAAGAAGAAACATACAGACCTGGAAAATACTTTGCAGCAACCACAAGAGAGTCGTAACACGCCTGCCTTCGTGAACCACAATACACAACACAATACAACCTCAACATCCAACCACAAACACACTTGAGGTATGTCCAGAAACACCAACCACGTCACGGAACCACATACAACATACAGCATTTCAACTGGGAAAAAAAAGAACACCGCTTCTCCAAGTGCTGGTTGTTGCTGGTTGAGCCGCAGTTACCACCCACCACCTCACCGACTAAAAGGGTTGTGCAAAGGCTGACTGACTTGGAGCTGTGTAGTGACAAACACACTCTCATCGGCCCGCCTCGACACAAGAAAGACACAATACAGCACACAGCACACAGTACACAGCCCCCCCTTTCCCCGGGAAGCAAGACTGGAGCCAGCCAAACAAAAGCAAAATCCAACGGTTACTTCCCGACACAGGAAGTTTGCTCTTTTAGCTTTTGTCCTCTTTCTCCTTTTGTTCTGGTCCTTTTCTTCTCTCCTTTCCAGCCATGTCCAGCTCTGGCTCTGGCTTTGGTAGAAGGACTATTCACCACAACGACCCGAACCGTTTCTTGGACGTCGTCAACGCTCGGTCTCCTCCTCGTACTGGTACTGGAGGATCTAGAACAGCTTCACCCAGACTTGGACCGTCTTCCCCGATCCCGATTCCAAACGCGATACCGAGACTGAGAGTGAGAGTGGGGAGAAGAGTTAGTTTCGAGGAGCCTTCTACCCCTCCGTCTGCTTTCGAGTATTTCTCTTCTTCCTCTACCTCTTCTTCCTCCTCCTTCTCACCACCACCACCAACGTCATCATCATACCTATCCACCGCCTTCTCGTTTGACGACTCCGACAACTTCGACATCCTCGGCAACGACGACGACGACGACCTGGCATACACCATCGCCGGTCCAAGCGGAGGAAGGGAGGAAAGAGGCAGGATAAGGATAAGGTCAAGGTCAAGATCAAGATCAAGGGAGCCCCAAGCAAACCATCGCGTCACCATCTACCACGGAGTTCGCCATTTCTACCCCAACCGTAACCGTACGCCGTCACCACCTCCTCCTCCACCCGTTCCTCCACCGCCAGCCTTTCTAGGTTTCCGCCCAGTCGGCCGTGTCCGGTACTTGCCCGCTCCCAGACACGTCCCCGCTCCGAGACAGTTCCCCGCTCCAAGACTCACCATCCGTCGAATAAACCGCTCTCCATCCCCTGCTCTTCTCCGGCCTTTTCAACGGGTACGGTTCCGGGAGGAGGAGGAGCAAGTTGAAGAAGAAGACGAAGACAGTGGGGATAGAGTGCGTGATAGGCTAAGGATAGCTATCAGGACTACAACCAGCAACGGGCGAGGAAGAAGGGAATTTAGGAATTTTGACGACGACGACGAGGACGAGGACGATAGTACTTCTACCGTGACTACCGCATACCAAGACGCAGACGAAATGCCTAGGGCGGCGTGGGGGGTGTTGTTTGATGCGGATGAGAGGCCGACGGAGAGGTTGAGGGAGGTGTTGGCGGCTTTGGGGAGATGGGTTGTGAGTTTTTTCTTGAGTTTCATCTTTCGTTTTTGTTTGGATACCTATGATGTTGGGGGTCAGGTTGTTCTGAAGGCGCTGATCTTGGCAAGCTGTGTGCGCTAACGTTGAGAACTGCTTAGGTCCGTGAGATGCCCGGGGGGCGATCGACCATGCTGGACAGGGAAGATCTCATTAGCCCGAGGAGGATGAGGAGGTTCTTTGATCGGTATTATGTGACGGGACCAAGGGAGGAGGAGGAGTGGAGGTATTGGGGTAAGTGTTTATCCCCCTGTTGGCGATTGTTTGATGGTGGATGGTTGGTGATGTGGACTTGGTGATCGGGAGTTACTAACCTTGTGCGGTAGATGTTTTCAGGAACGAGACCGGCGATGAATCGATAACCCGGGTCCAAAGGCTTTACGACGATCTCAACGCCGAATACCGTCCTCGCACCCTGCCTCGAACCGCCGCCACTTTGCCTTCTCCATGCCTCACGCCAAGAGGTTTCGCCGAGTTCCTGATCAAGCTGATCCTCAGCTACCCCGAAAGCCAGCATCAGTTCCTCTCGCATGTATTTAGGAGTAATCAGATCACGGCGCCGATGGACAACCTCAACAGGTGGGGAGCAAGAGGCGGAGAAGGATTGCTACCGGGCCATCTAGACAGAGATCTATTTCCAGAATTCATGGACACCGTGATGGAAGCAAGAGTCAGGAGGGCTTTGATGGCAGCTGAGTTCGGGACACCAGGACGGCCGGCAGGGAGAAGTGGCTCACTAGAGAGACTGAGGGAAGAAAGGGCACAAAGGCAGCGACAAGCTAACCAAGACAGAATCCGTGAACGAAGGAGGGCCGAGTATCAAGGATATCGACTAAGAGGCGGCGGCAGCGATGGCGACGCTGACGCGGAGCGAGGACGAAGCATGGAGCGACGTTCCTCAAGCCGAGTGGAAATCCGGAGCACATCCAGGGCCGCATCACCTGGAGTCCAGCGAGTGACTGCGGTAGTCCGGTCTCGGTCCCGGTCCCAATCTCGGTTAAGATCCCAATCTCGCCATCGACCATCAGACAATCCCCAAACCTCATCGTCATCTCAAGACCGTGAACCCGACAATCTCCACGTGCGCTTCACCTCCGAGACCAAACGTCCCAAGAGAAAGCGTCCGGCCGTTAATCTCTCCTACAAGAGACCACCAACCCCCACGCCGGCCGTCACCAAATGCCACACCAAGTTCGAAGATTATGGCTGTCTATTCCCGCCGCATCCAATTCCAACCTCCTGCCATCCACGACCACGACCCAAGACACCGGTTGCAAAATGTAAGCCGCCAAAACCAAAGCCAACGACGTACTACCCCCGTCTCCCACCCGGCCACCCACCCATCTCACTCCCATCACCTCATCCAGCTCCAGCAGCTCCAACATGCCACCCTCCCGCCACCACTCAACAAGTCTGTCACTCCACCAAACCCAAACCCAAAGCCTGCACTTACAGACCCCGTCCCCGACCCGGTTGCAACACCGCCAAACCCTGTCGTCCCCGTCCAGAACGCATCTACCGCGAAGTCCCCATCTACCACGAGATCCCCGTGCGCGAGATCCGCGAAGTCGAAGTCGAAGTGCCTGTTCGCGTCGAAGTTCCCTATGAAGTCCCGGTTAGAGTACCCGTCGAGGTGCCTGTAAGGGTCAACGTTCCGGCGCCGTATCCGGTACCGCAGCCTTATCCTGTTTATCATCATCAGAATTATAATGGCGGGTATGGGGGACACGGAAGGTATGGGGTGAGGGCTGATGAGGGACCTTGGTATCCATTTAAGGCTGTTACTTGGCAGAGTGGTCCGCCTTTTTAGGTGAGGTTGTAGGTATGGGATAGGGGGAGATGGAGGTGTTGGGTTTTGGATCGCAGTGTAGGAAGTTTGGATAGGGAGGAGGTGAGGGTCGTGAGGGGAAGTTGCCTGGCGCGTGCAGCCTGACACAACAGTGTCTGCCCCTCGGTTTGGTGGTGCTGTTTTCACTTGGCAGTAAAAGTAGGAATATTAAAGCATCTGTTTGAAAGCAAACAACCCTGGTAACCCTGGTGATTCCAACTTGTGTTCAATGCTCACGAGTCATGGAAAGTGTCGAAGGTCGTTGCCAAAACAAGGGGGAAACAAGGCCAAAACATGTTGCCGTATTGGGTAAGATCAGCAAGCGCATTAACAGATTCAGGTGACGATCTCACGCAGATCTGTTATTGCCGTGCTTAACACCGTTGTAGGGTAGCATCCCCCCAGTGACCCCCACGTTCCCCCACTCCCCCAGACTTGCTGACCTCTCCAACTTTTTCTCCAACTTTTTCCCCAGACGATCAACGTCATATTACCAAGGAAGGGATTCCGAAGCCTCGCAAAGCTTGACTTTTAATGCCCAACACTTGTCGATCCAAAATCACACCACAACGTTGGACCCGCTTCACACTCGGAGAGACAGGCACGACCATGGCACGTTCAAGGCTTCACACAAAGGAAAAGGCTCGGAGGTTTCAGGATTCGCAAAAATGACGTCGATGCCCGTTACCCGACCTCCTCGATCGATTACCCCGGATTACTTCCTCATGGCTAGTCTTGTCGGTCCGAATGTGGGCTTACACCTCCGTCATCTCCCGGCTTTTGGTCTGTCAAGTGACAGTGATGGCCAAGCACAAGTGCCTGATTGCCTCTTTGGATGCCATATTCGGTAACGTTCGAAAAACGTTCGAAATGGACCCCAAAGCTACTGTGTAAGTCGACGGGAGATATACAACCAAGCCATGGCGCCCAGAATCCAAGAGTCAAGACTTGAACTTCCTTCCTCATCCTCATTTGTCTTGTCACAAGCTCAGGCTATCGAGTGTCTCCAGTGAGGCACAATACAACACTCTACCCAAGATGGCGTCGAACCCAACAAACACCGCGGCCCCTACGGGTGGACTTGACGAGAAGAAGCGTTCAACATCGTCCGGTTTCGCCTCGGGAACCGCGTATGCGGAACATGACGACCGCGCCAGCACTTTGAACTCCGAAAAGGCTCGACTAGAGGCTTCAAAGAAGTTGGCGAATCCTTTGGCCGGTCTGAGTCCTCAGCGTCTCGAGGCCATGGGAGAAGAATATGCGCAGATGGCCGGTCTCACCAGCGAGGAGGACATCAGGGCTTTTCGACTTGGAGCCAGAATCGCCGGCGATGAGAACAACTACGATCTGATTCCGGAGCTTACTGAACGGGAGAAAGAGGTGTTGGTGCGCGAAACAACTCACAAGTGGTCCAACCCACCCATGCTTTACTGGGTTGTTGTCAGTATGTAATCCCCCGAATGGTCAAAAAGTGAAGCAAGCAGTATGATGCTAACCAAACTTTCAAGTCTGCTCTCTGTGCGCCGCCGTCCAAGGAATGGACGAGACGGTCGTCAACGGTGCCCAGCTCTTCTACAAAGACAAGTTTGGCATTGGTACCGATAGCCAGAGAGACACCTGGCTCCTGGGTCTCGTCAACTCGGCTCCCTACCTCTGCTGTGCCATTCTCGGCTGCTGGCTCACTGAACCCATGAACAGAATTTTCGGCAGACGAGGCACCATCTTCGTCTCGTGCATCATCTCCGCCGCCGCCTGCTTCCACCAGGCCTTCACCAACACTTGGTGGCACATGTTCATTGCCCGCTTCTATCTCGGCCTCGGCATCGGTCCCAAGTCAGCCACCACCCCCATCTTCGCCGCCGAGTGCTCCCCTCCCAAGCTGCGCGGTGCGCTGGTCATGCAATGGCAGATGTGGACGGCCTTCGGCATCATGGTCGGCTACATCGCCGATCTGGCCTTCTACTTCGTTCCCGACCACGGCATCGGCCTGGGTCTTAACTGGCGTCTGATGATGGGCTCGGCCATGATCCCCGCCGTCATCGTCGTCTGCCTCGCCTTCCTCTGCCCGGAGTCGCCCCGTTGGTACCTCAGCAAGGGCCGACACCAAGACGCCTTCGGGGCGCTCTGCCGCCTGCGTTTCGAGAAGGTCCAGGCCGCCCGCGATCTCTTCTACACCTACACCCTCCTAGAAGCCGAGAAGCAAGCCCAAGCCATGTCCGGCGTCAAGAAGGGCAACCGCTTCAAGGAGCTCTTCACCGTGCGGCGCAACCGCAACGCGGCCATCGCCTCGTCGGGACTCATGTTCATGCAGCAGTTCTGCGGCGTCAACATCATCGCCTACTACTCCTCGGCAGTCTTCCGAGACGCCGGCTTCAGCGACGTCTCGGCGCTGGCCGCCTCGCTCGGGTTTGGTGTCGTCAACTGGCTGTTCGCCATCCCGGCCATGTACACCATCGACACCTTTGGCCGACGCAATTTATTGTTAACCACCTTCCCGCTCATGTCCCTTTTCTTATTTTTTACCGGCTTCAGCTTCTGGATCCCCGAAGACTCCAAAGCCCACGTCGGCTGCATCGCGCTGGGCATCTATCTGTTCGGCATGGTCTACTCCCCCGGCGAAGGCCCCGTGCCGTTTACGTACTCGGCCGAAGCTTACCCGCTGTATATCCGGCCGATCGGCATGTCCCTTGCCACGGCGACTACCTGGTTCTTTAATTTCGTTCTGTCCATCACCTGGCCGAGCATGGTCACTGCGTTCAAGCCGCAGGGCGCGTTTGGCTGGTATGCTGGGTGGAACATCATCGGGTTTTTGTTCACGTTGTTCTTGGTGCCCGAGACGAAGGAAAAGACACTGGAGGAGCTCGATCATGTGTTCGATGTGCCGGTGAGGAAGTTGGTTAGGTATGGGGCGGATCAGAGCTTGTCGTTCTTTGGAAAGGGAATGAAGCCGACGGCGCCTAGTGCGTTACACGGGGATGCGGAGCGTATGGATGAGATGGTTGGCGAGCAGCAGCTTGGGGAGGGTGAGAGGGAGAAGAGGTGGAGTAAGGAAAGAGAGAGGGAAGGGGGCATTATGGGACGGGGGGATGCTGCTGGGAGGGTGTAGTAGGTTTTGTTTTGTGTGAGAGTGGATGGATGTTGGAGTATTGAGGAGGATGGGATGTTAATGATGGACGCTTTATGCGATCTGACTTATGACTAACGGTTAAGCTTCTTTGCATATATGTATTTATATCTTGTTCATTTAAGGATACCACTTTGACCTTGAGTATGTGCAAAATCCCAGACAGGCTTTGCCCCTTCGTTCGTGACAGTCTTCCAGATGATGTTACTTCCCTAACCCACCATGTCAACCACCACACCCACTTCATAAGCGTCGCGTCTTCCTTATGAAACTTTATCCGACAACCTACCTCGCCTACCTACCCTCGACTCAATGCTCATTGGACAAAAATCATCGTATATTTTTCGGTGAGCGGATGGTAGCCTGGCGGATAACCCCCTCCCGTGCATGCACTGCCACACTCCGTGCCCCTATCACCAAGACGCACAGCACATGAACGTCAGGCAAAGCGGCATTGCCAGCACGACCGTTACCCGATCGTGACGAGAGCGGAAAAGGGAAAGAAGGGGGAAAATTGAGGACGGAGGGGGAAAGGGAAAAGCACCCTATTCGTTGAATGCGGTGAGGTAGCATGGCATGGCGAACAACTTTTTCACACGAGGCGGCCGTAAGGCAACCAAACTAGTGCCGCCGCGGTGCGCGGCGTGGGTAAGGGGTGTAAACAACCTCAAACTATCCCCTCGCTTCCAGTGTGCTGTTTTTTTCCCGGTCTTTTCTTTCTGACGCGGTAAGACAGTAAGAAATAGAATCGTGATGATACTTCCGCTCTCTCTTTATCTCTGAATTGGTCCTACTTCGATAGTCCACTCGACCTCATCATGATTTCCAACGCAAAAAAAGTCCAAGATGGGAACTACATGGTTCGGCCGCCGGCCGCCCGCCCGTCTGTCTGCCTAAAGTTCTGAGTCCGACCTGACAAGTGGGATGTCACCGACCGACAGTCTTTCTCCTCATTGACGAGTGATGCCCCCTCCTTCTATTCTCTCCCTCTTTTTCGTCTCCTCTCAATATCACCGGTTATCCAGTGGAGCATGACGACCATACACTCAACATTCAACTACGTTCACGCATCACTCGAACAAAACCCATCGATGAAAGAGAATTTCATTGCCCCGTATTGCCTTCCACTTCGATTAATCGACGATTCCAATCAAACCCTCGAAACCCGCCGCCCTCGTTGTCAGCCAAAAACCCAAAGACCAAAGAAAGGTGAATGACACCAAATATTTCAACAAGCCTTCAAAAGTCCAACATAGCCAGCCCATAGCAAGATCATCATAATCGTCATCATCATCAATCATCACTATCCAAAACAAAAACGTATCAAACATCTCGACAGAAACAGATATCGGTTACCGAATCCTCTAAGCCACCCGATCGATTCTCTCCATCCCAACAAACCACCTAACCCACCGATTGCAAGAAAGATATAAAGAAAAAAAGTAACTGTCATCAATCATCAGCATCAAAACATGAGAAAGAGAGAAAGGAAGAGGACGATAACGCAACGCTCAACAGCAACAAGCAATGAAAACCAAGTACCAAGCCGTTCGATCCACCATGCATATCCCATCCGTCGGATATCCACATGCTGTTCCGGATGTGTGCATCGTACATCGCATCCCCGTCCGCACGTGTACATAATGCAAGCAGCACTCGTGATAGCAGCAATCAGGGACCGTGATGACGTGTCGTCGCGGGCCCATTCCGACTTTGTGGAGACCGAAATGAAGTTGAGACGAAAGAAAGAAGTCGGGAAGGAAGAATGAAAGGGGTATCGAAAACCGAAACGAATTTTCCTCCGTGATTTTGCACGACGACGGACCCGCCCAGACGAAAGACAAAGCCGCACCGGAGAACGTCGACCGACCGACCGCGGACCGAGAACGGCCAACGACCAACGACCAACGAAGCAGAGCAAAGGCGAAGAGTATCAGTTACGTTTCCTGAGTCGTGGCTCCATTTCATTCTTCTCTCTTTCATCGACGGGGCCGTTCCGCCCTGCGTCTCCTGCGCTCTTCATGTGCTAGTTCCTGTGGCGATCGATACCAGCCATCATTCCCCGGCGGGGTCGGCGGACCAAGTGGTCCCCTTTGACTCTGGCCTTGGCTTTGGTACCTATCATACGACACCGACCCCGGCGTACCAGGGATCCTCAACTGAGGCGGCAGCTCCGTATAATTCCTGATATCCTCGTACACCTCATCTCCGATCTTGCCAAGGCTGTACAAGTGCTCGGCCATGAAAAAATCCGGACGCATGCACTGCCAAGTCAGGCGGGGATTGTCGAAGATATGCTCGCGGATGTGCCACATGCGCCGGACGAAGTTCTGCCGGCGCTCGTCTCGGTTGGCGCGCTCGTGGACGGTGAAGTCGTAGTCGTTGCAGAACCAGCAGACCAGCTTGCTGGGCAGGTGGTGGTTAAGGTGCCGGAGGTGGTGGTCGATCCAGAGGTTTTCTTCGCCGAATTGAAATACTTCGCCGCAGTTTAGGCTGCCGCAGAACTCGCACCATAGTTCGTGGGCATCGGGGTCAAGGTCGACTTGAGGCCCGTGGCCGAACTGTTGCATCCAAGTTGGGTGGTCAGGACCGTGGGTTGGGACCGTGAGGTTCGTGGATGATCGCATTGAGGTTGCGGTGGATGTGGTGTAGTTGGAATCGGTGACGGACGAGTCGTCGTCGTCGTAGTATCTGTCATATGATGACTGCATTGCCTGCCCGGGGCTGTAGCTCCCGGAGTAATCCTCTATGTGTTCTGCTGAGGTGTGGTAAGGCATTGCGAGGTTGGCCATAGTGGGACGGCGACGAATGTCAGCCGGACAAGCGGCAGCGGGGATGTCTTGGATGGGGAAGGGCAAGCAAGTGTTCTGCCTCCTCTGACGTGGGGGTCCCGTTCGAGCTTTGGGAACCGGGTTATGTGGAACGGTCCGTTACTGACGATGCCTCGGAGCTGGCTATGGCGATGTCACTATTGCTCCAGTCAGAACATGAACTCTCGAAGATGAACCAAAGCTGGCGGCACAAAAGAAAAAAGAGCAACTGAAAGCCATCTTCGACGAAAGAGAAAAAGCAAGCGATAGAGAAGAGGGGACGCTAAGAGGGTATTTTGGGGTACAAGCGCAAGTGCTCGGCGTGTACGCAGCAAGGCCATCGTGGCAGCCAGCACTGTGTATAGGTGCCATTGCCGAGAGAGGATGGGAGGATATGTATGGTTCTTACTTGAGAACGGGAACGTTACCTACATTAGCGGATCGAGTGTTCCCGTAGGGGGGGTCGCAGTTGTGTACCCGTAAGCTCTCAGATGCTTCAAGTGGCACTTTGGGGTCAGTAAGAAAAAGCTGCGAGCTAGTAGCTGGCAGTCAAAAGAATTCGGGATTCAAGTTGATTTGGACTAGAAGAAGCTGTTGACGATGAAACGAGGACGAGGTATTCTGGGCAGACTCGAGCAGCCTGAGTTGATATGACCCCGGAGTTCTTAGAAGTCGATCTCCCGAACAGTCGAAGGGAAGTTGAAGTCAGTTGTGGATATGTCCTAGATGGATTTTGAGGAAACTCCAGTCATCCCTCCATGGAAAAAGGAAAAGGAAATCGGGGGCGATGGAGGGGTTATATCGCGAACTTCCAGTTTCCTCTGCTCTCTCCCCGGTTTCCCGTTTGGAAACTTCCCGTCCTTTCCTACGAGTTGCACTCATATGACCACCTCCTCAAGTCGCGTATGGCAAGCAAGTAATGCGCGTCCACAACGTCAACTCGAAAATCTCACCCTTCCCTCGTTGCGTCGGCCCACACATCCACACCCACCACCACCCAGTGGGTGCATCATCATCGGGACGTCGGGTCGGGCCTCTGTTTCTCTCCCATCAGATCACAACGGCCAGTTGGAATTTGTTGCTGCCCCGCCCTTCTTCCCCCCTTGTCGAGCTGACTTTCCGTTCCGGAACGTCTAAAATCTCGGGAGCTAGTTGGTTTCCGGGTTGTTTCGTCGGTTTCTGACCTCTTGAAGAGAGACAACACATCTTTTGTCTAGTGGAAAATAAGTCTCGGGAGGAGGGGTAGAAGGGGCAAATGGTACTCGGGACGGATGTACCCCTGGCACTAGCTCTTTAGTACCCTTTTTTTCTCCTCCCCTTTTCCACCACTCATGGGGGTTTTTTTTGGGTCCAGAATACCTACCCAACGACGACCTTGGTCAAAACCTACTCCAGACTGACTGCAACAAACATGTGTACTTCAGATGGCCATATTTCATTCGAGCAAATGATCATCTTCACGAGGATGAAACGTGATGTCGCGCCAGCGCCGGCGAGCGTGAGGAGCAACACCAGCCAGACAGACAGACAGACAGACAGACAGACAGACAGACAGGTTATCAGCATTTGCCTTTGCCGGTTCTACCCTTTCCTTTCCATCTCATCTCTGACGACAGACAGAAAGATAAGATTGGGCCACAGTTGCCAAGAGCATGGGGTTAGGTCATTCGGGTTTTATGAAGCGGCCTTCATATACCCGGAATGGAAACGCGGCGAGGAAAGATTTGCGATGCCGATGCACCTTCTCCTCCCTGTTTCTCGGAGACGGCATGCGATTCCGGGTCAAGTGAAGCATGTAAGATTCCTCCCCCACACTGTAGACTACTGCAACACAGCACCTGTTCGCTTTTTTCCCACGTCAATGAATGGGGTGCAGGTGGTGGGTGTGCGGAGAACTTGCAGTGGACGACGAACGAACGAGGGGGAGAAAAGAGAATGATGTCTGGTGAGGTGGCTTGAGATGATGTGGCTTTCGTTGGTGCTCGGGTTTGGAAAAAGCAATGTGGTAGTGCAGCATACAGTAGTCTGCAGATTCAGAAAGACTCGTCCGAGGAACTGAGTGGATGACTGCAGCAGCGTAGCATGACTGACGGGATGGAGACGGTTGCCGAAGATTGAACGTCGTGGAAACAAGGAGGTACTACCAGCCACGTCCTACCCATATAACTCTTTGGTACGTTTTCGTATGGTTGATGATTCCATTTAACATCCGCTTGGTAGGGTATCTTCCCTTCCCTTTCCCCTCGTTGTCTCTTCCGCATCTCCGGATCGTGGAGCACGTCGCAGTGCACCTTGTAAATCTTCAAATGGGACGTTTTGCGACGGTTTCCCAAAACTCCAATCCCAAAGGCAAAGCCAGGCACATGCAACGAGAGATCACGCCTTTGCGTCTGAAGCACGTACAATATCTACGTGGCACCCTTTCAGCCGGCATGCATATTCGGCTTTACTGGCCAATCTGTGTTGAGCATAGAAAAGCCAACATGTAAAGATAAGTTTCTCCATCCAATCGCAAAGCTATCCAGTGCGTTGGGTAAGCATCGTCGTCAGGAGATTCTAGTCCTTGCATCTTCGACTCGCGTACATAGGATGTGATTGTGACCATAGCATGAGTTTGCGGGATCTTGATAACCACTTTATTCGGCATCGGTCAATCCCGAGATAAGATCGTAGATGTATATCGAGAAGCGTCGCCTATGATATGTGGCAGAGTTTGACCCCAGCCTTCTCTTAAGTTGCTCTTTTACGTACCACCTTGCTTGATGTAAAGTTGTGTGTTTCAACAGTTCACCAGTGAAAGAGGTTTCATCGTCGGATATCCTTCACAAGAACTGCCAAGAAGAACCTGGCTTCCGATGCCACTCTGACCACCCTCTTCCGCTTTTAACAAGTAGGAGTGAAAGGTGGGGGACGGGACTACCTCCGGGTCAGCTCCCGGAGATGCAATTGCGGAGAGGCCGAAGGATGGATGGGTGGGAAAATGGGTAAAGCGGGATGGTAGTATGTAGTCATATCAGAAGGCCGCAGAGGGCTCGAAAGACGTGAACTCCCCGAAGGGATGGGTTACATATCACGGCGCCGAAACGGCAATGCCCTTGTGAAAATCAGTAACCACCCGGGGCTGTTTGTACCACCGATATCCAGGCAAGTTGCTAGCCCTAAGAGGCACCTGCTAGTCCGAAGAGAGAAAATTGAGGCTCTGCTAGCCCAAATCAAGTGATGGACTCGACGAGTTCGATCCTCCGACAAGATAATGGTTGGTGCATCTGATATCATATTTCTCCTCTCCGCGCATGTTACATGTCTCCTGCGTCTCTTCAACCTATGTTCATGCCTACAAAGGGCGTGTTCCAAATATCGATGGTTGATCCGCCAGTTGATCCAGTTGTTGATCCGTGTATAACGCTAAAATTTGCAGTCTTGACAGGGGGTCTTTATACTATTTTGTCTTTTTTCTTTTTTTTCTTTATTGCATAGTGGCGCTTATACGTGCCAGTAAGCGAGGCCATACGTAGGGGTATAGCTTATCCATCGAGATCTCTATACTAGAGCTTGTCTATTAAATTGTAGAACCGTAACTACCGTTATAAGCTCAATTTTGAAGGTATTTACAAATAGAGACATCTATTTGGTAGTTAGGAAGCCGCTCTATAAGACTATATAACGTTTACTTAATTACTAGGTATAGTAGTTGATATTATTAAGGTCGAAGGTTTAAGGGGTAAAAAAGGGAATGTAAATAATAATCTACTATAATAATAATTAGAATCGAATCGATTAGAATGCCCAACTAAGAGTTTTCGAGTATATAAATATAGGCATCAACTTTATGATTTTATTAAATAAAATTCTTTATTATTAATACTTTTATTTATTATTTCCTCTCTTACCTATTATATCCTCCCGCCGCCTCTAAATCGTTAATTTTATTAATAACAATAATAATATTTTTAGTTTAAATAAGTTTATTTATAATGGCCTGCGTAGCCTAACTCCCCGCTAGTAAGAGGATTTTCTTATTAATATTTAAAATTTTAGTAACGTACCCCCTAATTATACCGAAGTATAAGAGTATAATATTACTAATTTTACTACTATTAACCGCCCTCCTCCTCTTCTTCCTCCTCGTCTCCTAATTATCCTACCGGCTTCCTGACTAGACCTTATATTCCCTATATCCCGTATTAACTAGCGTATGTATTCGAACTAGCTGCCTATTCCCTAGCCTACCTCCTATCCTTCTACTATAGCTACCCCCTCTTAAGTAAATTAAGTTATTAGTCGGGTTAAAAATTAGCAAAGTCGAAGTCGAAGTAGTAAAGGTAGCTAGGTAAGCTAACTTAGTACTAGCGTATTTATTTTATCGCTTTGTCAGTTATTAACTATCTTTCTATTATTTAACGAGGGTAATAATAACAGCGGCGAGGATAGTGATAATGATAGTAACCTATTCTTTAATATTTTTGTTATACGGCTATAATTATTAATCCCTCCCCCTAATACCCAACCGCTAATTCTCTAACCGCTAATTTCCTAACTTTCTACCTAACTTTCTACTTAGGTAAGTGGGGTATTTCTTTACTAGATTAATACTTAAAAGTAATTATTTATGATTATTCTCGTTAAAATTATTAAAGAGGGGAAATTTATTAAGGAGGAGACAATTAATTGGTTGAAGAAGGTCCTTATTAAAGTAGCCGAGACTATAACAATTTAATAACTAAACGTTGATTAGGGTTATAATTAGTTGCAAAACTGGTATAATACATATAGAAAGGACTACCACTTATAATTAGAATTCTTCCAAAAGATTAAGGTAATTTTTAATAAAACGATTAATCAATTTAAAGCGGAGGAGGATATATAGGAATCCTTTTTAAGAGTAAGCTACCGTTAATAAAGTAGTTAAAAATTACTATATTCGAATATCAGGACGAGTATATCCTAATATTTACTATCGATTAGGCGATTAGTAAATATATTATTTGGCTAAAATAACGATTGTAGTAATATTTAGAGTAGAGGAATATTCAGAAGTATAACGACGACGTTAATAAAACTATACTATAATTAAAAGGTAAAGGGAAGGGGAAGGCGAAGGCGAAGAAGAGGAAGGATTTAATAAGGGAATTAATAAATTCTAATAGTAAGGAGGCACCTCCTTAATTACGGCCGATTATAAAAAAGAAATTAATTACTACTAATAATATATTTAAATTAGTTAAATTTATTTCTAGTACTTAAAAGTACCTATTTTGAAGTATATTATCGTCGTCCCTCTTTATTATTATAGCTGGTCTTTCTACCGCTATACCCCCTCCTCTTATACCGGCAAATCTAATTAAGTATAATTATTACCTCTAAATATTTATCAATATTTTAATAATAATATCCCTTCTTCGTTATATAAATAAGAAGGATAAGCGGGACTTTATTAAAAGATTACGGAAAGATAAAAATATAGCGCGTCTCTTTACTACCGTACTGACGGGGAAGCTACTATTTGCAAAAATAATTTTAGATAACGAACCCGTCTTCGAAAATAAGGAAGAGGAGGAAACGCTTAATAACTTAAATTAATATTCTCATTTTTAATTCCGTAGGAAATATTATAATATTTTTATACTATTTAATAACCTTCGTTAATCCGATTCTAATATTCGTATTTTTATAATCGTACGTATTATAATTAAAAAATTATATTATAATTTGTAATTATATTACTTTAACGCGTTATTATTATTATTAGGAAATATAGGAGTTTTACCATATTAAATATAAAAAATCGTAAAGTTAGAAAATTTTTGTTAAATTAAAAAAATAGCCAATTTAATTACCTTTTACTAGGTTAGGCTAAGTTAGGCTAGGCTGGGCAGGGCAATAAATTTAATAAAATCTAATAAATTTAGGCTTTAGCCCGCTTGCTAAAACGTTAACATAGGGCAAATATAATAATATAGTCCCGCGATTATAGAATTTAAACTCTAACCTCGTATAGAGGGTCGATATTATAATATTAATAACTCTTTTAATTTAAGTCCAAAATTAATATAACCGGTATTAATCGATTTAACTTAATATAGTAAATAAAATAATGTATCTATATCGGTTTTTAAATAAAAAATTTATAATATAGTTAATAATATAGAAAAACTATTATACTTATTTTTTTGACGAACTTTTTTTAAAGTAGTACTAACTATATAGTTAGTTCGCTTTAATACTGCCCAGGTAAATTGCCAAATACTATAATTTACCTATATTTATTCTATAAGAATACTTCTAAATTGTATTATACGAGCGTTTTATTTAATTATTATATTTACCCCTCTACCCTCTCCATTACCCTCCTCGCCTTCAGAATTGACGTTGATGACGTCTACAATACCATCGTTATTATCGTTTATAAAGGGGTTCTAATCTATACGGGTCCGTCTATTTAATCTAATTATATAGCGTAGTAACCATATATACGATATTATATTAAATTTTAATAAGATATTTTAATGCCACCGCCTATATAATTTTAAACCGCTTCTTTATTTTGCCGATAACGATTTTAACTTTTATATAATATTTTAAAAACTTCAAATTATATGATTTTTCTTTCTTCAGTCGCTTTCTCCGTTTTCCCCCGCTATACTTAACTAAATAATATTGTACTATAGGATATAGTATTAAAATCCTACGCATTAAATAGAACCCTACATCGGCGAAGTAGAATTTCCCCAGTAATATTGAAAATCTAAAAACGAATATTAACTTTAATAATTTAAAATTATATATCAATCCTTCTATTCCCGGAAGTATATACGTAAATAACTTATTAAGCCCGATTGTAACGAAGATATTCTATATTATATAGTTTTTTTTTTAAATTTTATTATACTTATATTTCGTCGGTTAGTACCCGGGCGTATACTAACATACTATCGATTATACTAACATAATATTTAAAAAACTGATTAGGTTTTTTATCCTTTAATGTTAATTTATATATTATATCAGGTATTAGTAATTTAATAATTTAATTATATAAAAGAATTATAGTTCGAAATACCTTATAAAAGTTATAACTAACTGTAAAAGTATTATATTTAAAGCGATAAGCTATATTTCGATAGGTTTTATTATAGGTATAAATATATAAAAACGTTAAAACTTTTTATTCAATAAATATTTAAATTGTACTATAAATACTAATATTAATAAATATCTAATTAATTAACTATATAAAGGGATACCGCCGTATATAGTATAAGTTAAACAATTTTATTTCGTAGTCTAAATGGAGGATATTTCGAATAACCGCCTTCCCTTCAAATCGATTAGAGTATATCGATTCCTATATAGTATTATAGCTACCGCGGGCCCGTATAGAGGCAATTGCTAAAACGATAGTAAATAATATATGTACTAGAAAGAGCCGCACTTATTATTAAATTTAATCTATTGTCGATAGAAGTATTTTGATTTATCGGGGATTATTATATAAAAGACAGTAGAAAAATTTATATTAGGTATTAAAGTACAATTACTAGTACATCTAGTAAATACTAATCATATAATTAGCTAATATCCCTATCCTAGTACCCTTATTAAGCCGGATTAACGAAAATGCCCTTAAAAAAGTTGAGATTCTCAGCTTTTTTCGACTAATTAATTTTAGTATATTACGATCCCCTTTTAAGAAGTCGACCAGGCTATTTGTAAGCGATACGTCGATTATAAGGGAGTTATAGGGGGGTTATAGGGTTTCCTGGCTAGCGTGGTACGTGCTAAGGTCCTAAATGTCTTCTTTGAGCCATATGCAGTGTGATTAACTGCATATTTACTAGTCTCTCATGACAGTCGTGCTCCGATGTCAGCCTCCATCCGCTCCGCCGCCACACGTGGCGCAGTCTCTTTGTACCCTGTGGGTCCAAATAGTGTGACATTATGATTGATGGGTAGGTAAGTGTGGTGAGGATGTCACAACCATTTGAACCCGCAGGTACAAAGAGACGCAAGGGCCATGCGTAGGTGGCCGAGTAAATGAGACTAATATTTACTACATATCAACCGCAGGGGTCGATTTGTATGGGCTCTGGATCAACGTTGGAAAATTTGGAACACGCCCAAAATGTGCATTACAGCTAATACCTTCGAAGTAGAGGCACGCAATGTCATTTCTGTTCTTGAACGGCAGGTATTTACGGAGAAGAGGACATCTCTCAGACTTATCGCGATTCTGGTCTCCGGGACTCCGGTCGAATGTGTTTCAGGTGAAGATAGTGCTGCATAACCTGACACGTCTTTTTGGGGGCGAGACATCCACATGGTCTTTAGTTGATAGAAGTTTGGATGTTTCAGGCGGTAGGTGATCGAGGTGTGATATGATTCTCCCCGAGCTCTAAGGCATGCGAGGTTCTTCCCCAGATAACCGGGGGTTCGTGCCCAACAAGGAGAACTATCGCCGCGGCACGGGGCTTGCATTTCTTCCCCATGTGGTTAGGCCTTCGGTTTTGGTTACGTTGGGCATCAACCCACCAGCGTGTTGACGACTGTCGGTAGCCGCTTAGTTCCGGGTCGCGGAGATAACTCCTGGGCACACACGTCCCTTCCAGAGCCAATGATCGACACCTGAAGAATATCATAGCGTCGCCATTGATCACACTGAGCAGGAATTGTGAGCCTGTAGACCATGTTGCTGGGTATCTTCGCAATGCTTAGATCCGTTTCATCTTGGACCGCAGGTTCGTTAACCACGAAACGGACGACAAGACGATCGCTTAACATCCTCACGTCGGTCATCCGGGGGTTTCGTGATCATTCGAATAACGAGTGGTCGTGAACGTCGGCTCAACGCATTGCTTCACTCTTCCGGACTGCAAAGCACTCTGGCCTTGGCGATGACATTCCTCCACTGGAGCTGCCCACCGCTTTCGTCGCCCTGTTTGATGATTCCCGGAAACGTGACGCAGCAGATCTCCCTATCCGACAAGCTCTCCTCGTCCTCGCCACCGATGTCCTCCATTGTGGCTGCATCGAAAAGGACTCGTTGATGTGGCAGGATCTCGGGCATGGTGACTTTGAAGATGGCTTTCTGGACGACGAGAAGCCGTGACATGTCGATCGCGCCGTTGACAAGTTGTCTCAGACCCTGATCCCGTGCCTCAGTGGCCTTAGTATCGACATCCGTAATGGCATATAATATGTTATTGGCTTTGTCAACGAAGGCCTCGATAATGGCGGTTGTCTCGGCTTGTAGCTTCTGGTCGGCTTCCCGTTTCAGGATGGAGAGAGTCAAAGCGCGCCACTGATTGAGAGACTCGGGCGTTGATGCTGGGTAAGCCAAAGAGGTCAGTCAGTTTGCAATCGAAGTGGTCGCTCGCAGTATCCCGGCGAGACAAAGATACCGACATCGGGAGTAAACATACCGATACCCGCAAGCATACCCTCCGCCTCTCTAACCACCCGCTCCTGCTCCCCAGTCAACCCAACAAAATAAGCCCCAAACACCATCTCCACCAACAACCTCGACACCACACTCTGTATCAAGTGTATCTTGCCTCCCATCGCCAATATCTCCTCAAACATCGGCACCACCCTCGCCAACTCCTCCCTCCACCCGTCCGCCAACCTTTCACTTGTCACCTTCGCCCTCCTAAAATTCACCAACACCCAGTTCTGCAACCCATTCCCCAACCTCGCTATACCCGCCCCAAACACCTCATCGCTCATCTGCTGCGCCGCCCCCGTCGCGTCCGCCCGCGTGCTGTTGCTCACCCACTCCTTCAGCCCGCGCATCTGCCTGCGCAGGTCACGGATCTCGTCCTCGCGCTCGCGCAGGCTCTGCTGGACGGCGTTCCAGCTGGAGCGGAGCTCGTCGCGCTCGGCGCGGAGGGCGTCGGCTTCCAACCGTAAAAGGCGGAGCTCGTGCGCAGTGGTGGACGTCAGCGAGGAGAAGGAGGAGAGACTGGAGGAGGCGTTGGTCAGGGCGTCAAGGGTGCGTTGGTACGAGAGCTCGAGGTGGGCTATGCGGTCGTCTTTTTGCTTGAGGAGGTCCTCGGTTGTTGTAGGTGTAGGTGTTGTTGATCTTGGTGCGGGTATAGGTGAGGGTGAGGTTCTCATGCTTGAGCTGGAACTGGAAGGGTCTGTTGTAGCTGTATTTGTTATTGTAGTTGTACCACCCCCATCGATGACTCTGACTCTAGTACCGCGCGGCGTGCTTGTGTTACTTCTATGAGCATCTGGAGAAGGAGAAGGAGAGAGTGCTGCTCGCGGAGGCGGAGCTATGGCTTGAGCCAAACTACCCAGTCGTGGACTACGGGTGGCGTTTCTGGATGGTGATGTTGACGGAGAGCCGGCATTCCGTAGACTGCGCATGAAGGAAGGACTTGGAGCACTTTCCGAAGAAACGCGGTGCTTCTCTGGGGTTCCCAGGGTTTTGCGAGGCATGTTGATGGTGTGAAGTTAGCGGCCAACGACGCGCTCGATTATCGTAGAGTGGAAAGGAAAAAGAAGGCGCTTTGGTCGTTTCTTTGGTCGGTACGCGGCATGCTGATCTTCGAAGTCTCGTGAAGGTGTCGTCGTTGTCGTCGTTGTGGTGTTTGCTGTTGATGTTTATGTGGCTGTCGTTGTTGCCTAGAGAGCCGATGTCCGAACAACACAGAATAGAATGGACAAACTTTGTTGGTCGCGCCTTAAATTCCAGTGTAACCTTCTCTGTGCCTGCCCCCTAGAGTAGGTAATGGAAGATGAACCATTGACAAGTCGGGACACTCTTTCCCAGAGTTCTGTTCATCAGCTGCTGGCCGTGGTTAGGTAGCTTCAGCCCTGCCGTCGTTCACGCCTGCCGCCAACAAGTCCCGTGGTCACCTAACCCCTGTCAATCCTTCCTTCCATTTTATGGCTTCGGCGTTCGTTCCAAAAAGTGGGGCCCTTCGATAAAGACATGGACAGGACAGGGATCATGGTCTGTCGCCGTACCTTCAGCAACGGCCGGGCAGCTCCGTTGACCAAAACATGGCATTCAGGGGTTGACCCATGGAGCCCCTCTGCCCCTCCTCTCGAACCCCTATGGCCGAACATGTAGGTACTTGTACGTACAATGTACAGCTTCGGAGCTTACACACAGTAGATACAACCGTGGGAAGAAGAACCCAAGCACGATACATGTACGATAGCCTAACGGGAGATCTACGGCTATCTTTCGCTCGCTTCATTCCCTCTCACACACAAGACAAGTTAGCGTGGCTCGTGGATACCTCGGGCCTTTGTCGGACTGGATCGAGGGATATCGATTACCAAAACATCTCCCTCTTTCGAGTACTATAATCGTACTTCATTGACTTCTAAAGTCCAATGACAGGACCTCTAAAACTCAACATCCTCCTCAACCTCATAAGCCTCATCAACCACCACCCCATCCACCATCTCCTTCTTCGCCCCCATCTTGCAAATAGCCACCTTTTCCACCTTGACGTCCTCCATCCACGTGTACTCCTCATACCTCTCCAGAATCTCCCTCGCGTCAATCGTCAATCTTTCCCTTTTGTTTCCTCCTCCTCTGTGACCGTGGTGTCCCTTCTTTCCTCCTCTTCCTCCTCCTCTGTTACCTCCCCCTTGCTGCTGCTGCTGCTGCTGACCACGACCCCTACCACCCTTCACATAAATCGTATTAACAACCGTAGCATGCAACAAAAGCGGTCTACCCCCTTCCTCCATCATCAACTCCTTCTGCACAAACTCGGCCTTGACCCTCTCGCAAAAGCGCTGGAGGTGGCCAAGCGGGTCAACGGGCGGAGCGTAGAGCACCGCTGCTTTGGAAGGTGATTGCATCGAGTGAAGACCCTTTAACGTGATCTTTAGATCTTCTTCTTCTTCCTTCTTCCCTGTCTCAGACTGAAGCTGGGGTGGGACCTCCCTAATAACAGTCCCCATCCCAGCTTCCACCCCTTCACCCTTCTCTTCCGCTGTCCCAATAGCAATAGGTGCACCACCACCGTTACTATCCCGCGGCATCGGCACCGCCGTCGCCCGCGTCTGTGACTGCCTCAGCACCTCCTGCCAAATCTCGCTCAGCTTCAAGCTCTTCAGCAAAGCCTTGGCTTCCTCCAGCTTCCTCAGCCCGCTCAGACTTCCACTTCCACTTGGTGGTCCCTGTTCCTCGCTGCCACTTCTGCTGCCACTCCTGCTTCTGCTTCTGTCTCTTCTCCCGTTATCTTCTTGCGGTCCATCCCTCCCACTACTTCCCCCAACCTGCCCTGCCTGCCCCTGCCCACCTCCTCCCCTCCCCGTCTTCACCCCCTTAGACTCCCTCGGCTCCAGAAAACTCATAACCCCCAACGTCAAATGGATCGTCCCCACAGGCCTGATGGCTTCCTCCGGCACCGGCAACGCTCCGTAAGCACTGCTGGACGGGTTCCCGGGGGCCGTCACTTCCTCCCTGAAGGCGGCTAGGCTGCGCGTGAGTTGAGACCGGGAGGAGGCGGTGACGAGGGGGATGCAAAGGAAGTGAGTGGGGGGTGGTTTTGGTGGCATTTTGTTGGGTTTCTTGTTTTGGTTCTGGTTTTTGTTGATGGTGGTGTTGTCTTCGCCTTTGGGTTGTGATTTAGGTTGGGATTTGGCTGTGTCCTCGCTCGCGGTCTGGAGCTGCGGCTGTTGCTCCTCTGCTGGTGATGATTTTGATGGCGATGGTAAGGTAGACGCGGCTGAGGCTGCTGGTAATGGTTGTGTCCTCGACTCCTCCATTTTGGTGGTTGTTGATTAGTTAGGTACTTCGGCTGATATCTCCTAATCGGAACCTGGTATGGTAAACCTCCGGGAGTGGTATGGTTTGAGTAAGTGAAGGGGAGGGACAAATGCCGATAGGGTACCTTGGTATTACTTCTTTGGTGATTATGTATGGTGAAGGAGGTGAATAAGCACTAGTCTACACTTGATGTGTCGACTCGGCGATATAACTCGAGCTTTGACTCCTCATCAATCAAGCTTTCCAAGGCTGACAAGCTCCGTGTTGACGCTTCGTGAGTGCTTACAAAGCTGATCATCAATATCCGGTCGTGAATCTGGACGTCAAACTGGTCGGCGACCTGGTGCGAATCTGGGTTCGGTGTCCAATGAAGTTGGGTGATTTCGATGCCGGCCGGTGGACGATCAGCCAGAGCTCCGTCTTGTCGTTGGTGACGTTTCCATTTCGAGATTAAACGGAGCGAAGGTCCGTGCCACTTTACGCCTACCATTTTTACCGGAAGTCTCCGAGCCCTATCGCCGTAGGCCTTTTCCCTTTCCCTATCACCAGAACGAACTCTTAACAGTTAGCCCAACCACTACCCCCTAACGGACAGAGCAACTTGAGGATGTTACATGATATATAATATCTGTATGAATCGGATCCGATATCCGGGAAACCGCTACTAACAAAGGCTACTCCTGTCTTTAAGAACCGTGACTACCCCCTAATCCACCAAGCGACAAACAATATTTGAACATCCCGATATTCCAACAAGCAAAAGGGTCCAAAACAGAGACCATGCTGGAATATCTTTCCCACCTGTACTTCGGCATGGTAAGCCTGCTATTTCTCAAAGCCTTCCCGTAACCATCCCGCAATGCCCTTTCCAGCGCCCCCATGAACCGTGCGTCTGATTCGCAGAACGCCGTCGGTGCGCATGCCCACGCGTGATGATCATGGCTTCCATAGCTCCAAGCCCTGTGGAATGGCTAGGTCTAAAAGGCCCTGAATTCTATTCCGATTCGCGTCTTCTAGACTGCTGTACTTTTTTTCCGCGTCCCATCATCTCGACCTACCCGCCCGGAGGAATGCCATGCTCCTTGTGTCGCAGAAGCTGCTCCAACATAGGCAGGCAGGCAAGCTTGCCCTCATCGCCCAACAAAAGCGCCAGATGTGGGCACGGCAAACCAGAGGAGGGTGTTGTAAATCATCCGAAATTCCACTATTCGTCATCTGGCTGGAAGAAGCCGTGTGTTTCGTTCAACATCATGTCCGCCAGCACGTCTTTGTCATTCCTGGCTGTCTTGAGGGCCGCTTTGATCTTCTCCAGGCAAACTTGTTCGTTGGGCTCCGCAGCCCCATCAACGGTGAGCTTGTGGCCGTATTGTTGGATAACTTGGCACGAATCCCTGATCTTGTTGAACCCGAGAGTGGCTGAGGAGCCCTTCAAGAAATGGCCCAGACTCGACAGCGTCTCGAGCCTCTTGCCGTTGTCGAGTTTGTTGTTGTTCCTAATCAGACGACCCTCGTATTAGCTCTGGTCCTCTAGAAGCATCAAGTCCAGCTCGCACAACATGACGAGCACCGAAAGAGCAACAAGGCGACCCTGATCCGGCCCAGAGTACTTACAAAATCTCCTCAATCTTTACAAAGGTCTCCTCGGCTTGGTCAAAGAAGTTGGTGACCAAGGACTTGCTGAACTCGCGCTTGTCGTCATCGTCCATCTCGAGGATCTGCTCAAAGATCCCATTGTCGACGTGCTCTCCGAAATCCGGCATTATGTCTTGATCTTCCTGTGTGTTTGCGCTCGTGGTTAGTTGCGGATCGAAAAGAGGGGTAGACTCAGAGCTGCACCAACATCATAATGTGAATGCATGGTGGACTGCTGAAACCGAATGCAATACAAAGCGCGTTGACGTAATGGAACCAGAGAAAAAAAGGTTTGGGAGAGGAGTTCAACCCGGACGAGGCCGGATAGGGAGGGGAGGGGGGGATGGGGGGAAAGGGGGAGACTTCTTTTCTTCTTCTTCTCTCCCCGAGTCGCAAAGTGGTCGGCGACTCGTGTATGTGAACACACCAAGGTGGAAATTGTGCAAGTGTGTAATGTAATGCCTGGGGACTGCATGTAGCACGAACCTTGTGAGGAGGGGACCCGGGCGTCTGCTGATCTGGAACGGGGAGGGATCGGGGGCGCGGGGAAGATGCAGAATGCAGAAGCGCAGATGGAGAAGAAGCTCGAAGAGGGAAGGCTTACACGACGGGGTCGAGGTCAGTTTCGAGGTACAATGGAAACTGAAGAAGGCAGCAGCACGGTGACGAGGATGATGGGAGTGCGGATGATGTTTTGTCGAAAACGGGAGGCGTCACACAGGAGAAACTTACATGTACAGGCCGTCAAAGGGACGGCGGGCGGGATGGAAAAGAGGCGGGCGGCGTCTGACGGACTACCTAGCGACAGCAGATTGCGAGAGGAGACGGCGTTGACAGGGGTGAGATTTTCGAGATTCTTATTTGCGCGCGTCACCGGAGACCAGCGAGGAGGTGCGGAGTGAAGGTGGGGCCCAGCTTTTTAGTATAACGGCGTTCTAAGGGTTCAGAGCAGATGCTGGAAAAGGCAGCGAGATAAAAAAGAGGGCCGATCAATGGAGGCGACGAGAACCCTTCAGCGGCTCCTGGGCGACGATCCCACCGGAACGCAGAGCGAGCGCAGAAAAGACCAACGGGCAACAACGGGCAACGGGGCAACGGCAACACAGGCTTGACGTTTTGGGTCAAATATGTCTCGGTGTTTTGAGGGACGTGGTCGATGTTGGTGTTGATGTTGAATTGGTGGTGCAGGTGGGAAAGATCAGAGGCAGATCAGGGGAGAATGTTGTTCAATGACGAGATGATGGGAAGTGCTTGGTCTTTAGGGTTCAAGGTGACGTTAGGTTGAACATATAGAACTCGCACAGGAACCTGAACGAGCAGTCAAGAGCTGAGTGCTGAGGTGGACAAAGAGAAGAAGAAGGAGCGAAAAGGGTCCTCCTTCCCAGCAAGACCCTCCTCCCGTCATGTACCGTAAGCTCACGAAAGGTAGAGGTAGCCGGCTTCTAACTGCAAAATGTTTAGCTTACCCCTGGCATGGTCGCGTGGTGGGTTTGGTCCAGAGGTTCCAGGTTCCGTGTGGAATTCTGGCGCCGGCGGGGTGGAGCGCCTAGTACGGACCACGGAGCCACGGTACCTCAAAGGTAACCAAAAAGACAAAGATGGAATCGTAGAGGTACTTTCACGTATCAAGATCAGTAATCTATATCCCGTGCCTTATAATGACGACCTATGCCAATGTGAAAGCTGTGTCAAGTGGCTTTGAGCTGCCCCGGTGCTGGCGCCGAGCTGAACCACCTGAACAATCTGAACCAACTGCAAACCGATGATCAAAGACTGCGAGTTTGTCACTGGGCTCTGAGTTGGTGGTCATTGGCGCTGGAAAGGAAACCGATGAAAGATCCAGAATGGAGGGACCCCGAAATGCAACTGATACGTCAGTTGGTACCTACAGGTAACCTTCCTGCAGTGGCAGAAGCGGGGGAAGTGGAAGGATGAAAGGAACAATGAAAAGAAGGTTGCTTCCACGTTGTTACCCCAACCTCAATGTTAGTGATTCCGAAGGAAGTGCATGGGTTCGCTAACTGACTCGAGCCGGTCGCTACCGTAAATACCTGTACGCAACTTGGATGAAGCTCCCGTCTTCTACAGGTAGGTACCTCAGCTACCTCCAAGCTCCAATATGCCACCAAAAATGTCTTGGGAGTCCAGGGGTCCCAAGTGGTAAGGTAATTGCGCATCTAACATGGCGGCGTTGGGCGCCGTCAAAAACAAGGCATAACATTTTCCATCTCCTTCTCTACTGTACAAGTCAGGCCACATTTGCAGGAACCATTGAGAAAAGGAGGATAGCGGCTTGCCAGGGCTGCATCTCGAGTGCTACATGCAGACAATGCAGCTTTTTTCGCAATAGAGTCCGGACCCTTGATGCCCTTTTTGCTGACCACGAGTCCCGAGAATCCAATTCGTCCAGAACGCATCCCCCATTCCGTTTTCGGGCGGCATTTTAAAGTCCTTGGTGGCAGGCTGGTCGTGGGCTGGTGGACAGGCTGTGGGTTATCGCAACATGGGACAGCCTTGGGGGAGACGGAGTTCGTGATGGAGGCCGAAAGGATACTACGAGTCCACGACGGCGTCGATCATCGCCGTGACCAGTTCGATTCCACAATGCCATTCCGATCAAAAATGCCGCCTGCTCCCTTCTCCGAGTCACGACTTCACCTCGAGATCTTTGGAAACCTGTCAACAAACTTGCTCAACCTGCTGGATGGTTCTTTTTCTGATGTTGGGTACTGTCGTGTGCCACAGTTTTTTCTCGGTTGATATCGGCATCCTTCAGCTGTTCTTTGTCCACTTTGCCAAGTCAACAGGCGCCCATCACATCGCACAATGAGACATGCCCACAAGACAAGCTTTGACGGCCATTCGACAGCCTCGAATCATTTGCGCATCTTAACATTGGATCCCATAATAACGCCGATAAAGATAACGGTGGGACCGAAGCATTAATCTGAAAGATGTACTATGGTGATCATGGTTTATTTTTACAGTATGGGTGCGGTACCGTGACGTATTATTGCTCGAGCTCAGTCGTTGGTTTTCGCAAATGTGCCTGGTCGGCTTCGCGTGCATCCCGTCCCAGCCCCTGCTTTACCCAAACACATGTGCAGCCGATGTGAGCTAGGAGGTGGAAATGATCGTCGGCTTCCATGCTCTTTGTGCCGGCAGAGATCTCCAACAGTGGTTGTGATAGGCTGGCTACAATACCGTACATCAGGCAGCGTCCATGTGAGTTGAGTTTGATGATGGGCTGAATGGACATCATTTGACATAAAAGATCGCTGTATTCAGGATGAACGGAAGTCGGAACATTCGCTAGCAAAGTCGTGACTCGGGAGATGAGGGGGCACGGAGCACCGGGGCCGGGACCAGGACCGGGCCGGTACCAGGCAACCGCGTACAGTACCGACTACGGAATGGCCTCCGAGCCTGTCAGCGCAGAATTCCCATCCCCTTTTTAACAGACCCGACATCAGACTTCCAGCTAGATGCAAAATTCCCGTCAATGCAGCATCGCGAGTGTAGCAATGGATACCCTCATGCGTACCTACCGTTCAGACCGTCTTCCCAAACATCAATTCATCTCCAAAGTACCATTTGCCGGTTGGGCCACCGGGCAGCTGGGCCTCCTCCTCGCTCAACCAACGCAGGGTCCATACCTCCGTAAGTTTCAATGTTACAAAATTCCATACCGCACACCCATCCTTCTTCAACCAAGTTAACCCCCAACAAAGAATACGTTGGACAAGAATCTATGACCTCGAAACGTTCTTCACGATGCCTCGTCGAATCTT